TCAAGGGAAAAAAAAAAAAAAAAAAAAAAAAAAAAAGGGAGGACATCATCTTCCCAGGTATTGCTAATAAACTATAGGGTCCTATCGTGTTGTGCCATGGTTGAGGCTGAAGACTCTTTGTAAAAGAGGCTCATCCCTAGCCATCTCTTTCTCATAAAGGTACAGAATCATAGACTGGTGAACCATTCGTCCTGGGCCTCTACTATTGGAAGATCCAAGCACTAAGAAGGCATTTTTTTAATGTTTTGCGCAGCCACATCGTGCCGCCACAATACGATCAGCTTAATAAACTCCATTACCTGCTCTGGTGATGATGGAGAAAATCAGAGGCACGTGACACATCAGCCTGCAGAGCACAAGTGACAAGATGCTAACCAGTCATATCAGAGCTGGGTCATTATCGAATTTCCATCGTATCTGCAGTTATTTTTAAGCATAATTGCCGACAGTTCACTGCCTATGTTGGGATCAGGGGTTGACGAGTGCGGAATATAGATGTGGTATAGCCTCGGCCCATTCTTCATCCACAATCGATTCAACACTCATAAGACAATAATATTAGCACCTCGTTTGATTCACACCTAGTTTAAGCAGTATCCTAGCTCCTATTAGACCATCCTAGTCATGTACTTGCGTCTCGGACGAGACTAAGCAAAAGCCGAGCGATCGCCGCTTCGGCCGGAAGCCAAGTAGGGCCCGAAGATTGACCTATTCCCCTGTTGTTCCACTTTCCTGACGAAACCTTTTTTTAGGAAACTGCGAGTCGTAAACATATATTTAGTCGAGTCTGCACCACGTATGGCTGGTGCAATTGAGCGCATTTAGCACATACATCTATGTCTTGTTCCCGGCTCTTCAGTTTCCGCAGTCTTTCTCTTACCAGATTCAACCCGACCTCGAACCGCTTTGCTTCTTCATATCGCAAGATGGGTGAACATATTGTGGACAGATATCAACTCCAACCACTGCGTTCAGACTGTGTACCGTGGCGTCGGCAGCCGGGGCAGCAGGTATTATGGATTGGCTGCTCGGATAGCGGGTGCGATGAACTGGAGAGCTTGGGTTTGCCTTCAGATGAGATCTTCGAATACAGGAGTTTGGGGAACATGATGGTGGACGACCTATCTTGCAATACGACCTTGCGATATGCTTTGGACTCGTTGAAGGTGAGTTCGTTGTTCCTAGGAGAGGGTGCGACTAACTCGGCCAGATCCGGAATATTGTGATATGTGGACATTACGGGTGTCATATTGCAAATGGAGAAGTAAATGCCGGCTTGCAAAAACCCTGGAGCAGGTAACTGTTACCGTTAGATATTAATGGGGTGGTGCTGACGGATAAGTATACTTGACACTCTACGTTCGACTCATCATCACGCCCTAGACAGCTTGACAGGAAACGAACGCGACCGCGCGCTGGTGGAGTTAAATGTTCTTGAGCAGGTGCACTCGTTAAGCCAGTCTCCTGAGGCTGCAGATGCTTTGCAGAAGGACCAGCTAAATATCTGGGGCATGGTCTACGACAAGGCGTCGAAAACAGGTTATCAGTTAGTAGAAGCATGACGGGGATCAGCTATTTGACCGTCTTTTAGAAACGAAAAACATAAGACCAGATCAAGAACGCATAGATCCATTTTTGAAGAGTGAGCTTGGCTGTAGATCCATTCGGATAATGCCATTGAGCTTTTAAGCCAGTTGGTAGTAAGCATGCCTCAGGCATAAATATCCGGCCCCACGAAGAACGCCACATTATTCCACATCATCAGGCCATCCTCCGATCCACAAATATTCGGAACGTGAATCCTCCAAAACCATCTGGAGAATCATTCTTTCTCTCATCTGTCCATTATGGAGTCTCCAAACCCAAAAGGGGACTCTGTCCCACAGTATCTGAAACAGTCGCATGAGCGCATCTTCGAGAACAATCGCGCCTGGGTCGCGACGAAAATGAAAGAAGACCCCGCTTTTTTCGAGAAGCTTTCTGCAGGGCAGACCCCGGAATATCTGTAAGAAACACACACAGTGGTCCGGGTATATCTCATCTGACAAAACCAGGTACATCGGCTGCAGTGACAGCCGCGTACCTGCCAACGAGATCATGGGTCTCGAAGCCGGGGAGGTCTTTGTCCACCGGAACATCGCGAATCTAGTCCCCAACACAGATCTCAACGTGATGTCCGTCATTAATTACGCAGTCCGCCATTTGCAGGTCAAACACATTGTTGTCTGTGGCCACTACCACTGCGGCGGTGTCAAAGCCGCGCTGACGCCGTCCGACCTGGGGCTCCTCAACCCCTGGCTTCGGAACGTGCGCGATGTATACCGTCTGCACGAGCGGGAGCTTGATGGGATTCAAGATGCAACTGCCAGATATAAGCGTCTTGTGGAGCTGAATGTCATCGAGTCCTGTAGGAATGTGATCAAGACAGCAGCGGTACAGCAGAGCTTTCATGAGCGGCAGTTCCCCGTTGTGCATGGCTGGATATTCGATGTGGAGACTGGTCTTCTCAGGGACCTGGAGATTGATTTTGAGGAGACTTTGCGGGATATCAAGAAGATATACAATCTTGCGCCGGGTTCTTAGCTCCGCTTTGCAGCATGCACCAACCCTATACCATTTTCAGTGTGTCACGTCAGTTAGAAGCTCCAAATCTAGTGGTAAGACTCGTAACAGTAACAAGCTCCACAAGCTTTACCCGGAAGCAACATTGCTTGATAAAATCCAACTGGTACCACAGCTTTGACAGTGGATTTCTACCTTCGACGCTGGCGTGAAATGTAGAGAGATCAATAGGCGAGTGAGAGACGAGAACACACCACTTGACTAGAAGGACATTGTCAAGCCAGTTGGATCTACTCAGGCAACCATTGAATACCAATGGAGTAGGCACACTGAATATCCTGTATATCTGCAATAGGAGGGGGTTTATCTCGATGGCACATCCGGGCAGGCTGCTATTCTGCATATGCCGGTATTCGAACAAGCGAGTACAAATTCCCGAGCTGCATCTGAGGCCTTTACCGAACAGGTGGTCTGCATCATGCATAGCGGGCGACCTATGCCAAACCCGGCCAGTTTTACTGAAGTCTGAGCCTCCATGACATTTCGTGAAGATAACAGTGATGCCCTATGTGCATCAGCCATCGCGGAACAACCTACTTCACTTACGCATGGAGCTTTAGGTTAACTAATTGGGCTCAAGTTGTTACAGTTGACCGGCAACCAATACCTGACAATCGCGTCATGCTACGGCCAAACTCGCGGGGACTTGGAGGAGGCATACTTTGATGACCCTGAACCAGTGCATTCGGCTCTTCTACCTCTACAGGATGAATCCAGCACGACATGGGAGACCATGAAACAACTTCTTTGAAGTGTGTAGAGAAGCTGGGTAAAAATGAACTCTGAGAGTCAACATGGGCTCTGGATGGTGGCTTAATACCATGTCGTCATATTAGGCGTGTGCCGTCTATCTGGATTCGATGTAATGGTGGCTCAGATGTCAGTATTCTACACTTTCGCTGAGAGGGTGTGGGAGGTAAGCGTCAGCAGTGTCCGTTTCAGGTTGCAGCAATCTCTACATAACACTCCAATCTTCGAAAACTTGGGATATCTTCAAATCCATGCTGTAAAGGTTCACAACCCAATGGCATAGAGGTGGCAGCAGATGCCTCAGCTGAGAAGATGCATATATCGACGATGCATTAGCGTCCGGAGTCAATGTCGGTGTGAGAGAATGAGATATACGAAGGGATACAGAGCATCATAGCAGTCTTGACTGTGAGTGTCATACCACAAAAGAATGCATAGTAAACCGTTTATATCTGACTTGTCATTTTTGTCATTAGAGACCCGTGTTAAAAGATCTGAAGTCTGATATCAGTACCCTGGACGCTACACCATCTCCTCAATCAGGTGTACAGGTGGTTGTTACTAGAAAGTTCGGCGTAAGTAGCCCCTTTCTTATGCTAAGTTTGACTATAATTGATGCATAGTCTTGGAAAAAAACAGAGCGGCCATGCATTTGACGACGCGCTGCCATTTTCGTCAAGCTTCCTTCTGCAACCTAGTCCTGAACAGCCCCCTGGATTCTTTATCTACAGTCAAATCTTTAAACTAATACGCAGAGGAGCAATATCCCTACACTAACCTGTGGTATACGATGAAGGGGACTACGCATCTTAATATAGAGTGGGACTTGGGGCACCCCTAAACAGAAGATACCATCTGATTGGAAGTTTTGTTTTTCTTCTCTTTGTTATACTACGTACATCATTAGACAGGGGATGCTTGCACAAGGATTCGCAAGTCCATTAGGGGTTATTTAGGTCATATGTGAAGAAGTCTAGGTTTTCCCCACAGATTTGTCTAGGTTCCAGATAGTTGTCCAATGCTGTACTGTATTACATGCTCTCTTAATGTTTTTCTTATAACTGTTGCTGTTCACACCTGTGATAGATGCTAACTGGTATATTCTTCCACTACTGCCTCCAGATGTATGGGCAAATCAATGTAATCAGTCTGGTTAAATATCAGAATGGTTTCAGCCCCTTGGAGGACGATAATAAAGGCTTAAGGGTAACTGTGTTAGAACGTCATGATATATATCTTAAGATACTATTTTGTTTCCATCCCTAATAATGATTTTTAGATAGTTTATCCTGAGTTTGTAATGCCTTTCCCCTATCAGATCCTGTTAATAGTACTGATCCTCATGCTGGCATGGTTGTCCTGGACATCACATTTTTATATTTTTGATATGCGTCTTGCTAAACTAAAGGTTGTCTAGGGCATGTTTAGCATTATTCTAATCATGATGTTCACAAAGCATTCTGTTGGTTACTGATGAGGTTCTAAATCTAGGTCTTATTCCATATCATTGGCCAAGTCAATGCTATTGAATTTAAATCAGCCGCCGCTTCACTATACACAGCACATGGATGGATGTTCACCATCTATTACTCTATCATCAGAATACATGGTTAAGGAAGAGTAGTCGACCTGATTAGGATTAAAAGGCAAGCGAATGAGATGCGTCACACCCCTTATATTCTTGATATCTAAAGACCCGGCCAGCGCTACTACTACTAGATAGGACATGCCCCGGCGACCTGCTGCAAAGCTTCAGTATATGTAAGTAACAAACTTTCCGATCCTGTAGCTATGCAAGACAATGATTTAATTGAAAGGGGATGGACAAAGCATTGTCACAGTATATAATTGTCATATGATATGACTGGAGCACATCATCGCTGATGTCATCCACAAACTCAAACAGTCCGCATAAGTGCCACCACCATCATCCATATAACTAGCTGTTATCCTTTCTATCGAATAAGTGGTGAAAGTAACTAGTTTAACTGTACATTACATCTATTTTGGACCTTTCTGTATATATTCCAAAATGACAAAGGACTTGGTAAGCCTCGCCGTTGGGAACGATTGACCCGTAGCATTGTACCGTTCTTACTAGCTACAGACCTTCGACATCCATTTCGACAACGAGCTCGCACACGATTACTACGGTGATGGCAAGAAGTTGGCCGAGAAGTATGAAACCTCGCAACCGTGCAGTGCAGTAGCTGATCCAGATTGCAGTCTTCGCGAGATATACCACGATCGCAACCTCAAGTTCCCGGATGTTTTTGATTCCACGTTGACCACTCCGCCTGTACATTTCATATCGTATGATTCCCATCTATTACCTGAAGTTCTGGAGAAGGAGAAGCTGATACGGTTCTGTAGCGTCGAAGCACCGGACGATGTAAAGATCGAGGAACTGCAGAATGTGGAAGTGCCACCTGGACTGCATGTTGATATTATTGACTTTCAGATGGAATAGCCAGTCTTTGGGCATCGATGGGTAAATATATTTAATTAATATGCTGAATATAACATGAGGTCTATTGGTGATCCTACTTTGAGGGTTTAGGAAGATCACTGCCTAAAGGAATCCACTTGGGCTGAATATCCCATCCTGAACTTCGTATGGATACCGTGAGCGAGCGTAGCCACGACCAGCGTAAAGTCTATTAAGTCGCCTAGAGAAGTAATAAGCATCGCTGGCAAATCAACCAGTGACCAACCGATGTCGTCCCAATGGTTCAGCCTCAACGGTGGAGCGACAGAGTGGTCAGCAGTCAGCACTAGTCAATTGATCTCAGCCAGGAAGCCATGAGGTGTCTGATTCGAAACTTATTCTTTGTTGGATCTCATGATAGGCCTCGATGATGCAGCCGACACGGAGCTGAACCTAGTGCTTACTGCTCATTTGTTGTCGCACGGACATTAGGCGGCCAGCACAGACTTTAAAGTTCAATACCAGACAAAAATTTCTATAAGAAGTTGGGACCTCCTTTTAATAGACTGTATTCAACTACCGTGGCTTCCACAGCAACAACAGCATCATGTCAAGAGTAATCGACAAGCTGGCTGAGCCAGCGGAGAAGAAAAAAACCAGGGTCATTGTCGCCAGCTGTAGCCGGTAAGCAATTCCTTTATCATCCGCGTGTACAATAACATGTCGCTGATCAACATCCAGAACTGGAACGCTCGGCCTCTACTTTGCCATGAAGATACTAGGCTACAAGCCCTACCACATGTACGAGGTGGTACTAATGCAGGGCAAACAAGGCATGTCAGCCCTCCTAGAGGCCGTAACCGCGCAGCACAATCGGTTATCAGGCATCAAGCGGTTCGGCAAGGCTGATTTGGACAAGTTGACTGCCGACTATGATGTACCTGTCTACATACCCGACTGCGTTCTGCATACTTACCATACTACAGTGCCTTATTGAGATCCCGAGCTTCCTGGGCCCCGCCCTCCTCGACGAGTACGTACAGGATCCCGAGGTCAAGTTCATCCTGACGGAGCGGGACCCCGATCGGTGGGCCAAGTCGGTCAACGGCACGGCGGGCTTTATCATCACGGCGGCGGCTTCGTTTCCATTGAATATTCTCAAGTATTTCGACGAGGAATTACGCATCTTTCTGGCTCTCAACACCATCCTGTACGCTGTCCTTGCTGACGGCACAAAGCCGGGCCAGCTGGGTAATGAGGCTGCTCTCACAAGGAACTACGTTGAGTAGTAAGTGCCCTGAGATATGGCTATGTGAGAGAATGCTTACATGGACTACAGTATCAAGGCTGTCAAAAATACGGTTCCCAAAGAGCGTCTGCTGGTGGTCAAGCTTGAAGATGGGCTGGGATGGGAGCAGATTTGCCCGTTCCTGGATGTGCCCATTCCAGAAGAGAAGTATCCGCGCGGCAACGACGTCGATAATTTCAAGGCCATGGCGGAGGGTTACTTTAAGGAGAGAACTAGAGCCGCTATGCTCAGGTTGGGGGCGCTACTGGTGCCTGCATTGGGTGTGTCTAGTTACCTTGGGTGGAAATATTTTGGTAAATTGGCATAGTCCTTGGATCTTCTATAGTTGGATTCGTTATTCCTTGTAGATGAAGATTATTCGGCATGTAACTGAGGAACCAACATGAGTAGGTCCTAGAAATGCAATAAAGATCTTGGCGCTATTCGCTAAATGATAGCCTTCCCATGGTTCTCGGAGAATGACAGCAAGATCATGTCTACATCATATTTAATGCTTATCAGAGACAGCATTCACACAATTTCCTCCTTTTGAAATTTTGCTCTCCAGCCAGAATCCTGCACCAGAGTTCTGCGAAGATGGCAAGCCCCGAGTCTTTGATTCTTCAGTATTCCGGATCGGAATTGGCAGACGAACAGTCTTTCCACAATCACTTAGTAGAGAAGATCTCCCAGGCAAGAGCAACAAAAGATGCCATCTACGCTGAGCTTGTTTACGACAACATCGCTCCTTCCTGGATGGCGAATGTGGGGGATGCACTTGAGCGGGCAAAAGGTGCCTTCTGGTAAGCGAGTATCGTCAATGTAGCAGCATACAAGGTCGATAAAGCGAATAACGTATTTCCCTTCATTAGCAAGAGTTATAACACTTTTACTCTGATCCTCCGAGTTGTAGCAATGGCATCATTTCTGCATAATGTCGACCAGGTTTGGTGCCACCAAAGCGAGATTCAATGGCTTGTCTCCGGGAAACTCAATCAGAATGAGTCCGACATGCTGCATACCACAGCAAATACCAGTAAAGCGATGCACCTCCGTTCATTCCATCTCATGCAGTTCTAATTGCTAGAAGTTTATGAATTTCCCGATGGGCCATTTGTTGGCATCCACAAGGCACCCAATGTAGCAATCAACGTGCCAAACGCCATCATGCCCAGAATTGTCGTTGAGAGTGGGTGGAATGAATCCCTTAACAGACTGCGAGAAGATGCAGGAGAATGGCTCGTCGGAGGAAATGGAGCTGTCCAAGCTGCCATCATTATGAATTGGACCTCCAACCGCACAACCCGCCGTGTCCGCGGTGTCGTGGAGCTCTACACATTGGACAGAAGTGGCATGCCACGGCTCCAGCAACGCGAGGTGCGGGATATCTTCTTTGTTAATCATCATTGCGTTCTAGATAGCTAACGACGAAAGAAGCAAATCTTCCCGGTCCCACCGGGCATCCAGCCAGGTAATCAGGCAATGACCCTGACACGGCGGATGATTTTTGGCCGGTCGGTCAGACCTGGCGCGAGTCCAGGGGATATTCTTCCCCTCGGCATTGATAGGCTGCGCACAATAGCGCAGATCGACATGGCAAAGATGGGGTACAGCCCTGCATGACTGAAGACTAGCCAAACGATAGTATAGTGGCAACAGTAGGTGTCCCCTAAAGCCGGCCATTGAGGAGATATCACCGGAGCTAGTCACTCTCAAGCTCGTTGAACAAGGACTCCCGGCAGTTCACTAGCTTATTTGCCAGTTATTGGCCGCATTCAACAAGCTAGATGCAGTATACATCACACCTTTCCAATCAGGGCCTGGCTATTGCTTATGAGTGATCAGTTTGTCTGCTATCCGTGTCAGCTAATCTCCTAGTCCGCGAGATACATTGTCAAGAAGTCCCACATTACCTGATATAGCGGCAAATAAACGTAGAATTAGACTATTATTGGAGAAGGCCGCACTTAAGCTTGTCTTAGTCGCTCTGATCAGATAGATCACATCTCCTCGACGAATTGGATAACAAAGTCAATTTCCAGACTCTGAAATCACTTAGCAAGCCAAGGCCCAGGCCTTTCGTGTGAAAGATCGAATCTGGTGTCTTCTGCTGAAAATACAATACCCGGCCTATTCTGCAGTGTTCTACAATGTTCTAAAAAGGTTGCTGGTGGCATTGTATGCTTAGTTCGGGCAGAGACGAAGCCAGTTCAGGTTTTGAGAGATCTCCAATAAGGATAACAAGAATTGGTCATCTACGGTCCTGCCGAACGAGGAGGTTCTCCATAGTACTTGTAAAAATATCACCATAATTGTTTCACAGAGCGGTATATGATGCTCAAGAAGCATTAAATGGCATACACAACACTTTATCCGGGGGAACATCTTCTTGCCTTTGCTCCTTGAGCGAAAGAGCTTCATGGTGTATGTCGTTGATATTGATCATGACGAATATACACGCACCAGGGAATAGTCGATTGATCCCGACAATGACTCCTCCACCTGGAGATCGATCTTCGCAGCAGCTCACCTATCGTGGCCACAGTAACTAGCAAGGATAGTCAATTTTGCTTGCATTGCGATTCAGATACCAGGCCAATTGCGACTTCCACCAGTAATGATGGCCACACTTGATAGCTGTCACCAGAGCTTCCGCGTTGACTATAGGCTGGTCAGCGAGTTCCTCTTCATTCCAGCACAAGACTTACTCTCAGCTCCCGGCCAGCTTGTATGCGTATAGTCATTCAACGGGTAATACGGCATGGTAGCATTGACCGACCCAAAAGACTGCCAGCGATTGACGGCATATTTTGTGTGATCGATATATTCCACCCCTTCTTCCTCGGCCACCTATACTCACTTAGTTATAACCACCCTGCAAGCTACCCTATATCGGCGTGACGTACCTCACGCGCATAATCCGCAAAAGCCCAATCCCGCCGAAGGACATCCCCCGTCCACGACATAACGGGTACCATCCCACTCACCAATGGAACGCCACCAGCCTGCCTTACATCCCGGATCATTCTCCGGAGGTAATGTCCAAACGTGTATACTGTCTCCGTCGTGCCTCCGGTAGCATTACTAGCCACGACGACACTCTCGGGCCCGATACCAGGAAGCGTAGCTCGATTCTTCACATCGGTAATTGGATCACCGTTATCGTTGTGGCCCATCTCGATGAGCACAAAGGTGCCTTCGCCTGGGACGATGCGCTCAAGTAGCGACGCCCAGAGTCCTTCATTGATGAAGGAGCGGGTGCTGCGCCCTCCGCGGGCGAGGTTCGTGATGTTTAGCTCGAAGAAGTTGTGCATGTAGTAGCCCCATCTATAGAGTCAGTATATTTTTGGGGCTATTGGGAGGTGAAGCTACCCTTGGATTAGACTGGTCGTGCCATATGGCATCGTCGTACTATCGGAGCAGAGGAGAATTTGGCGCTGGGGGCGGGTAGTTGGTGCCGCGGTGCTCATGGAGGCTAGGCCTGCCATTACTATGGAGGCGCAGAAGGAGCTGGGGATTTTCATGTTCGTTCACCTTTTGCCTAAATTTTGATTATTGTGGTATATACCGACAGTACTGTTTGTCTCCAACGAAATCTCAGCCTAAGGCGGAGGATATATATACACGAACTCTATCTAGGCGATGACCACCCCTCACACAATATGCAGTACCTCCATAAATCCTGCATGAGTTCCCTTGGCCCGGAGGGCTGTATCTATTGCGAAGATGTCTTCCACCGACAGATTCTTGGACACCGTCTATTGGTGATGCGCAACGCGGGGTCCCATGCAGCGTCATAAGTTAGCTCCATGATCAAAGTCCGGGGTAAGTCACCGAGAGCTATTTTCCCCATGGATCATCTCGGTATTATTACCTCGCGGGGCTCGCTAATCGATCTCCCATAATGTGGGGAATCCGGGGGTTGGCAAATCCCACCAATCTGGTGACTATAGTCGATCTGAGTTCGGGACAGAAGGGGCCGAGGATATGATTAGTCTCACATATGTCATTTGGCTATCGGGGGGCACTGTATGTGAGAATACATCTACTGCGAGTGATGAGAGTAATATGACTGCATGTAGGTAGATGTCATTGGCATTTGTCTCCTCAACCACAAGGAAATAGCAAGCTTGATAAAGCAGATGAATCGTAAATTTCATTCAGTAAACTCCGCATTATATGCAACGGTATATGCTATAGACGATGCCTCACAGGCTCCAGCGCAGTGTCAGCCGCTGTTTCCCCTGCCAGAAGCGCCCGGTCGTTAGGATCATAAACCGGCTCCTTCGTAACCGTAGCCCTTATCCTCCTCCCGAAATATTCCACCTCCACCCTTTCGCCCTCTTGTATCGACGCAGGAAGCCAGGCATACGCAACGGGTTTGCGAATAGTATACCCAAACGCAGCAGTGGTAACATATCCCACAGCCTTGTCCTTCCAAAACACAGGCTCCTTACCCATCACCATCGACCGTCCATCATCGATAGTCAAACACCGCAGACGACGGGCTGGTTGTCTCCTTGCAAGGCGTTGAATAGCAGCCTTACCAACGTAGTCATCTTGTTTATCCACCTGCATCGCGGAAACCACCCCCGCTTCGAAGGGGTCATGCTCGCTGTTCATGTCTACCCCCCAGGTCCTGTACCCCTTCTCCAGCCGTAAAGCGTTGAGTGCCGCTCGTCCCGCGGCAATAAGACCGTGCGGTTGGCCCGCAGCCCATATGGCATCCCACAGGCGAAGTCCGTACTCGGCGCTCGTCTGGATTTCCCACCCGTTCTCGCCGACGTAGGACTTGCGGAGGACCATGACAGGGAGACCGGCGAGTGTAATTCGCTTAGCGTGCATATATGGCAGACCACTGTTGGAAAGGTCGTCGGTCGTTAACGTGCGCATGACATCGTGGGCGCGAGGGCCCCAAAGACCAAGACAGCAGGTATGCCCCGTCACCTCGCGCACCTGGACCCATTGCGATGGAGACTTCTGACACTGCCGCCGAGCTTCGCGGGACAGATATGCAAAGTCAGCCGCGCTGTTTGCGCCAACCTGGAACAGGTCCTCGTCTAGTCTCGTCACAAAGATATCGCTGCGGATGCCACCCCGCTCGTTTAAAAGCAGGGTATAAACAATCTGTCCCACATCCGGTACACCGCTCGTCATCAACCTGCACAGCATCTCCCTCCCCCCAGGCCCAGAGACCTCAAACCGATGAAAAGATGTCATATCATACATCGCGACCGCATTCCGCGTCTTCCACGCCTCAACAGCCACAACAGGTGAATGATACCTCCCCGACCAGACATCCCTCTCCACAGGCCGCCACTCAGGTGGAAGAAACCTCACCAATTTCTCATTAGCAGCATACCAAAACGGCCTCTCCCACCCACCCAGCTCAAGGAAGAACGCGCCGAGCTCCTTCTCGCGCGCATAGAACGGACTCACCCGCAACTGCCGCGGCGACTCACGCGGCTGCAGCGGATGCAGGATATCGTAGATCTCGACGAAATTCCTAGAGGAAGTTTCAGCCACGTATTCACGGCTGAGTTGCACGTCCTCGAAGCGGGAGAGCTCGCACTCGGAGAGATCGATGCGAGATGAGCCCTCAACCAGCAGCTCGGCTAGCGCGCGTGCCACCCCAGCCGAGTGCGTTACCCAGACTGCTTCGGCGACATAGAAGTTGTCGAGAGTTGGGGCGGGGCCGATCAGCGGTCCGCCGTCGGGCGTGAATGAGAAGATGCCGTTGAAGCCGTCGGCGAGTTGGCATGTCCGCAGCGCGGGGAGGATTCGCTGTGTTTCGGACCAGGCGGGTGCGAAGTCCTCAGCGGTAAAGTCCAGCCGGGACGGCATGGTTTTCTCGTCGACGTGTCTGGGGGTATCGCCTAGCGAGGCCGCCTCGATGGGCATGGGCCGGTGGCCGTAGTAGCCGATGCCGTAGGCGTCGCCGTGCTCGCGGTAGTAGAGGTCGTGGTCCTGGTGGCGGAGGATGGGGAATGTGGCGTTCAGGCCGTTGGGGCGGTTGTTGATCTCGCGGCCTGCCAGGGCCGGGACTGGGGTGGTTTTGGCGTATTGGTGCGCTAGGGGGAGGAGGGGAATGGGCACGCCGGCCATGGCGCCTATCTCGACGCCCCAGAATCCTGCGCAGGAGACAACGATATCCGCGGTGATCACTCCGGCGGAGGTTATCACGCCGGTGACGCGGGTCCCTGTCTGTTGGATGCCTGTGACGGGAGTCATCTCTTGGTAGCGCACTCCTGCTTGTCGTGTGCGTCCGATGAGCAGTTGTGTGGCCCGTGCTGCGAGTGCCAGCCCGTCGCTAGGGATATGCAGTCCGCCGAGCACAATGTCCTTGTTCAGAAGAGGATACATCTTTAAGCATTCGGCTGGAGTAACGAGCCGCGCCTCTATTCCCCACGCAAACGCATATCCATGCTTCCGTTTCAGCTCCTCAAGTCTCTCTGGTGTGGTGGCGATCTCCAGCCCGCCGACCTGATTGAAGCAGTTCTGCCCGTCTTTCTCTAGAGACAGCAACTTCTCAACCGTGTACTGTGCAAAACGGGTCATCGTCTTGGACGGGTTGGTTTGAAAGACTAGACCTGGCGCATGCGACGTCGAGCCACCAGGCATCTGCAGCGGGCCCTGCTCGACGACGGTGATGTTGGTCCATCCTCGGGAGACCAGCTCGTCGGCGAGGTTCGCGCCGACAATACCAGCGCCGATGATGACGATGTGTGGTGAGGGTGCCATGTTTACATTGAGTGCTAGCTGTTGACGCTCATGGTGATACTTGTATATACATGATGTAGTATATCCATCTATGCCTACCCCGCAACTAGATAGATAACCCACTCCGTGCAGTGTAATGGTCATGATAGACGAACCGTGGGATGCGGCAAGGCCAACCGTACCAACCGACCAGATGATCGGCCATGGAACGGTAGCCGGGATCCAGACAAGAGGGGTAAAAATAGTCTTTTGCCTCTCCTATCTAATCGTTTTCGTCATCAAAACGTGTTCATGTGGGGTTGTGAGGGGAAAAGTTTGCCGCTTCGGGAATGGCATTCCTCTGATTGTACGTTGCATTTTACTGGTCCATCTACGCTATTTTTGTCCACCAACTGCTGTCTTCTAGTCCACTCAATATGTACGACCAGAGTAAATGCCTGCAGAAATGGCTATACAATGACGTGTGTTCTTTTCCACACGCCTGGCATTGTCACTTTTGGACATTGAGGTGACCGACTTAGGATTCATCATGATCGATATGGCGTTGCTCTCGGCTTCGAGTCGTGGCCGTAAATGAAGCTGGTTCGATAAGGGCAAACGGTGTTGTACAACGGCGAGTACTTCATCCTATATCGAACCTTAGCTATACAATCTGCGCTGGGGCTCATTGCAACGATGGGGACTCATGAATTGCTTTGGCTATCCATGGGCAGAGGCAGTCGCTTTGGGATATCGTCTGGTAGTTGTTGCATTCGTGGTACTCGCTGGTAGAGTTTGACTTCGGTGTTGGTCTATGCTGCCATGTTTCCGAAGGGAAGGATCAATATATGTCGCACGGGAGGGACTCGCTGGTTCAGTGCTGCATTCGCGGCTTGATCCAGGCTGTAAGTCGCGTATCGGCAGGCTCATTAGTCCTAGTCCTGGAATATAAGCAGTGCACAATGTGGAGGATCATGGAGTCATCAATCACAACTTCATAACGCTTGGCGCTTGTATGCAGGTTATAAATTTCCCAGATTCCACCACGCCGAACCTTCAATGTCACCTACCCCCGGAGCGGACGTGCTATACTCGAGGTCATCCACGTCTCCGAATGGCGCGGGATCAGCCCAGAGCCAGGGCGTGTTGAGCATGAGGCTGTCAATGGGAGCCACCACTGCGTCGGGAGGAGGCATAGACCGTGGAGCTGTAGCTGGGCTCGTATCGCTGTCCTTTGACGCCTTTGACGAATTCGGGGCCCGATACAGAGGCATAGGGACGCCCTGTCCTCCGTCTGCGGTGTTGACAGTTACTTCAGGTGACGTTGTCACGATGATTTCGAGTGTAGAGCTTTCCTCTGCGTCGTTTCTAGTTGCAGATGCACTGAGGGAGGAATGGAGAAGGCTTCCTGACGGGACAGCGGGGTATGAATCGTCGCTACAGGTAAACTGGAGAATATCCCACATCAAGGGAATGTTCAGATGGATCTTCGACGGCACCCAGCTGTCATAGTCTACATTTTCCGTGCCGGCTGCAATCCGGGTCATGCGATCGAGAGACCGGTTCTGATCTGTCAGTTGTGCTCAACCATACGGGAAGGGAAACATACCAACGATGCACACGCCCTTGAAAACGGTACAAACGACCTCAGAAACACCCTGCAGCGGGCTAGATCTGCCCGGGACTTGTACTGTAGTCTTGGGTCACCAGCGCAGCAGTAATACAGCTGCACCGTCGCAGCGATAGCAGCCACATGCGCGAAGAAGGGATCTGTAAGTCGTACGTCCTTGTCCGATAGCATGTCAATCATACGCACGATCCACGTCGCATGCAGAAGTACCAATTCCGACGAGCGGCGCCAGAAACTATTGGGGATGGCCAAGTTCGGATTATGCCGCGAGGCCATGATATACAGGAAGGGATGGTTGAGAACGGTGAGAATGGCGTGGTACATGAACTGCAATTTGAGCCAGGGGACCCAGTACGCGCGGTTGACGATCAGTTCGTCCGGCTGTCGATCATAGAACCGCACATGGTCGTATCGATGGCAAAGTGGGGTTTGGTTCTCAATTTCTGTCAGGTCGGAGAGAACCATAGAGTACATCGACTCGTGGCGCCACGGCTCGCGTAGTCGGTTGTTTGCACAATCGGACACATATGTGCGTACTTTGCTCCAGACCCAGCCAAAATGGATCGTCATACTCCAGATGCCAGTGTCGTCTGGCGCAGAGCAGCCAATTGTGTCTCGCGGCAATGGGGGAGGTTTCTCGACGTCTCTTTGTGGTTCTCTGCCGTTGCCTGAGAAATAGTCCACGGGACGCCAGGTCTCCGAGGGAATGCTCAGCAGTCCGGTCTGACGGCCATACGACTGTTCTAATAGCTGTAGACTCCAAAATAACCTCTTCTTGCGCTCTGCGTGGGGGTCTCCAGGACTATACGCGGACTCCGTATCGAGCAGAGCAGAGCGACAGAGCTGAAACGCAAGTCCGAGGTGAAATCGACCAAGGTGCGCATCGGCATCTACTTCAATCAGTACCTCGCATGCAGCTGAAGTGCATCTGGACACCTACCAATAAACGAAGAATACGCCAGCAAGCACAGAGCCTCTATCGTACTCAATTCAACCGTCCCATTAGCAATCCGTAGCATAATCAAACTCTTTGCCGTATCCGCATGGTGCTGCCCGTGTTCGCCCTCATGTGAGAACCGCGCCGTCAGCGCAATGATACTACAGATGAGCTCTTCTGGTAGGGTTTCCAAATCCCCATGTTCTTCAAAATTAAAGCACCAGACGGGTTGTCGATGGCAATACTTCATGTACAAATCGACTGCTCGGGCAACCGCCAGCGAGGAGGGCTGGGGACTGGTATCATCAAAGGCGAAATTAGGGGGAGAGGGGTCGCTGTAGCTCGAGCCGCGACGATCGCGAGGCTGACTGCTTTGTGTGAATCTTCCCTCTGTGAGGTCTTTGGCATCTTCGAGGACTGATTCCCTCCCTCGGGTTGGTCTGCGCCAGCGTGAGTAATAAGGTGTAGTAGACTCGGGCGATACGTACAAGCTTCCTTTCAGGATGAGGTTTACTTTTTCTTCGAGCTCGGCGAGTCGGTCCTTCTGGAACTCGTTAGCGCCGTTCATGTGAGTAAGAGCGTGCGTACAGATTGGCCACCTATTGATCCTGGCTTGGACACGGGTGGGTAGAAACACGACTGGTTAAGCCGTACACAACACGAGCAGGCCGGTTTCTCTCCGGGACATCGAGATTTCTTTCTCCTTTTTTACATTCAGTCTTGATCGTACAGCATAAAAGAGGTGCTAACCTGCAATTCAGACACGCGTGGTTGGAACGAAGTCTTCGCCGAGTGCCTTCCGCCGGGGTCATTATTTTATTAATAGCCACAATGATTATATCGAAATGAGCTTAAATAAATCAAGACGAGCTCGTAAACTATATGCACCAAATATTTGAGCAATAGAACAAGATGATGATGATGATGACATTCAAAGGCTCGCTGAAGAGCGAGATCAACCGTCCAAGTAGGGGACGACAATCTCGCGGGGAAATCGAGCATTGACCCCTGCCGGGCAGCATGATTGGCCTCGTGATATGGCCCTGATTAAACAGCTGTCACTAACTAGTCACTAGATAAACCTGGAAAACATTCTCCGTTAGTGTCTGTACCGGGGAAGTGTTGTCCACGTCGGGCTAGATCTTCCACCATGCGCCCTAGCAGTGGCAAGATAGGACGGAGCAATGGCCTATTGGACGGCAGATCATGCCTTATGAATGCTATCAGCGCGACGCACCAATCACAAACAAACAATATGACTATCTCTGAAGTTAGCTAAGAGCTGCCGGCCCCGCACGCCCCTCTCTTCAGCTTGATTGCTTGGTTATCCCTGGTACTATTACTAATGCCACTATCCCAATCTCCCCAACTATCAAACATCTATGCATGCTCGTATGTGTTTGATTAAATATTATGTCGTAGATTATTGATTATTACTCAGCTATAAGATATATTCATTGAATATGCAGTACATCTGGTGTAGTACCCTCCTAGTAGCTATTTTATCTGGCTATTGTTTTCCTATGGTTGTGCTATATGTACGGTCCTCTGGCAAAAGTTTATATATTCAACTCGGCACTATGGTCCTTTTTCAACCTCACTGCTCACACCGCTACCAATTAATGCAAAGATATGCTTCTATACAAAGATAATCAGAGAATCTGAAAAACATAATGTTCCTATCTAGTATTTAATATAAACCCCCCTCCCCCCCCCACCCCCCCCCCTCAACCTCCCCTGGAGCATCAATAACAGCCTTCTCTCCACGGCAACCCATCACAATACTCCTACACCAACACCTCTCACACTCCTCCGACAAGATCACATTTGAGCGTGGATTACTAACACACTCGGATAGGGAGGAGGTGATAAAGTATACTCAAAAGTAGAACTTCATTACTCATATGATTCATATCTAAACAATCTCATGACCAGAACAACTATGAACACGCCAAATGCAAGAAAGAAAGAAAAGAAATCACCACGCAATAGTCGCAGGTGGCTGCACACACTCAGTCGCCTGACAGCTCAAACTCGAGCAGAACGAAATATCCTTCTCGCTGACGGTCGCAGTCTTCGGCAGATTCTGTCTCGCAGGCCAGATCTCCTGCTTGGCCTTTTGCTCGCGCTCGTAGTGCTCCACCACGAGATCCCGGACCACCTTCTGGAAATAGAGAGGTCCCTTTTCCATTTCGGGGTGTAGCTCGCCATTCACGAAAATGCCGGCATTCAGGTTCTTCTGGGTCAAGTCGCAGAGGTACTTGTCTTCGGACATGATGCGCTTGTAGATCTGGTTGATTGTCTCGAAGTCTTCATCTGAGGAGTTCTTGTTGCGGTAGACTTCGTATTTCATGATGGATCGGGTGGGCGAGAGGGGGACGAAGCGCTGCATGAAGAAGAAGTGGGGGCTTTCACTCTGTTAGTTGAGTATGTTTGATAGAGGACGTTAGTACTTACGAGACGGTTATGGAGGCATTGGGGAAGAAATATGTGCTGGCGGGGTTTAATCCGGCTGCGACCTGCTCCGGCTTGCTGCGCCCATCGTGGATGATGCCGCCGTCCCTGGTCTCGACGCTGTAGGCGCTCAGGTCGGCAATGGACGGAATATCAGGGTGCGTTGTCGCGCAGTGATAGCACTCGTTGTAGTTGTCCGCCAGTATTTTCCAGTTATAGTCGCCCTCCTGCTCCCAAGTGTGGTCGAAGGTGTACTCGTCCCACTTGACATGCTCGTACCGGGGCAGCAGATCCATTCCCTTGAAGTCATCCTCCCAGGCAACCTCGGGTTTCTCGCCTGCATCAAGGTTCACCCAGATGAAACCGTTGGTGTCGATATGTACGTGGATAGGCAGGAGGCCGTTCTTGCTCTTGTCAAAGCCATCGAGGTCCTGGTATCCCGGGGCCTTGGCCAACTTGCCGTTTAGCCCATACGACCATCCGTGGTACTTGCAGGCGAAGATGCGGGATGTTCCCTTTTCTTCAGTAACAACGGGGAATGCACGGTGGCGGCAGACATTGTGGAAGGCGTTGATGTTTCCGTCACGGTCCTTGACAATAACAAATTGAAAGCCGGAGACCTCGTAGCGCAGCCAGTCCCCGGGGTTGGGGAGATGTAGCTTGTGAGTGGTCAGGAGCCACTTGCGCGAGAAGATCGCCCGGCGCTCTAGCTCGAACATCTCCTGAGACGTGTACCATGAGGATGGCAGAGCGCGCAAGGCATTCTTCTCGCCATTGGTGGAGGCGGAGCCAAGGCCAAGATAGTTCCACAAGGAGCCCATTTTGGTGTTTGGATAGAGTAGACGTTTCTTCCTTAATTGTATGACAAAGATGAGCTTGCTTACTGTGAAGGACTTCTTAATCGAAGATGAAAATGACTTATATATAGCAGTCGCACCCACGGAACCCTACCTACGCACTCCATCCGTCGATAACGGAACCGGTTGGAGAACCGCAGGATCGGAAGCAATGATAGCGTCAGAGAACTGAGACGGAGGATTCAACCTGCCTGCCGGAGTCTTGTGATACCATCGTGATGCTCTCACATAGTTGCCACACGTTCAACCAGCCCGGAACATTATGGGCATACGCTTCTCGGGACTGGACCATGTGAAACGGTGGCGCCGGACACGGTTGAGCTCCACCGAGGCCGGTTGACTACCGGTGCGGCACCTGCTAAATGTTAATTATTGCGTTGTACAGATTATTGGGACGGTTATCATTGTCTGAGAGTCCAGACCTCGGATGGACGTGAAGCTTGTCGACTGACTTTGCCAGAAAAAGGCATGCTATCCTTTTGTGATGAATGGCCTGACGGAAGTTAAACAGTAGACGGCAGTAATCGTACCAACCAGTACGACCGATACTGTGAACACTCATCAGGGACTAACTATTTGCTCTCTTTTCCATGGACTCGGTAAATCATGTTCCCAGCTTAGTATGGTGTAACCGTGTATCATACTCCTGTAGGGCCCTGAACCATGCTGTGTCTGCTCCGATGCCCTGACAGTTAGAATGTATACAACTTCGCTTCTGTATTATTATCCTGTTGTTTCAGAGAACAAACTAAGACAGTTTGAGAAATTTACTATTCCTACCCTCGTCTCATGATTCCGCGGCCGCGATTCTACCTAACCAGAAAAGACACTCGATGATCATCTCGGATGAGTAGGACCAAATGATCTACAAACGGAGGATGCCAACTCACTGCACAGGGGCATCCCATGAGCAACTCCACTACCCAGATAAGCATAAGCCCGGGCCCCATACAAAGTGTCTAATTCCCCCGGCTACAGCTGTAGCTATAGCTTATGTGGGCCCGGCTCACGAGCCGTGCCAAGCCGGTTCGGCTTTGTGCCCGATCCGGCTATCGAGCTCCCCCACCTCCAATGAGAAGACCACAGGTCATAATAGTATCATCATCCCTGGCAAGAATTCCTTCCTTGCTATCGAATCTACACACCATGGACAAGAATCAACGCGTTGTCATCGTCGGCGCGGGCGTCTTCGGCCTGTCCACCGCTCTCAACCTCGCGAAGGATGGCTTCACCGCGATCACAGTGCTGGATAGACACATGCCACCCGTCCCTGACGGGTCAAGCAATGATATCTCCCGCGTAATTCGATTCGACTACGGGGATCCGGTATATGCGCAGCTGGGCAAGGAGGCGTACGATCTCTGGAACACCAGCCCTGAGTATGCGGACTCGTTCCACCGTACGCCATGTGTCTGGACGGCGCAGAGGACGGGTCCCGCTGGTCTTGTTCAAGTCGGGGGCTCGGACTTCATCCGCAAGACGAAGGAGATCCTGACGAGGATGGGAGCCGAGTGGCATGCGTTGGCGGATGCGGCGGAGTTGAACGCGCGGTTCCCCGCTGTCAGTGGGACGCCGATCGGGGAAGGATTCGAGGGGTTCTACAACAATGCGGCCGGGTGGGCAGATGCCGGCGTCGCCATTGCCGGACTGAGAGATCGGTGTATTGCTGCTGGGGTGTCGTTTGTGACGGGTCCTCATGGCCAGGTTACGGAGCTGGAGAAGAGCTCGGACGGCACCATTACAGCCGTCAGGACGGCTGACGGCGGACAAATCGCAGCTGACAAGTTTATCCTGGCGACTGGTGCATGGACGGCTGGACTGATTCCCTCGTGGAATTCGATGGTGGCGACGGCGCAGATTGTGGGCTTTGTGCGGCTTACACCGCAGGAGGTCAAGGCGCTCAAGGATCTCCCTATTATTTTCAATCTCTCCACTGGATTCTTCAGCTTCCCGCCGCATGAGAAGACAGGATATCTCAAGGTCGCCTGCCATAGTTTTGGATACACGCTGTCGACGGACCAGCAAATTTCCTCACCACCCAGTCGAGCCATCTCTGCGCGGGCAAACTTCATTCCCGCGGAAGGTATGCAGCGCCTTCTCGCTGGCCTCAAGGAAATACTACCTCAGCTAGTCGAAAGGGGCTTTGAGAAGACATGTCTGTGCTGGTATAACGAGACTCCAACTGGCGACTTTATCTTCGACTATCACCCTGACCATCCCAACCTCTTTGTCGCTACCGGCGGGACCGGACAGTATGTGGACCCCCAAATGACTATAATAAATACTAATATCAGCGCAGTGCATTCAAGTTCCTTCCTAACATTGGAAAATACATTGCCAAGTCATTCCAGAGACAATTGTCTCCGGAGTTGACGGAGAAATGGAGGTTCCATACCGAGTACAAAGACCGTCCCCGGGAAGACATCTTCACCGGGGAGAAGAGCAGGAAGGGAGGAGATGGCAGCCGTGGAGGTCCCAATAGGCGGGAGTTTACCCCCGAGGAGCGAGACAGTCTTTTGTCTCTGACGAATGCATTGGCTGTAAGACAGGCCAAGATGTAGATATAAATCAACTTATCAATCGTAGCATGATTTACGATTGTTCAGGCCAGACGCTAGAGCATTCATGCTTATAGACCTATGTGACGAAAGCAACCACGCATTGAAGACTACTTCCCTCTGTAATTCATATAGGAGAGTGGTCCTATGATGTCGAAAAGTATGGTAGAAGCCGGTCTTAACGAATGCCAATAAGATCCATTCATGTTGCAATCGATACTACTCAAAGCGAAGTATACAACACAAGCAAGTCAACAAATGCGCATTTGCGGTAATAAACTAGCGATCATCATGGCCCTGTTCCCATTCAATGCATGACACATGGAGCCTGAGCAAGAGGAATTGGTTTCACCAGAGTTCAAATTGCGCTCAACTTCCCGACCGTATTGATAGCTGAGCGCAGTCCACGGTGAGCCCTCACTCATCTCGCTTCTCTAGGTCGTATTTGGTGTAGTAGAACCGCTTCTCAGGGTCTTCATGGCGCTTCTCTAGGTCGTATTTGGTGTAGTAGAACCGCTTGTCAAGGTCCTCATCACGCTTCTCGGGGGTATAATGTGTGTAGAAGAAGCGTTTTTCAAGATCCTCATCACGCCTCTCTGGGGTATAATGTGTGTAGAAGAAGCGTTTGTCAAGCTCGCCAGAGGCTGATTCGACTTGGTCATTGTTTGCGACAGGGGCGGCCCAGGCAACGCTTGAGGCTCCAAGGAGAGCCAGGAGGTAAGAGAGCTGCATATTGATGATGAGATAAGGCAATAGCGAGAGATTGAGGGAGCAGAAGAGAGCTGGATGGTGGAAGTATGTTTGACGGGTAGAAGATTGGTTGCGCTTTATATAGAGCGAGCAGCTGGTGACCCCGTCGCCTCTGAACGGACTTGAAGTATCACAGCTTCCGATAGGGATAGCATAACGCAAAGCTCTGGCTGCATTCTGCAGGTGTCCGTCACTCGGTCTCTGCAGGTTCGTTCGTCATCGGTTTGTATTCCCATGCATGAGGTAATATGCTTTGAGCTGAAATGCAGGCGACACCTCTCCACTTGTTGGTCAACAAGGGACGCCCTATCAGGGTTTAGAAGAAAAGAGGGGATACGAAGAGATCAACAGCATATCAGCCAGCCTCTAAATCGATCGCCATGGATCTACTATTACTTTAGTATGTTCCATGAGGAGAAAGAGTTGCCATGAACTACAGCTGATGGAAGAATGAGGTGATCTGTTCATCGCAGCTAGCTTTTGCTTATTCTTATGTGGGCTGGACTGCAGATACATTGCATATTCCACGTCACTAATGCACAGGCTACTCACAGAGTAGATACCGAACAAGCCAGTAATATCAAAGGTCTGTGACAATTCTAGTCACGTGAGACTAACCTAGGTTCAATCCAGTTCCATGTATTGACTCAATAGTGTAGATGAATCTCGATTTTGCTATTGTGCAAACACGATCTGCATTGGCGATCATATACCCCTCTAGGTAGTGATAGACGGCGGCACGGACCACTCTTTCGCTATTATGTCTTTCCTACTCTGTTTGCGTTGTAGAGGTCCCTGTAGTTACAGGCTGTACATTTTACGTAGTCCATAGAAATCCCCACGTACTAGATTTAAAGTCCGGAGGACGTTTACTTTTTTTTTCTCACCCTGGATTGAGTCCTTTGAGCCTGCTAGCCAACATGATCTTTTCAATGATCTTCAAACCCTTCACTGGGGAGCACAAATTTCAAAGCCTCAAATCAGAGGCTGACGATGATACTGACATCGAGTCGGAGAACCTCCTTCAGAACGGACATGTCGCAAGACAAGGAGGCATCTCAAACCCTTTGATATACTTTACTGTTGCGAATGTAGTCGTCCTGATCATCACAGCTTCCTTGATCCTCAGTACAGGCACCTTTCGGACAAGTGAGAAAAATGCCATCTTAAGGCCGATATCATGGTGGTGTAAGTCTAGCTCTGGTTGATTCTCCCAGCTGTGGCTAACCTATTGAAGCACCACTCCTCGACGACATTGAAATCCCCAGATTCGAGACAAAGTTGAACGGGACACTCTTCGCTAAGCCCGAGGTTTCAATAGCCCGAGAAGAGCCCGGCGCGGAGAACGACGCAGCTTGGGCGCAGTATGAAAAGGTCCTGACTCACGTCGTCACCCGCGAGCAAATCCTCAAACTGGGCAAAGACCCGGAGACCGTCGCTCGCTTCGACAATGATTACTGGGGAATGGGCGATGATGCTTACATGGCCCAGATGGACGTGATGCATGTAAGTATCTTTCTCAGGTTACAATTGGGATTCCTGATACTGATGGAGCGCAGCAAATCCACTGCCTTAACCTGCTGCGAAAAGCAGCTTTTGTCGATTACCCCGGCTACGAGCCGGAGTTGGACGAGAAGGACAAAATGTGGTGGATACACCTCGGCCATTGCACCGATATCCTGCTGCAAAATATCCAATGCAATGCCAATACAGAGTTCCTGACATTGGACTGGGTGGAAGACCGCCAGGCCCCGTGGCCGGACTTCAGTGTGAATCGGAAATGTGGCGATTTCAATGCGCTGCTCGACTGGCAACGCAGCAATGCCGTCGATCCAGACAAATTTGACCAAATGCCAGTTCCAAAGGATGCTTTTGTGTGGCCAGCACCGTGGAAGAAGCAAGAGACGGAACTGGGTGAGAAGCTGGGTCAGCATCATATGCAGGAGGGCGTGGGCGATATGCATACGCATCACAGCGCAGGACATTAGTTAGTCGTGATGACTATTGCAGAAACATTGACGTAGTGGTTTTGCTTGATCAAGACTTGATCCGTTGCCTTTGGACCCATGAAGGTATCCATAGACTCCATAAAGTAAAACTTGCATGTATCACACTTGGGTAAATAACATGAACTCTACATGCATTGATCTAAGCGTATGTACAATACAATATTAATATGTGATAAGTGGGGAACTGTCGTCAATGGCACATTATCACCTACACGCCACCTATGCAGATCCTTGAGTGTTTAAGGCAGTATCGCATTATGTGATACATCATGCATGAAGGATTCTGGTCCGCCTTCCATGTCCACAGCCCCTCCATTGCCCACTCGATCTGCTAAACTGATGAAGATACGGATACGTCATTGACGGAAGGTTCTATACTTGTATGAAAGACCATGTCTTGTGCTCCCATGAATATTACAAGTCTCTTTTCACGTTGTTAGGCTATCCAACATGGTAGGGCATGTTGTTCCGTCAGAAGATGACCACCGGCTCAGTGGCGAAGATGGTCCATTCCTCTTGGAAGATCTCAGGAGCGAGTCTGCGTTTGGAGACGGACCCACCGATGATTCCAGCTCAGAAACAACTCCACCAGAGAAAAGCCGTCGTTGGCTTGTGATCACCCTTGTTGCGATAATGCTCACGTTTGAGATCGGGGGTCAGATGATCCCAGGTCCCATGGTGCGCATTATCGAAACCATCGTCTGTGATGGCTACTGGCGTGCACACAACCCAAGCCGGCTCCCGGCTTCGGGCCATGTAGCAGAGCAGCTGTGTAAGATCGAGGAGGTGCAGGCGGAAGTCACAACTATCAAGGGGTATTCGGATTTCCTCGAGGGGCTACTCTGTTCGTGTCAATGTCTTGTCCTTCCGCATATCCCAATTGTCTGACTATGGTACAGGTGTTCTCTGCGCTATCCCGTACGGACTATTTGCAGATCGATATGGGCGCAGGCAAGCCATTCGTCTTACCATTCCTGGATTTCTTGTGAACGCAATCATCACTAATTCCGTACTGTGGTTCTCGAATGTTTTCCCTCTGAGGGCTATCTGGTTCGCAGCGCTGAGCTGGACTATTGGGGGAGGACCAACTATCGCAATGGCGCTGCTATGGACAATGTTGGCCGATCATACGGCAGATATGAACCGTGCGATACTCTTCTTGCGGGTTGGAGTTGTCAGTGAGATTGCTACTTTCCTTGCCGGCGTGATAAGCGCGCAACTCATGGCCTTGAATCCTTGGATCCCGATGATGATCGGCTGTGGATTCGTTACTATCGGACTGAGCTGTGCTTTCTTTCTACCGGAGACGTTGAACCATTCCGTTAAGAGGAAGTCCCCAATGCACGGAGATGAGCCAGTCTCCTGCATTGGCGGCTTGATTGTCGATGAAGAATCGACCTTCAACCCGAAGGTTCTACCGAAACCGTCGAGACATCATCTCATCATGGGAAAGATCCGACGGTTCCTCCACCATGACATCTTCATCTTCGACCACCGGATCATGTTGCTACTGCTCGCTTTTGCCGTCTCCGAGCTCGCTCGCGGTTCCTCTGGGTTCCTGGCTCAGTATATCTCTACACGCTTTAGTTGGACCCTAGCGCGGGCCAATCTGCTCAAATCCTTCCACACAGCTGCCACCATCCCTGTGTTCCTGTTCCTCCTTCCGTATCTTTCAAGAGACGTTCTGCATTACCTATCGCTGTGTCGAAGGGATCTTTACCTCGCGCGTATGAGTATCATCTGTCTAGCTGTTGGATCACTTGGTGTTGGAATTGCGCCGCACATCGTCCTTTTGGTTCCCAGCCTTTGCCTGCACGCGGCTGGAGGAGGATTCCCGCTTGTCGCACGGTCCCTGGCTACGGCCTTGGTAGAGAGGGACAAAACAGCAAGGCTCTACTCGACAATTGAGATATTACAGTCGGTAGGAAGTGTGTTGGGGAGTCTGTGCTTTACGAATCTATTCATCCTTGGGGTGAAACTGAGTGGGGCATGGCTCGGGCTGGTTTGGATAATGAGCAGTCTGCTCTTTACATCGGTGGGGATCCCACTTATGATACTGCAAGTATAATCAGTTAAATTTCAGTCTTCTATAGACATAGCGTGATCCGTCCGTTTTACGCCGCCGGAATAGAGTATGATCTTTACAGTCTTAATCTTGTCTTGCCAACCCGGCCAGAGCCTCATGTAGGCTTTCTGTTGGCAACGACAGCAGCTTATTCGCGCTCTCGTCAGTGTCCATATAGTTCCCACCATACCCCTTGACACACGTTATGTATCGCATGAGCACAGGGATTGCGCTATAGTTTCCCTTGGCCAGCTTTTCCAAGGCCAGCCGTTTTTCCTCCTCCGCATCGTGGTAGGTTACGTTCCACTTTGCTGCTGTCAGATCTTCCAAAGCAGCGAGAGTGTCCCTCTGCGAGACATTGAATGACTCGATAAACAAGTACTTGTTGGCCACGCTTTCCGGACTCAGCATTGCATTCTTTACCGCAAGACCTACAGTGCTGCGAGTTGTCGCCGACCAACAATTCGTGCCATGGTCGAGGATGGTAGCGTGCCTTTTTTCCATGTCGAATCCGAGGAAATTGGAGACGGCTCTACTCGGATCAGATTTCTTCTCTCAGGACGAATCAAGTACGACCGCCCACTTACATCTCGAAGAACGGCCCCGTCACGAACGCCGTCCAACAAAGCCCATCCCCCTCCTTGCTCTTCAAGTACGCCACTATCTGCCTTTTTGCCGCGTAGAACTGCGGGAGCATCTCAGCCGCCTGGTCGTTCCGCGTGTCGTGGCCAAACTCGGACGGCACAAAATGTTTCACGCCGGCTTTGACAGCTGCATTTATTAAAGCCTTTTGCTGGTGTATGGCTTGCATGGCGATCGTGCAGATGATTGCATCCTGACCGGTACAAATCTTGACAAGCTCGGTTTCGTCATAGTTGTCACTGACGCGGTGGACTGGGATATGAGGCGGGAATGTGGACTTTGATGAATGACGGCTCAGAATGCAGATTTCAAACCGAGGATCGGAATCGAAAGCAGAGACGATGTGTGGTCCGAGATGGCCACCCGCTCCGACGACAATGACCTTCTTAATAGTCGACGACATTGTAGAAATAGAAACTGACGTCCAACTCGTGGGCAGAAAAAGTTGATTGCCTCTGAAAAGCGTATGTAAAAGTTGTTATAAGTTTTCACCTTTTCAAAGCCGATATCGAGCAGAAAGTCAGCTGCATAGTGGTGGACTATTCCGCCTAAGCCAGCTTTATTGTCTGAATTTGATCTGAATATTGGACGGAAGTCAGCAATTGCGTTGGTGGATTGTAGTCCATAGCTGTATTGCTCATTATTGGCGGTCTATCTGGGGACCTGCACGATCTTGTTTTCTAGGCACAGGGAGGGGTAGTTCTATGACGATTGACTCGTCATACTGCTCTACCTGCATTAAATAGCCCTAAAGCTTTCTCGTGCAGATTAGCATATGTAGATCCATTGGAAATGGCCCTGGGAACACAACAACATGATCTACGGTGGGTCTAGATCTGCACTGTGTAGTCAAGTCTCATGTTACACGTCACATTCTAGATATCCATTCTGTCGAAGTGTCAATCAAAGCTAGTAGCGAACCACTGCTTGCAGAAAAGGAGACAAAGTTTAACTAGCTACACTATTGGGGTGAATGTGTTGAACACCAATTGGCCGAAGTTGTCCTGTCTCGTCGAACCAACCCTCGTTTTTCTTCTCGCAGGTCTCTTCGCCGCGACAACAGCGCAGACCTGGAACCCTTTCGAAAATGAGGAACTTCTACATCGTCATTGTTTTGTTGTATTCAGGCAGAACCCACTTAACCATCCACTGCGATTTTAAAGCTTTTTCTGCGGTTGGTCGCTCTTCCGATCAAAATGGCCAGCATTCGGCGCATTAAATCTAGAATGGCAGCCACTTCCTCCGTGTCAAACTCATCCACGCGACTGCTCTTCCGTCGATATCTCTGCACCCCTTCCTCAAATTCTTTGTCAATCGAAGGCCACATATACCGGCCCTCTTTTGGATGCCCATCGTCATCAAGAATTGACTTCGTTAGCGTTTCCACCAGCTTAAGGGTATGGCTCCCAGAACGTCAATTTGCTGGGTCACCATCTCATCTGCGGTGGCAAATCCGCTGCTGAAATGGCTTTCATGCCAAGTATATCCAATATCGTGGTGGCCAGACTCCAAATATCTGCTGAATATGAGACCGGGGCCTGCGGTTCGAATCGGGCTTCTGGGGGCCGCACAGCTAGCGGGGTGCTACAGTCTTTCCCGTAACGAAACTCTTCTGGAGCGAATGCCTCGCCAAAATCACCAAGAAGCGTCGGGAGGCATTTTGGCTCAAAGTGCTGGAGAGTACTATGTTTAACATTTTCGGAGTCTGCCGACTTCATATCGCAATTGCTACGCGCTCTGGGCGAGAAGAGGGCTTCATTTGTCTCGGTATGAAAGAATGAAACCCAGTTCTTTCTACGATCCGAACGTGCAGGAGTGGACGGACTATGCAGACCTGACAGAAGACAGTAATTTAAGACTGCTTGAGTTACGTCTTCTAACAATGGATGTTGCCAATTATTGGATTAGATTTCTTGTTCTATGGCGTTTGCCTTTTTGGCTTGTGCAATTCTACGGACACTTGGAAGGACTAGTGGCTCCCTGGACATGCCTCAACGAGTACTCTCTACAGAGCATAAACCAATCCCTCTTTAGGGCGCACTTCCCCATTTGCAAGTCGTTCCCATCCACCGTAGATTCCATTATCGCCAGCAATGCCTTCTCCCCAGACTAACTGTATGTCAGGGATTGCGGAGGCACGGTCCGCTAACCATTCCTTCCACCTGCACGAGACCTTTCCGAAATATGTTGCGGCCCCCTCCCGGTTGATGATTGTGTCCTGGGCACCAGAGGTGTTGTATTGGATCTTCCCCATTGACTGCATAGCTGCACGAGCTGCCTGGACTTCCTCCGCTGTGTACACCTGGATAGAGTCAACGGGAATCATCAGATCTGAAATCAGAGAGACCGACCTTCTGTTGACTGCCCACCTGCAGAATAACAGTCTTGCATGACCGGAGCGCGGACTGTTGAAGATGCTGGCATATCTGGCTGAGGACATTCTCCCGCGCCCCGCAATCTATAATCACCACCGTTGATGGCTGTAGAGTCTCAATCCACTCGGTTGCCTGGTCAATTTCTGTATATGCAACTGCCATGGACACATCTCCCCAGCCTTTGCTATCTGCTACCTTCTGCAAAACACCAGGCGACGAAGTGACCTGTACGAATCCCAGCGGTCCACTCGGCCTGGGTCGATCGAAGAGACACCACGAGAAAGAGCGCGCAGTCTTGGTCGACGCACCCAGAACCACTACAACAGCAGACGAGAGATCCGCGTCGTCCACGGACCAGGGGAGCCTGCTGGCCGCGCCAAGCGGGTGGACTGGTTCGCGTGTTCGCGGGTCAGGAGGAAACACATACTCACTCAGCAGGTATCCGGCGACCCAGATCCCTCGAAAGAGGGCACCCCACGCCTTGTCGTCCGGCTTTTTATCTTCATCAGAGGGTACCTGTTCGTAGCGATTGTATATGGGCATCAGCTGTTGTCTGTGGCTGCTGACCTCCACCCAGTGTCCTTCAGGCTCGCTAGGTTCCAAGCGCAGGAGAGTGCGCGACGTTGAGGTAGGCCAGTATCCCCAGAGTTGGGTATCTGGCGGGATTCCAGGTACATTGCTCTCGGTGACAGTGGCGTATCCCCATGCCGGGACGATGCCCCAGGAAGACTGATCGTTGTATGGGGCTGGCGCGGTAGGTGGTACCGGGTACGTTTTCCACCTGTGCCTGTCAGTGAAGCACAAAGGATAAAAAAGCCAGGTCAACATACCAATGCAGTAGATCTCCTCCACGGGCGTACGTGAGGTTGTTGGAAGTTAATCCTAGAAGGATTGGTCGCGCACGGAGCGACAAGGAAGGCAGCTTTTGGTCTACTGACGGAGGAACATTCACCACAGCGTGTTGTCGGTTGTCGGCCTTGCAGACAACGTGGATCATCTCTGGGTTTGTAGCAGCGGATTCCATTATGACTGGGGTATGGTGATGTGATTTGGTGTGTGAGAGAGAGAGAAAGAGTTTTAGGACGAAGAGGCCAATGACGCCTTCTTTCCGATTTTGTACTTTGTGCTTTTTTTTATCTGATCCCTGTCCCTCAGCCCACTCCCCTTCTTTAGTCGCTTGAGGCGGCCGATAATCCCCGTAGCGGGGAAAGATTGTTTCAGATACGCACATGTCAGATTTTAGTCTGTCTAGGCCAAAGCAGTGACATTCAGCTAGCACAATGCTCAAAAGCTGCACCTAAATCACTAATGCTCGAAATCTCCAAAGGCAGAAATTAGGAAGCAGAACCATACATGAACTTGAGAATGTTACCCAGTCTTCTATATACGTGCAAGCATTTCACTTAAGACCCTGCACTGGACTAAAGAACCTGACTCCCCAGAAGCTCGTACATGCCTTCCTCGAACAATCTCACAAGTTCCTGCGCTTTCGGATCGGCCGGGGGCAGCAGCTGCATGCCAATAACAGCACACAGTCCTCTTGCCCGGTCAATGAACTGGAAGATGTTAGCAATCAGTTGCTCAACCTTGATCCTGCTGGGAAGTTACCCAAAAAAGGTTCGGCATGCCGCTCCAAATCATAGTGCCCTTGGACCTTCTCGTTCGCCCATCACTCTGAACCAAGATACCGCCCAAGCCCCAGTCATATTCCATATCTGAGGGGAAATCGCCGACGAATATCTTCACCTTGTCTGGATCCTGAATAAGGGCCTTCTGCGCGACCTTGCTCTCCGCCGTCAGCTGTGGCTGGAAAAACTGGTCAGCAGTCTCCTTCCGTAGCAGCTTCCCATCGTTGACAAGCAACGATGTCAAAATCTTCATATAGTCTTCGAGATTGCCAGATGCACCTTGTCCGCCAAAGCAATCCTCTGCCCCGTCAGTAATGTACGGGCCTTTGTAAGGTTCTATGCCACCAGACGCAGTTCTCGCAGTCATGGTCGCCAGTTTGCCTTGAATGGACGGATGCTTGCGCGGCCAAAAGGTGATGCTGGTGATATCGAGAGGATCGAAAATGTGCTTCCGAAAGTAGGATTCCAGCGTCTCTCCCGTGACTCTCTCCACAATTTTTCCTGCCCAGTCAACACCCGGGCTGTAGCCCCAGCCAGTCCCTGGCTCGTACGCCAATGGGTAAGCGAAGCGTTCCACTACAGTCGGCCCAGATTGTGGGGCCCGGTTGTTCAGAGCCCCCCATCTCTGGAGCAACGGGTTCATGGCACCGTAGGCAAGGCCCGCGCTATGTGTGAGCAGATATCGCAGCTTGAGCGGGTTCGTCCGTTTCCGCAGCTGCGGTTCCCCGGTCGTCTCGTCAAACCCTAAGAGCACCTCTTGCTCCGCGAGTTCGGGGATAATCGGTGACATATCGTCGTCCAAGTTGAGCTTCCCTGCCTCCACTAACTGCATTACTGCAATGCAAGTGATTAATTTCGTAGCGGAAGCAAAAGAAAGCACGGTGTCTGTTCGCATCAAAGATTCCTCTCCATCTCCAAATGTGCGGCGACCAAACGTTTTTGAGTAGTTGAATTTACCTGTAGCGGTCAGTGAAGATCGGATACGGGCTAGGTAGACGTACCAGACGTATCTTTGCCCAGAATAACGGCACCCAAAATGGAGCCATTCGCTGTCGCATTTTCAAAGACTTCGTCCAAAGAGGCCATGGCTTCGTTTCCTTGAACGCTTTGCCGTGATGATCTTGAGTAGTGGTATTCTGTATGTCAGAAGAGAGCTATGGTCATTTCTTAAATTGTCCATGAAAGATGTGATTATAAATTAGTGAGGATAAAGAGGGTTCTATATACTTCGACTAAGATACCTGGCGTGAATATTTGTCAGCAGTTCCCCTCAGATTGGTGTGCCCGCATCAAAGCTCCACATTGGCTTCAAAGACCAGACAAGCTCTATCCAATACACTATAATGATCCATCCAGGTAATGATTCCATCAATCATTTTCTTCTTTAGGCAGGCAGCCCCACACATTTTATTTCTATACAGTAACTATTGATGTGTGGTCTCGCTACCATCCATTTATCATTTACAATTCCTATTTAATATGACATTCTGCCACGCACATCAGGGCTCTCCTTATTTCATCTATACACATAATTTCCTCCATATTAATGGGACACTAATTCAGAAGGAATCGCTGCATGGATTTGACTCCTCCGCTCATGAGCATGCGGTCGAATGCCTCGTACCTGATCCAACGTAAATATATAACCATGTACTTGACGCACCTTTTTTAGGGCGAAAGTTATTGTTTCCTCGTCGGTCTCAATTGCATATCAAGATGCCAACACCGGATGCTTCTTTGATAACGAGGGAGATTACCATCTTGTGGGCAGCTGTAATAGGAGTACACTACTGTGACAGTAAGAAGCTGGAGATTGAATATGTTCATTATTTGGTGGCATGCAATCCCAGCATCACCTGCTCATATATAGCCACACAGGTGGCAGTAAGGAAATTTGAGGACGCGCCACCCCTGCAGAAGGTGACGTGTTAGCACTTTTCAAACACAAGGGGATTCCCCTTAGATCGCACTCTGTTTGACTTGATCATTTTTGGCTTCATTAGGAGATTGTCATTAAATTGACTCCACAGAAGTATAATAAAACTCAGGAATATCTTGCCATAATAGATATTGATACTATTGCGAGACCCTTTAATAAGGGTGGATACGTTATCATTAATGGTTCTGGCCATAAAATCAAGGAGGCCAAGAATCTAAATATAATATTAACCCTAGATTTAGAGTATTACTATCATTTGTTTCTACCAGCAATAGCCTAATACAGTAAGGCTTTTTAGCTAGCTTCAGGCTAACATCCATGCTAAGGTAGTAGCAAACGACTTTAATACAGACACAAGCTACGGGAGAGAGGGACCATTAGCCCAGACAGCAAACGGACAGGGTACCTCTTCATAGCGCATTGGTGGTAGAGCGCCATCCAGTTCGCACCCAATAATTGCCATTTTACGTTACCTAGTGCTGTGGCTGTGGCAATGTCAGTAATTACAGGCTCATGAACTAGGTCGGACAATGTTAGTATAAAAGATAGAAAGCACTTGACTACATGACAGACACATCTAGATCATTCTATAGTTTGTATTACCAGCTGTTCTAAGCCATACTAACGACATAATCAACCTATTCGTGAATGCCTGACATCGTCTCTAGATTGAACGTAGCCCAGCGTCCAATATCCATCTTATCTTCACTATACTGAGACTTCCACGCATGGTATAAACTGTGACAAAAAGATTATGGCAAGAGAAGTTGGAAAACGAGGCACTATACGTCCCGCGAGAGACGTGGCTTGAGATCGGATGTTTAGGCTGCTAGGCTCGGCAGGGCCTTGGATACGACCGGTTCAGTGATATGATACCCGTCGACAATTATAATTACTGTTTCCGCTTCATAGAGACAATACATAATACCTAGCTCGGCATTTTCCTTAGCGGTTATGTCGCGGCAAGCCTCGGTAGGGGCGCATTCTGGATATTAAGGTCCCTGCTGATGCTCAGAAGTCTAGAAGTAGAAACAATCATATACGCTTGGAACAGAATGGCATCCGCGGACATGATGTGTTTTCTTGCTCGAAACCGAATCTGTTCTTGAACGACTCCCTGCTATTATAAGCCTGTGTATAAATGCTACATAGATGCGACATACTCTTTCGGGCTAAGGGGGCTTTAAATGGCTTTACAATATGTAGGGATTATCATTACAGACCGGGGGCGAACTTGCGTCGGCGAATAACTCATAAGGACCACCTGCCAAATTAGAAATCCCACATCTATGTTGGTCTGAAGCCCTTGATCTTCTAAACCATCGACTGCATTCCCTATCAAATTTATAGCAAAGGAAGTTGGTAGGCAGGGTTCTAAACTCACGTCAACAACCACTACAAGATGGAAGCTAGCACCAGCACTTATTCTAAAGTTATCGCCTGTAGAATCATCTCATGGCACAGCCTTGTTCTCAACCATACTAAACCAGAACTTGGGCCCATTCCACCAAATGAGTGAGCACTTGCTGGCATGTCCATCCAGTTATAGTACCATCTACCGTGGAGAAGCGGTTGTGGTGTAGATGAGACTTTTCGTAAAGGGTGTACATGAACAAAGGTTAGCAATCTGATATAAACCTTTGTCTGCGATAAAAAAGTTTCTTTCCAACGCACCCACGAATTTCCCCTCCCCATCCGTGCTACATTCCACTAATAGCAGCTTATAGATCTCACGTACACTTTATAATATCCACTTTGCTGACTCTGTGGGGGCATAGCAGGCGCCAGCCCCATTAGTTACGGGTAGGCGGGCCGCGGGCGCTAGGGTCTTATTACTGGCCTAGGAGACGGTTGGTGGTAGACCATTATATGAATACAGTCTAGCGTCTAGAGGACGAGTGAAATGAAATGTGCTACCTGACAGGCATGCGGAAGGATGACTGGATATTACTAGACTATGATCGGATCCAGTATAAGCAGCTTCGTTCGTAAATGGATCATCTTTTGTATAGCTTCATGATAATATAGCCAACCAGGAACGCTCATTAGATAGTTAGGAAGAATTTGACATCCCTCTCTGCTTACCTCCCTTAACCTCAAGGCTGGCTCACCATCCTCCTAGTGCTTTCAGTACTCTCGTCTCTGTCTCCGTTGCGCGTGACTGTACGTAGGTTTGATATCAAGGTACTCTCTCGGCGGCGACTCAACCTGGATGATCTGAAGGATTTGGGCGTTGAGTGCGAGTTGGGCTTCTTAGAGTTTGCTATGGAGCTCAGCTCCGTCCCCTCGAACATATGGACAGTGTTCATCCCCACGGCTAGACTGGTGATCACACGGTAGAGACTCGGGATGCAAGCGGTGATGATACTGATGTTCATCATTGCCCTAGATGCCGGGCATTAGATTCAAGATGATTCCGAACCTGCAGGGGAAGGGAACAGACTGGTTACAAGCAGTCACGCTGACGATTGTCCCTGTATGCACATTGGTAAGCGTCAAGGCAAGCACCGGAGGAGAGGACTGCCGTACAAGTTGAATCAGTTGAATTGAGATATTGCGTCAAATACGTCGTTTGGACAATATTCAAGACAATTACCCTTGGCTCGTCAGCAATATTCCTACTTGACCGAGCTTGAACCCACAATGAACGAGACACAAATGCGGATGAAACCTTGAGGCGTTGGATACGGGGCATTTGCACATTCCTTAGCATTATAATTGGAAGGACGATAAGAGCTGCGTCAAGTGCCATGTTCAAACTCATGATCGGGTATATGATCGCACCCTAAAAATCTAAGCAACGTGCAATGATGGTTTTGGTCGGGGCCTACCTTTCCTATGCAGCGGCTAGGCGAATATTCCCAGTACGGGGCAGGACATTGAAAGGCAGTCCCGAAGAGCGCGAGCAGCATCCAAACACCGACTCCGATCTGTACCATGAGACACCATCGAAGAATTGATGTGCTCGGGCTGATTGAGCGGATGAGATTGCCGGTTGACACTTTGGACAGTGTGAGCACGAGGAGCAAGAGAAGCTCGGCCGCGTAGTTGAGCTGAAGATATGTTGTCAATGTTAGCATGTGAGCTCTCTGTCACCACGGAATGCACTTGACCTACCTTGTTATATGCCTCGAATGAGTCACTGGAAACCTCACTGCGGTGTCTCCCCATGCCATGATTGACGGCGACTTGGATTAGAATACTTTGAACGAATGCAACAACCTGAGACTGTTAGTGATTATAAGCTAGCTCGAAAGGCACTTCCTTCGTACCATGCAGATCCAAATTGGTATGTCAATTGAAGGGACTGAGCGCTTCAGATAGAGCATCGACGCGATCTTAGCCAGCACCACAATTACCGTACATGAGAGAAATATGAAGGTGAAAAGTGACACGATCGCGCCATGATTATCTGAAGTAATCTGCCCCAGTGGCGGCAACAGAGAGGGCTCCGCCATGGCAGCTAATAGCAGTATTAGCACAGTCAGGGAATCATACACTCGACAAAGCGAACGAAACAAGACATTGACATCAATAAAAGCATTTTGGCCATCTTTTGCGCGGAAGGCGGAGAACCTCAAGCAGTCAGACCACACTCTGGCCCCTGTGCGCTTGCTGCTCCAGACATCCTAGTTCAAAATACAACCTCGAAAGGTTCTCTTCCGCCAAATGGAAACGATCTGCAATCGGAAATAAACTCTAGCCGGTTAGCAATTTCAAATTGACTGGACTTGATATTAGTCCGCGCATAGCGACCAGGATGCGCGCAACGGCGTCATGCTAAGCCAGGATAAGCGGCCAGGGTTCGTCGCACTAACTCATAGGTATGTTTCTCCCCCTCCTTTGCCTCCTGGCTGGCATTTTTCCATTTTACCGCCCCTTGCCACCATGTGAGGCATTTCTTTTTCATCTCTCATCAAACTCTCCTCCGTCCATTGAGTCGCGGCAGTCTGCTGCACTCTCCATTGAAGATGGATAACAACGGAATTGAACCGTCGTACGGCCACGAACATGGGAATGGCTTCAAGTCGCCCCACGACAATATCGTTGAATCAAAATATTCTCATGAGAATGGATACCAGTCAAAACCACGCCTGGAGGTATGCACAAAAGGAAGAAAGCTGGCCTGTCATCTAACCGCTAGCAGAGATATCTCGGTTTCCTGCCTATGCTGGCTTTCGCAGCAACCCTCCAGGCATCCTGGGAGGCTATCGGTGCGAGTATGTTTGCTGGTTTAGAGAACGGAGGGCCCGTTGTCCTTATTTATGGACTCATGCTGGCGATTGTGGGTTCTCTGGGCATTGCCCTGTCTATGGCCGAACTCGCATCCATGTGAGTAGTCTCTCGGGTAACATATGAATGCTGCTGATATAGTAGTACTCCTGTGGCTGGAGCCCAGTATCACTGGACATATGATCTCGCACCGTTTGCGCCGCGATTCCTGAGCTTTATCCAAGGTCTGTCTCATACCAAAATTAGTGAGCCTAGCTGACAAAGTACAGGATGGATTACGGTATGGAAATGTCCATAAAAGCTAAAATCATACTAACAAGGTAGATGTTCTCCTGGTGGGCGAACGTGTCCACCTCTCCCTACCTGATAGGCACCCAGATTCAGGCTCTTGTGATCCAAAATCACCCGGAGTACGTTCCCAAGCCATGGCATGCGACTCTCATTATCTGGGCGGTCCTTCTCATCCCTCTGGCTGTGAACATTTATGCCAGGCGTCTTCTGTCGCCAGTTGAGGTCATTGGCGGCATCATTCATATTCTATTTTTCCCAGCTGTATTGATTACTCTGATCGTCTTGGGCTCGCGCAACTCGTCGGAATTTGTCTGGACACATTTCGAGAACTCCATGAGCGGCTGGAAGAACGACGGGGTCATCTGGTCTGTGGGTCTTTTGACCGCAGTTTACACTCTGGGCGGTGCATAACGGTCTTCCAACACCACTATCTGCAATTGCACTGACAGTTGAATAGGATTTGACGGCGTCGTACACATGGCCGAGGAAGTCCGGGACGCCCCTCGAGCAGTCCCCCGATCAATGGTCTACAGCGTGCTGGTCAACGGCTGCGTCGCTCTCGGGTTCACCATCGGACTCATGTACACAATGGGCAGCCTGACCGACGCCCTCGAGACTCCCACCGGCTACCCCATCCTCGAGATCTTCTACGCAGCAACCAAATCCAACGCCGCCGCCTCAGTCCTAATGATGACGCTCGTCCTCCCAGGCTTCATCGCGCTCTTCAACGGCCTCGCCTCCGTAACCCGACTCACCTGGGCCTTTGCTCGCGACGAGGGCCTCCCCTTCTCCAGCTTCTTCGCGTACATCTCCCCACGCTACAAGATCCCGCTACGTGCGCTCTTCCTCGTCGCCATGATCACTGTGCTGCTGGCGCTGATTAACATTGGCTCCACCACCGCCTTTAACGCGCTCCTCTCCCTCACCACGCTGGGGCAGTACATCTCGTACCTGATTCCGGTGATCTTTCTCCTGATCAAGCGTCTGCGGGCCCCCCAGGAGATCCGGTGGGGGTCGTTCCGTCTGGGTCATTGGGGAGTCCCTATCAATGTCTTTGCGATTGTGTACGGGGTGTATATTATTATTTTCCTGCCGTTTCCGCCGAATTACCCTGTTACCGCCAAGAATATGAATTACGCGGCGCCGGTGTTTCTGGCTGTGTTGGTCTTTGCCATTGGGGACTGGTTTGTGCGAGGGCGGAAACGCTGGCAGGGGCCGATGGTTAAGGTGCGAGCGGAGTAGAGAATGCTTATTTATCTTCTTTATGAGTAACGTCACGCCTATTGAGACGCTTTCTGTTATCCAATGTGGATTATTATGTATAGATGAATTCGCACCTAAACTCTAGTCCATCACTCCACTATTCCAGAGTCAAAAGCAGTACGGAGTACAGAAACTCAATCCCACATTTTGCCAGCTAAATCAGCCACTAATCACTCAAGCCTGCTAAGCGGCGAGTTCCCGTCCCTTGGCCTGAATACGTAGCTTAGTTCTTGTGATCCCTGACTAGTCTGTGCTTTAGTGTTTGTGATCCCTGTGCACACGGTTCGTAGCGAGAATACAGTCCACCACTTAGCTTATTGTTATCACAGACAGCAATGTCGATCACTTGTGGATGCTTTGGAGTCTTTACGGTGGTCTAAGCTTGCCGCCATTGGTTGTATGCATGAATTAGGATGGATCGATACAAGGCCAGTTTGCTATTATGGTTGTCTTGTGTGGTTGGGTTTACCTTGTAGTCTGGTCATACAGCTGGCCATGCTCCATGAAAATAATCAGGGCGATCCACTGCTTTACCTGATCACTAATTTGTAATTGCTTTGATATGAGAGCTTTCATATATCTGTTGGTAATCAATTACATTCGAACACTGTTATATTCTTCTTTCTCTGGGACATGGGCATGTAAGGGTATTTGCCCCATTTATCGCCATCGACCAGGCGAACGATCTTCGTCTATGTGAAGTTATGTCGGCGCTCATACGAATCGGTTCCCGAGCAGCGGCCGGCATGAGATCGACGTTCGAGTAAGCGTATCCATATGCAATTGACCTGCGGACGAATATCAGTATATCAAAGCAGATCATCTACTTTCTCCAACAGGACGCACTCGATGGCGCATGTTACTGTAGTTACCTTTACAGAGTTCTATAATATATTAGCCAGCATTGTTGTCCATGGGATCCTATCTCCTGTGTTTATAATACTTAGAGTAAATTATAGATGGCCTCTAATTCCCACTAATTCTAATAGACCCTAAGTGCTAGTGCCCTAGAAAGCTAATCAATATATGTGGAATAAGTAGGCACAAAGCAACGGATGGTTCGAGGTGTAAATAAAACTAAATTAGAACTTCTTCTACAGAGGACTGGGAAAATCTTTAGTTAGGACGCAGTGGACTACCACACCATACTAGGGTTTTACTAATTTAGTATCATTACCCAGTCCTTCTAACTATTTAGGATTGTTTTGAGCTGTTGTTGCGGACTGTCCATCTCTAAACCTAATTATATAGCCTATTTTGCAGTTATAATCCCTGTGACCTCAGTGTCTTTGGTGGCTTCTGCGTGCAACAGGGCAGAGTGGATATGCATGTTAGCAACATTGGTAGGCAGGTATCTGATGAAGGTTTTATGGTTTCTGTTATCTAATTCTTCTGCAGGGCGTGCAGTGCTAATCTAGATGTAGTTTGCTCCCTTTTGGGGCACTCTGACTTACACCTCTCTAGCGGTCACTTCGGCTGCAACTACAGCCTATATTTTAGTAGGTTCGCTTTCACTTCAAAACTAATTTGCCATCCAATAACATTCACGCGTCTGCAGTTCTAAATACATAACATGGACAGCCAGCAATCGAGGGGGTTTTTAAAGCAAAATTTGAGAAAAATCACCTTGAAATGCGGCTTGAAGGTGGTGCTACCATTCAAGGTGAAATTCAGGGAAGTTCAGGCTGGACTGCTGAACTTGATGGCACATATGACCTGGACGTCGAACTTCGCTCCTAGGTGATCCTAAGGTCCTGGAGGGTTTTTCACATAATATAATCTACCTTAAACTGGTGGTATGACAGAACTCACCACCGGTTACTCCTGAATAATATCAGGTGAATCAGTCCAAGCAACGAGGTCGTGGAGGAGGAGGAGTCTAATGGATGGACTGAGGGATGCTGGGAGCCTTTAGTATGAAAAACCACATCCATAATTAATGCAATTAGTCTTCAAATGGATTAGTATTACAAGTTACATCCCAGTTCGCATGAAATTCTGATTCGACCGCTTAGACTGCCGATTGCTATCCTGATTTAACCACTGAGTTGCAGTCCGTTGGCAGAGATCCCTACGCCTCCATTTGGGAATCGTATTTCCTTTCTACATATACTAACGTAGAATATTATATTGGAAGAATCAGTCGTTTATTTCAATTCTATTCATCACCTTCGTTTACCACGGTTGTAGATCTTGACGGTTTGATTGATCAGAGGAATGTCAGATTTGCTCTCAACTCCTGATTGGTTTGCTCAAGGGCCCTTTCGATAGTCACGTTCATGTTTTCTCTTGTCTTCTTAAACTTCTCGAAACCTGGCTCGATCTTTGGATCTGCCTTCCAACCGACTGGATCCTTACTCAGTATGATGTATGGACAGTCAATGAAGCGATGAAAATTGCCGCAGATGCACTTGCGCTGATTTGAACAATTTGATTGGTCGGATTGGCCTTGAAAGGTTGCAAAGCTGGATTGCTTCTCTTCGTCTGATGCGGACACCCAACCGTGTCGGAAGGCGCTTATCTCTTCCAAGATGCTTGGGGTACTACCGGGCTCGAGATTCGCATGCCTAACCTTCGCGTAGACTGGCAGAAGGGGGTCAATCACGTTGATAAACTTGAGGCTAGCGTGGTGTCCAGAATATCCAACCAGTCCAGCATCCTCACACTCATGGATTATGTTTTCCCATTCACTAAGCCATTCCTCCATGCTCTCATTGCGCTTCTTTTTACCTAGCTTCTCGAATCGGTCCCTAAGCTTCAATCATGCAGGATACGTCATCATGGAGATCTGACTGCAAACTAACTATTTAATTTGCTTTAACCCGTTTCAAGCTGCCGAATATCTTCTAGGACATTGTCATGACAGTCTAATTTGCCATCTAGAGGCCTCAGCAGTGTCGTCCTAATCCCCGGCGTTATTAAAAGTGAAGACATGCCATTTTATTATTTAATGCTGATAAACATGAGCTCTTAAGACTCTAATATGTTTGACAGGGCATGACTTATATTACTTCAATATACTAGCCCCGCGGATGGAATCTGGACCTAACAATCTCTTCGTGAGACCACCCCCATAAAAATTGCTTGACGCCTTGCTCATATTCTGAGTACTCTGTCAGTTAACCGCAAACAAGAACAGTAACAGTCAACAGTGCAGAAAAATATATTATATATGGTCAGTCCTACCTGCTCTGTCAACATGACCATCCTTATTCGAGTCCCATTTTTTAAATTCCTCGCGCAGATGAGCTTCGTTGGGTTTAATTGCCTTTTCATTGAATTTCTGCAGGGAATATTCGCCCATTTGCCGAGCTGTTTCCCGCTCAGTTTCATACCGGCGGAACATACTCTCAATAAAGTCATTTTCAGAAAGTAGGCCTGTGGTTGATCAGCATCTCAGAGAAACCAGGAAAAGTATTCTGCCTTAGCCAACGTCATATATATACCATTGTGAGCCTAAAGTTGAACTATTAGTTAGACAATTCATATTAGATATTACAGCTTGAAAGTGCTACTTAGTACTCACCGACTTATTGAACTCATCGTCGATTTGGTCATTTATATTTGGACGATACCCAGAATAAGCATTAGGGTCAACAGTCTGCAGGATTAACGCACATTAGTATTAGACAGGCCCCCTCCAGTGAGGTGAGGGAGGTATGGTACAGTTGTCTGCTGCCTTCCCGCGATGTCGGACCAACTGCTTCCCATTTTGAAGAATTTAATGTGACAAAGTTTTGCCTACTTGCAGAATTGGGGTAATTGACCAAAACAAAATGCAAGGATAGACCAGCTTCATTATATAATGTCGGATCATTAGTTCAATTCGTCATAAGTTCATCATGACCACAGTTGAAGGAGGTCAAATTGTCTTATAGTCTACCAATATTTACAATAGCCGCTGTTTGCAGCAAATTGCAACCCCAGCTGAAAATCCGAGTTATCCGACCAGAAGGCTTACTGATAGCACAATTGCTGTGTCTTCTGACCGGACATACCGGTTACATTTATTCATGTGCACTATTTCAGGCATTGTTTGTACGTGGGGTACTGTAACAAGGTCTAAGGCAGCAAAGCAGCCAGCAGGATCGTGACGTCAGCTGATCTAAGAGAACAACGCTTGATTCCAAATTTCTAATCTACATCACTCCTAAAAGAACCACTCCCTTGATGCAATTCTAATAAGTCCATACATAAGTGACATAACTAGGAGACTGAGCATATAGAAACATGGCACTGGTGGATTAGACTCTGTAGGAATAAAATAACTTTATTATAATTAGGGCCAGGCAAGCCAGGCTAACTAGCTCATCTATAGAGTTGCATTTGGTGTGACCGTGTCCGTGTGAGACTGTGAGTTCAGGTGAGTCCAACCTTAGTTGGAACTGAACCACTGTGATTTTGAGTTGAAGTTTTAGAAATTAAATCTAAATCAAATCTAATATAGGTTGGTTGCAGTTCCACTATAAAAAACTATAGCTAGGCCTATACTAACCAACTATAGTTAGATTTAGTATAGTTTTAAGTTGGATAAACTGCTGTTCTTAACTATAGTCTATAAATCTTAAGCTTAGAAGATGTGATAATATCTCTTCATTAGAGTTGCATAACCGAACCACTAAAATTGAATCTGACCCTCACTTAGAGTGGCATAACCGACCCGCAAAAATCGAACCCAGCCCTCACCGAACTCGCAGTGGTGTCGGTTCGGGGGTAAGCCTAGGGAACCACTTCGGGTTCGGTTAGGCTACTCCAGACCCGACCGGGTTAGGTGAAAACCGCAGTTTTCAGTTTTTACAGTTTTTTGAGTTAGGTTTAACCAACCCGCACTGTTTAACCTAGAAATCATAAAATTCTCAATATTTTTAAATAATATTTATATCACTAGATAACCCTTAATTCAAGCTATCTAGTGATATAAATATTATTTAAAAATACCTAGTTGTTACTGAGATATAGGGGAATAATCATTTCTGTTATAGGTTGGTATGAAAGTAGTACAGAGATATATATATAAGGACACTAAGGCCCAATAACTACTATATACTTTAAATAATTTTTAACCACCACCTATTCTACACTATAGAGATCAAATTAATATTCCTAATATAGATTAGAATGATTATAATTACTATATATTTCATATAAAAACAATAATTTTATATAAGCATGGCCCTAGAGAGGTACCTAAAGGAGGCCCCCAGGGGGAATGGTAAGGGTTAAAAGTTTGGGTGGGAGTTTCGGATTCTGTGGTGGAGGAGGCTGTGGATGTTGATATGGAGCTGCTGTCGTTGTCTCCGTCGCCACCGTCTGATCCTGAGCCCCCACTATCGATGTTTCCGAATAAACCAGGGGGACAGAAAGAACATCCTGAATAACACCAGAGGAAGCCTATAATGGATAAGTTAGTTGATGGTGGTGGAGGGAGGGGGCGAGCAGAAGTGGTGGAATGACGAACATGGCGTTCCACACCCAGTAGCACATGGGGGTGACACGGGGCTGCCTGAACTCCAGCGGGTTGTTTTGCTGTTCAGTACCGGGTCTGTGGTTGAGTCTACGGTGGTCGGGTGCGGGTTCGGGGTGATGGTGATGGGAACTGGTGTTCCTGTGGTGTCACCTGTGATGCTAGTGCTCCACCCTACAGTCTCAGTTGTTGATGATAGCTTATATGTCTCCGAGCCCCAGAAGATGACTGTCGCGTTCTGTGTTGTGGTGGTCGGTATTCACATTGCCCCTTTTGCACTATTCTTCATCCAGGAAAGTGTAATAAGAAGAACCCAGGCCATTGCAATATTCCTTACGATGTTAATCTAGTGGGCTACAATTTAACCATTCACCGGTTCCTTTCCCTACAACCGGATTCCCCCTATTCATTGAGATAGCCTGCTGTACGTCAAACCCTCGAACTGCGCATACAACCATGTGCCAACGTCTCGTTTTGCCCCTTGATCCCGCAGGAAATTTGCCGTCTCCTGATCTCCTAACTGCTCAGCCAATGCAAGTGGACCCCCAATAACCCATGTCGGAAGCTCTTTAATCCACCCTCGGTACTCAACATTGATATTGGCTCCACGCGCAACCAGCAATTTGGCTAGATTTGTATGTCCACGAAGGACTGCCCGAATTAAAGGTGGCATCAGTATGTCATCTATAGCATCAGGAATATCGCCAAAGATCTGTTTTAGCGTGGAATGGTCGCCTTCTTCAAAATCCGGCAGTGCACCGTTCGTTAGCAGGATTTGAGCGATTCGCCCATCAGAGTAATCCATGCTGAGCGCAAGGGCGCGCGTTCTCTGTAATCGTGATGTGGGGCCCACAAGGATCTGGACCATTTCCTGATATTGCCCCAGGACGGCTTTCAGCAAGGGTATAGCCTCCCTATCCCTAGACCAAAAATTCGGGTTTGCCTTGCCTCCCGCCAGCAGTAATTGAAGAAGTTGAATATCTCCGTTATCTACTGCCCAAACCAGGGGTGTATAAACAACTCGGCAACCCCGGAATACATAGTTGAGGCTAACCCCAGTGGCCAGAAGGAGTGGAAGAATATCTCCGTGTCCTTCAACTAGTGCACACTGAATAGCATCTTGTAACTGCGATGTATTTGGCCGGGTCGGATCAGGACCATAGTGGAGTAAAAGATCCACGACATCCTTTGCGCCTTGGAACGCTGCGATCTGGATGGGGCTATTTATGACCGCGACGTGCCTCCTATCTTGACGAGCGCCTCGGCTAAGCAGAGTTCGCACAAGATTCAGATCGCCATGAATCACGGCAAGACACAAAAGGGTAAGGCCCTCCGGGTTTCTCATATTGACGTTACATCCTCTCCCAATCAAAACTTCTGCTATAACCACATGTGAGTGTTGGATAGCAAGACACAGTGGATGTGGCGGAGGGCAGTTGTAAAAATGGTATGGTGTGCATAACCCATAACTTATCCGCATTCCATTGGTGGATATTTCTCCAGCAGAGGTTGATGTAGTGGCTATTTGTGCACCGTAACCCAGGGCTTTCTGTAGGATCTCCATGGCTCCATGCTCTGCGGCCCACGCGATGGCGGCGCTATGGGGACTTCTGGCGTCAGCATAACAGAGAATTGGGTCAAATATGGCATTGAACCGACGGTTTGCGCAGGCTAATGCACGGAGAGTCCGGAGCGATCTGATGGTTTTGCCAATTTTTTGCAGAATTTCCGTTGGTAAGCCTACCGGAGGAGAAGACATTATCGCGAGTAGCTGAGGGACTGTTTTTGTTGGCAGTGTAGGTACTCGGCAACTTTTGAAGTATAAGACAAGCTTGCCTAGATGCGACGTAAGCTCGGTGCGTAATCTTGGCAACTTCGTTTAATCTATCTAATCTAATCTGCCACTAGTCCCGAAGCTTACGCGTTCCCCCATACTCCCCAGACAGGGGGCAGCAGCGCCCTTTGAGCTTTAGACCACAATTGCACTGTACATGGCACATCTGCGGGACGCCTAACCGGTGAAGAGGCTCGCTCGTGGCATTCGATATTCTTGGCGTAACTAACTATATGGCTAATGCTTCCTACAGTCAAGCCGACGGGAAAAATGGCTCCGTTATACTATCTCGGTCCACTTCTAGATACGGATGTACTGCCATTGCGCCGTCTATTATAATTATCCATCCCTATTCCAATCTATAATGCTATATACAGATTACTACATGCGAAATGACATTCTCCAACTTGATTTGGGGGCCGCTGGCCGTTCTCTCTCTCGTCCAGGGATATCTGGTCTCTTCTCCAGGCACTGCTGCCCCCAGAACGACGGACGACTGTAGTGGATGGATTGAGTACTCATCCAGTCTTACCTGCCCTCTAATTGAACAATACTTCGGCATGACTGAGGCTGAATTCGAAGCATGGGTGAGCCAGCTCGTACCCTTTTAATAATCGTTCATTTTCGCTCTAACATATCAGCAAGAATCCGATCATTACTGAGCTTGGATCCGGCTGTACCCTAATCGAGGGACTGTATTACTGTGTCCAGGTCAACTTCACAACGATCACTGTTAGCTCGATAATCCAATTCCCACAACCACAACATTTACAACATCCACAACGACAACTACAACATCATCTATCGCAGTAATCACCACTATCACTGCCACGACCAGGGCCATCGCGACCCCCACCCCCTACGAAACCAGCATGGTAGATGGCTGCGACACTTTCCACCTGGTCGTTAGTGGCGATAACTGTGCGGATATTGCCAGCAGCGCCGGTATCTCCGTTAGTGAATTTGAAACATGGAACCCTACCGTAGGCTCAGGCTGTAGCGGTCTTTGCCTGGGATATTATGTCTGCGTTGGGATTGTCGGCGGAAATATAACGTCTACCACGGCTACTACAACAACTGCATCTACATCTACATCTACTGGCAATGGTGTGACTATACCGACACCATACGAGACTGGAATGGTGGACGACTGCGACGCCTTTCACTTAGTTGTTAGCGGAGACGACTGTGCTAATATTGCTTCTGATGCTGATATTACGGTCGACGAACTCTATACCTGGAACCCGACGGTTGGGACGAGTTGTAGTGGCTTGTGGCTGGGTTACTATGTTTGTGTTGGTATTCTCTAAGGATAAGGGGCTTTATCGTCAAGGAATCATATCAAATAATATACCACTAGGCCAAAAGGGTGTCCGGACTGTCAGGATAGGGTCTCATATCTGTAATCATAGTGGTATTCTATTTTCAAAAAATCATCAATCAGATGTATACATACGCGAAGTAGTGTTTTCGGCTTTAGCTCTCCGTTCGTCTGATTGGCTCCGTCGCGCGGTTTAGCTAGACTTCCCGTGGGTATTTCTGCTTTGAAATCAAGCTTCGGGGCTTCGAGCAATGTACCCGGTGAGTGACGGCTCACATCGGAGGTTGGAAGCTCTGATTGACTTCATCCCCGATGGGAACGGACTGTTGGAGAATCTATAACTGGATAGCTGAATGTCAACCGCAGGATATATAACTGGCGCTGTGTAAGCGCCTGCCGTTCTCATTCAATCTAGTTAATACTCCTGTGTGGCCTAAGGTCAGTCTCCGCTCCTGTAGTACCTACGTGGCAGCGGGGCTGAGTAGCGACAGGCTCATTCAAGGTTTGAACACGTTTATCGGCCTCGGACCTTGATTGTGTAGCTTGTTTTCCCGGGTATAGTGCATGCGTCAGCACAGGTACGTGGCGTTGTGAAGAAACTTCCCTGATTCAAAACCCCAAAGAAAGCAACTCAGAGGGCCTATCAAAAGAAATATAACAGCTCACCTATTCTCCGAATCTCACAGTAAGAACAGTTATCTTTGGTTCGCTCCGCTAGTACCTCTCCATCCCTCTCCATTGCGGTCTCTACGGAATGCTTCGTAATACTCTTCCCACGCTTTGCGGTCTGGTATCTTTATCTGCCGCCGCGCTTTACGAAACGGTGATTGAGACCAAATATGGCTCGGTCCAGGGTTATCCGGCTTTCAACAGCAGCCATACCGGCAACCTGACGCACTGGAAGAACATCGCTGTATGGAAGGGAATTCCCTTTGCTGCGACCACTGGAGGTGCCAACCGGTGGAAAGCGCCACAGCCCGCAAGTCCATGGAACCAAACGTTGGACGCGCGCAACTGGGGCCCTATTTGCCCGTCCGCTACGACCGGGAATAGCGGCTACACTATTGATGAGGATTGCCTCAACCTCAATATCTGGAGCCCAGCGAACTCCACCGACGCGAAGCTCCCTGTGGTCATGTGGAGTTATCCCGCCGAGTCAACCGCGGCGGATCCTCTCTTCGACGGCGGTGGTATGGCCGACAAAGGGATTGTCTTCGTCAGTTATAACTACCGCACTGGACCTTTCGGCTGGCTCGCTCACCCTGAGCTCTCGGAAGAGTTTGAGATGGTTACCGGGTCCAACAGCTCGGGTAACTGGGGAATGCTGGATCAGTTCGCTGCCTTGAAATGGATCCATGCCAACATTGAGGCTTTTGGGGGTGATCCAAATCAAATTACAGTTCAAGGACAGTCGGCAGGCTCTGCGGCCACTCAGCATATACTGTATAGCAGTTTGACCCGGGGACTGATTGTCGGTGCCATCATCGAGAGCGGTGTCCGGGACCCCCACGACCCCCTCTGCACCAGCCTCGCCGAGGCTTACACCACGCTGGAAGATGCGCTAAAAAATGGCAATACCTATCTATTTAACCTGGGAGTGTCCAGCATCGCCGAAGCCCGGAACCTAAGCGTGGAGGCATTGATCAACGGCGCGACCGGTAGCACCCGCGACGAGACAATCATGTTTGAGGCGGTCCTTGATTATTATGCCATGCCGGATACCTACCTCAACATCCTGATGAAAGGCCTGGCCCACGACGTTCCGGTAATCACCGGAAACAATAAGGACGAGAATGGAGCTACCTATGGTCTCAAAATCTCGCTCGCGGAATATCTGCAGGACCTCAACGAAACGTACAGCGGGGAGTGGGTCAACCGGTTCCTTGCTCTCTATCCTGCTAACGACTCAATAACCGCATCAGGAGCATATAACTCCATGTTCACCGACCGCTCCAAGGTGGGCACCTGGCTTTGGAGTCAAATGTGGTATACCACCAAGAGCAGCCCAGTTTGGAACTACTTCTGGGATCACGCGCCCCCCGGCCAGAGTTCCGGGGCCTACCACGAGTCGGAGATCAATTACGTGCTGAACAATCTCTATGCCACCGAGAAGCCCTGGACTGCCGAGGACTACGCTATTGCCAAGAATATGAACGATTACTGGGCTAGCTTTATCAAGACCAGAAACCCTAATACTCAGGCAGAAGGCGCAGTTCAGTGGCCCGCAGTCAACGCCGCCAAAGTAGTACAGCATGTAGGCGATGGATGGGGCCAGATCCCCATTGCCTCGAATAAAAACGTGAAGCTGTTCGAGGATTGGTTTGCCAAATTAGTAGCATACTGAGATTGTACGAAAGTTATCAGATAAACTTCCAGTATGACTTGGAATGAGGAGATCACGTCACCTGGGACCACAGCGTTGACGCCTTTGTGAGGACACTACCTTGAGGTAATCTTCAAGATTTGTCAAGTTTGTGTTTACGGCTCTATGTCTATTCGTCTCTGATAGCCATCATATTCTGTCTTGGTTACTTCCAATTCTTTTTCTTCCTTGTTGCCTCTCTATAATTATCGTAATGGTGCGCTTGAACTAGTGTCAACTGCCTTTCGTCCATATATATATATATAGTGGCTCTGAAGACAAACAAGAGTCTCCTTATGGTTCGACATGTGTATTAAAAGAGTGAACTTTTCGTGCAATAGACACTTTACTACTGGCATCTCCCATTGACGCAACTGGCTTGATTTTTTAATATAACAATTCTGATTTATAAGACGCAAGATACATTATCCATTTGAACTTTATCACTAAGCATAGTCATATATCCATCTAATTACCGTGAGAAGCTGTATACCGTCAGCCCAGAAGACCACTCCTTTTCCCGAAATCTTTCGGGCTTTTCGAGAGCTGCAGCACAGAACAACCAGCACTATTAAAGGATCGATCCCGACAGTATTTTTCTCAAACCAGAACATCATCCATTCCCTTCGTCTATCCCTACTCAGATCATCGCTATTCACTACAATGTCTGCCCCAATCAAAGTCACCTTTCCATCTTTCATGCTGCAGATCAGCGGCGAGCTCTATGAGCCTGTAGCCGGCTCCCCTGACCGCAAAGGCGCTGCAGCTGTGGTCAGTCACCCCATGACCGGTGTAAAGGAACCAACCTCTGCGAACCACGCCCGATTGCTTTCCAAAGCCCTTGTTACGCCCTCACATTTGACGCAGGGTACCAAGGGGAAAGCACCGGCTAGCCTCGTGGCGCTGAAGACCCCCATAAGAGAGTAGAAGACGTCAAGGCTGCTGTGAGTTACTTGACCACGCTCGAGGGCAAGGTTGACCCCGGGCGTATTGGTATCCTTGGGATTTGCGCCTCGGGCGGTTACACATCCTATGCCGCGCAGTCCGACTCGCGAGTCAAGGGCCTGGCCACTGTCGGTGCCGCTTGTGGAGAACAACAAGGAGTCCCCCCAGGCTATTGCTGGGGCTCTCCAGGCGGCTGGATAATGGCGCACGCAGGAGGCTCGCCGACCTCATTCGGAGGCCCCACCATGTTCGGCTCCAATATCAACCAGATTCCAGATAACGCCGACTCTTTCTTCAAGGATGCGGCTGCATACTACGGGTCTGAGCGCGGAAGGCATCCACGTTCGGACCAGAGAGTCCCTCCCTCCAGCTATGATCTTATGGTCTGCTATGACTCTTTCAACTTCCAACAACTGATCTCTGGACGGCCATTGTTAATGGTCGCCGGGTCCAAGACTCAGACCCTTCACTACAGTGCGACCGCAGTTGCTGCAGCCTGTTGAAGGGAAGAACCATTTCGACCTTTATGATGACCTTGCGGTATCTGGCCCGAAGCTCGTGGAGTTTTTCGGAAAGAATCTCTAAAAGTCATGTCGAGATTGGAGAGTGCAGACGTAGGAGGGAATTTGGAGGAAATTGAAATCTAATCTGCATCAGTAAAGTGAATTTGTCTTTGTATAGGCTCAATCTATAGGAATATCGAGAATTGACTGAATGGGTGAAAGCGCTCGCTTCCTGTGTCTTAGCCTTGGCCGTTTCTATTGAGGTAACTAGGTAATCAGAGCGAGACTAGATAATAGACAAGGTATATTGAACGCTGGGCAACACGTTGGAAGAAAAGACGAAGAGCCTATAAAAGCACGATTGCCTGTAGCAAGGCTAGAGCAGATTCGACCTAGAATCAAGCAACTCCCGCTGTTTTTCGATTCGCTCCAGGACGTGCGCCGTATCTCGATGTGATGTTGCGGTCGCTGCAGCATCTCGCAGTAACTGTGCGATTTCCATATATCTCAAAACCTTTTGCTTCAGAGTCTCTTCTCGATCGTTTGCATGCCTGGACTGAAGCAGCCTCGGGGGACGGCTGTCGCAAAGATCAATCCCTCGTTGGCAGGACCAGTAGCACATGCCCGCGCAGATGTTACGCAAAATATTTGGCGCGAGATCGATCAATGAAAGTCGCTTGTGGTCTTCATGGTGGGTGTCGTGTTGCGTCATCCACTGGCATATATTGACCATCTCATTTAATGTGCGCAAACTTTCATATTCCACTCGTCTGGCGAGTACTTCGGCCTCCAGGCTTGTTCTGTCCTGTAGTCCGAATTCCGAGACACAGTCTTCGACCATCAGTCGACAGTGGAGCTCCAGAGCCCATAAAACCGCTCGATAAAGATGGATGTATTTCCCCGTTCGACTGGAGTTTGGCTCGTTAGTTTCAATGGGATTGGGTCTACCTGCACTGTCTGTGTACCTCCGTAGATGGGGCGGACAGCAGTGGTCCCTCCAGTAATCCAGTTGCTCGTACAAATTGTGGATGTCATTGAGGATGACACCTTCTCGTTTCGAAAAGGGGCGACACAACGTCTGTGTAAGTTGATGAGCGATCACAGCCAGGGCAAGAAGCGCATCGAAATAGTCCTTCGTCTCGTGAAGCGAGAGGTTCTCGCTACTCCCAACGTCATTGTTTGGGATACGCGACATTTGCTTTTTGTCAAGGCAGTGAAATGCATCGAGTCCATAAATGTGCCAATAGAGGAGCACGCGACGCTCTCTATCCCTGGCGAGCTTTGTTGGTAATGTTGAATTGGCGTTGTCATGATCAAGAATACGATAGTTCGTCGTCATCAGCACGAGCGAGTCATGAGTAAGAAACAGTCTCCCAAGATTCGACAGGAGTGGCAAACTCCCCGAGTCATCATACTCAAAACCGATCATCAGGGCAAAAGCTTCAAGGTCGTCAATCCGGATAGTTTCATTGTCACATGTGTTGCTTCGAGCACTGAGATACCGTTCGCGGAAAGCAGCTGCGAGACGTTGCTGGAGGTTCCATTTGTCTGGAGCTTCAATAAAGGGCATACCTCTGCAAGCAACGGCATACAGGAGCAGTTCACTGCATCGATTGGCATGATAGTCTTCCCAAAAAGCATCCGCGAGGAGAATGGGAAGGTATGGGGCCGCATAATCGAAATAGGAACGCAGTGCTGCCGTGCACAATGCAGAGTCTACCGAGGCCCCCATCCAGGGAGATGTGCCGAGTTCTTCTCTTAAAAAGACAAGGCCCTTCCCGTCTTGTTCTTGACTGTCTGTCTGGGTCATCTCGGAGGTGGAAGTGGGATTCTGCGAATCCTGGCTTCGTTGATTGTTCTCCTCAACAGGTCCGCAGTTGCCCATGAAAACTTGATCGAGGAAAAGCATATTATCGAAACTCAGGGCAAAAGGACTATCATCAAATATATCGAATGGAATATTTGATAGTGCCGCATTGTCATTTCCGGGGGAAGGAGATACAAAATGTGATTCCGAGGCCACCTGTGAAGCTGAATCGCCTCGCACACCTGGCGATGGGCGCGATAGGGCAGGCTGTAAATCTCCAGTGCCTCCAGTGCCAACTCTGACAATACCTCCGCGAGCGGTAGTTTGACGGCGCCGGCGAATCCGAACGTCATCCGAGTCATCCACATGGCATTGTATGTCCCGAAGGGCGCATTGTGAACATGCAGTCATGCCCTGTCTAGCACGCAACAGTCGGTCACATTTGACCTTTCGTCGATGGCAAAAGTCGCATGACACTCGTTCTAGCCCTCGTTTCAGTGGCATTGCAAGTGATTCCAACGAAGTTCCGCCAGTTGAGAGATCTCAGTGGGTTCGGGAACAAAGTGAGGTGGACAGAGGTGGAGAAATCGCGGGACTTTAGCGGCAGTAAAGTGGAGACAAATAGGCCGCCCTATATTGGATATCTACTGGACGGGATAGAGAGTAGCTATGGAACCGGCGATTGTGCGGACGTTGTACGGGTGTATGCCAGAAAACTTGCCCAGCAAGGCAAATCGTTATATCGCTGCTACAAATTTGGTTGATGGTAGGCAACCATAATGATCCTCCATGGAATTTCCGTGCTTGTGGCTACATATAATGCCCAGATACCTTCTCGATCGCAAAATCATAAGAACGGAATCGCTCACCATGGATCAAAATGTGGATATGTATGGGTACTTGCCCAGCAAGCCAGTCGCATTATTTGGCATTGTGTTCTTTGGTACTTCAATGGTCGTATGCATCCTGCAAATGGCATTCGGACCATATAAGCACTACTGGATGACTACGCTTGCACTCGTCGCTGTGGGAGAGGCCATCGGCTGGGGAGGGCGACTTTGGGCTCATAAGGACGTATGTATAAAATTCTGAGTCAATGACAAGTTGCTAACAGTTACAAGCCAACCAGCTGGATGGCCTTTATGATCCAGATTTGCAGCCTCATCGTCAGCCCTGTCTTTTTGTCTGCCGCAGACTATATCCTCTTCTGCAAACTGTAAGTGTGTGTTGACTGAAGGCTTCAAAAAAGGTACTGACAAGGAGTAGTATCGAGAAGACTACCCCCCGCATCTTCCCAATTCCATCCACATTCTTTTGGGCAGGATTCATCATTTGCGACATCATCTCGTTAGCCATCCAGACTGTCGGAGGAGTCGAGGTATCAAGCGCTCAGAACTACGAACAACTCAGCCACGGGGGCGACCTGATGCGCTCGGGAATCATCTTCCAGTTCAGCAACACAATCGTCTTCGTCCTACTGATCGTGGGAGCAAGTCTCCGAGTGCGACAAAAGAAAGCACTCGCCCCCCAGGTTAAATGGCCAGTCTTGGTGGCTTTGTGCGTGTCAACAATTATGGTACTCATTCGCAATGGATATCGTATTGTCGAGTTGTCAGATGGATGGAAGGGCCCTCTCATGCGCACGGAGCAGTATCTCATCGGGTTGGATATGGTCCCAATGGCAATTGGAGTTGGGGTTTTCATTATATTTCCCCATTCATTCTTCCTAGCCGAGGACAAGAAGCTTAGCAGTTCGATGGTGTAGCAGTTCGATAGTGTAGCTAGTGACATATTTGATATGCTTGCTCTATAGTGTCATCAGATACTTGAGTATAGTAACATTTTTTCATTCCCCTAGTATAGCCTGTATAGGTAGCTAATAGAAAGTAAAGTCTCAACCAAGTTAGTTATAATCATTAACGAGATATATAAGGAGTATCCTCAAGTCTGCTGTAACTTATAGAAGAAAGGGCCTGTAATATTCTCTATATAGGCTCTTAGGAAGATTAAGATAAGTGGGCCAAGGGGAGGAAAGGTTATAGAAGTAATAATTATACTAGCTTGGATAGATTATAGTCTATAGTTATTCTAGGTCTATTCTATAGTAAGGTGCTTTATACTTAATAGTAGTATCTTGAATATAAGACATCTTCAGTAAAGCTAATAATACAAAGATATAATATTAAGTAATGCCACGTGGGTTTACGTTCGACTGTGACCATTGGAACCCTTGGTAGCGTGCTTGGTAACGGAGAAGCTGTAGGCGGATGCCTGGTCATTCTTGACACTGTAGTAGTCGGCACCCTTCAGCAGCATGTCACGAGCGTAGTACTCGAAGTTCAATGAGTTGTAGCTGATGTCAAGAGTGACGAAACCGTTGGCGGCCTGCTCGGCGTCGGCACCGAGCCACTTGGCGTAGGGGCCGAGGGGAACACCGTAGTTGCAGTCGCCGGCCTCGGCGTAACCAGCGCCGCCAGTGAGGACGAAGTTCATATCCTGGTAGTGGTAGTGGGCCATGCAGTGATCGTGGCCGTTGACGACTACGCCGTTGTTCTCGCGGACGATGTCAATCAGAGGAGCCAGCTCGGTGTAGTTGCTCGAGGAGGAGACGTAGCCGTGGTGGATCTGCAGGATCTTCCAGGTGGCGTCGGACTCGGCGAAAGACTTACGCAGGAAGTCCACTTGCTTTTGGGTATCCTTGTGGCAGGAGATAACGTAGTCGGTGTTGTAGACGGAGGTGGCGTCCTGGTAGGCGTTGATGAAGCAATCGGAGTCCACCACGACGAAGGTCGCGGTCCAGTTCGAGCCGGTCAGGTCGTAGGTGTAGTAGGGCAGGTTGTCATGACCGAAATACCACCGGTCCTCCATCAACGGAGCAATGCGCGTCTGGAAGTCGACGCCGGCCTTGCCAGCAACGATGTCGTGGTTGCCCAGCGCCTGATACCATGGCTTGCCGTTGAAGGCCTCACCGACGTACATATTGGCCCAGCCCTCGTAGAAGCGCTGGATACCCTCCGAGGTAAAGTCGACACCGCTGTCATAGAAGTTGTCGCCGACAGAGATGAAGGCCGAGCAATTCTTCAAGAGACAGACGTTCTCGATATAGCGAGCAGTGCTTTCTGTACATAGGTGTCAGTGCATGAACCCTCCACTCCTGTGACCTCTCCCTTTGAGGGGCAATACAAGGGTCAAGACTTACCCTCTTCAATGGTGGCATTGGAGATGGCCTGACGGTCACCGGGGTCGCAGTCGTTCTGGATCTCGCGAGAGATCTGCACGCCGTCCGCCTTCAGCTTAGGCATGACATTGTTGCAGAAGTCCAGGGGCAGGGCTGCCAGCCGTTCCAGCCATAGTCTTATGGAATGTCAGTTCTTTTCGACGATTGTTTATGATTCACGGGGAATGAACACCTACCACCGAGGAGGGCGACAGTGAGGGTCTCGGCACCGGTAGGCGCAACGATGGAGTTCTTGGCAGCAGAGGCACCCAAGGCCAGGCCCAGAGTCAAGGCAACACGAGACATGGTGGACATGTTGGAAACGGGAAAGGATAGACTGTTGCGTGCTTCGTCTCTGCTGATCTCTTAGGCTGCTCAGCCTTATATAAGAAACCGGGGACAGGCTGGCACCTTGACAGGCTTCGAGGATGCAGCCATGACACCGCAGGCCCAGGGGACTATCGGGTTCCTGGTTCCTGTAATTGATGAAGGATACGGCAAAAGCTTGTTTTGCCTCCGTGTGAAGCTTCGCTCTTGGAGGAGCGAATGAGATGTCGAAATGCAGCCTCGTGTCTGGACAGTTCTGAGGCCACCGGTCTTTCTGGGAGGCGCTCGGAGACTCGAAGGGGGGGGGAAACTTGCTTGGAATTGAGACTTGAGATCTTTGAGATGTGGGTTTGGTTGCTTTTCCCGTCAGAGACCAATGGAGCTTGGCAACGTTTACCACGTGCGTTGAAAAACATTTACATTCGGCAATGATTCACCGCGGGAAGCTCAGTGAATGGAGACCATTCATTGAGTATGGAGGACCCCTGCAAACTTCTATTATTATTAGTACGGAGTATTATTATTGTGATTATTTATTATTATTATTATTAGGGTGGCACTAAGCACCCCCTTGGCTTAACAGCACACTCTCTTGCTAAAAGTAGTTAGAATCACGGTGAGAAGGCAAACAACACAAGAGAGAAAAAGGAGAATAAATTATCATACCAGAGAGCAGTTCTCCTATCTCAGATTAGTTAGACTTCTCAGGGCCCTAGAATCCCCCTCTTAAATAATCAGCAGGTGCAGAAAACTGCCTTATGAACATCAAGCAGGATGTCCTCCCTCATGATGAGATAAGATAAAAGGGAAATAGCAGAGATAGAAGTCCAAAAAGTAAAGCAGCAAAACAGACAGCTGTGAAACCACAGTGAGCCAACAGGCTCTCTTTGAGACCTATTGAGTTCTGTAAAGAAATACCAGCTGTGCACCTACTTAACAGGCCCAGAGTCAGCCCAGATAAGCGTCAAATAATGCCTACATTTAAGAAACAACTAATACTAGATATTCTGGTGGAGGTATAAGCGCTGCTGTCATGTCTAGGGATTTGGTCAGCTCTTATCCTATGTCTAAATCAGTCAACCAGCCTTTCCTGTACGCTTGTGGTACATACAATGATTATCCATACTACAGATGCCTTCGTGGCATCAACCCCAGAGGTGAGGGGTGTGATAATGAATATCACCATTACCACTAATTATATTATATTGAATTATATGACTGCTTGCCCGATTAGGAAGACTATGAATTGGCTTAGCACTGCCACCTTTGGCCGAATATTCAATAGCATTCAATCATTTAAATAGCTTCAAATTCTACCGCTATCAAAAGAGATAAATAGTAGCTAGATAGTCATTCATTTAGAAGAACCAGACCTTCATTGATTTTCAATTGGCCATATAAATTACTAGTGATCCATGAACATTACTAGCTTAGCGATTTCAACATATTATATCAAAGCCCACTCCGTGCTAGTGGGCGCGGACCAGTTGATGTCGCCAACAACAATGCTGCTTGGATTTAACTTATTATGATGACGTCCTATACTTTATTGATGACAGCAATGCTAGTAGAAGATGTCAAACTTTTTTACCTGTCTTTCTAGCATTCTGTATCTAAGTTTATTGCCTGCTTACACATGTCAGTATGTTAAGGTGTGTCCAGAACTTGTTCCATTGCATCAATGCATCATCGATGCAACCACATCTGCGAATAAGGTATATAGTATTCCGCATGTGGTACATTTTCTCCTTATAGTCGCAGCTGTCTCCTACTTGTGGCAATCCCATTGCTATCTGTAGTTGGTGACGAAGCCCTCACGCAAGAGTGTGCACATTAACCAAAAGGGAGGGTGAGTGACATTAGTAACTTGCCAGTATGTAGGGAAGATATTCACACCTTTAGATCCAGAAGCAGTGAGGGCTTGGTAAATAAAGCTGGCAGTTCACTCACTGCAACTTCCACTAAACCTATTGATTATTTTCCCTGTGAAACCTCACTTTTACTTATCCAAGGTACACTTTGCCCTGGTAAGCCCTAAGTGCTGGAAAGGAAGATTCTTAGTCACTAATTTTCAACACTTTTAGATTCTGTCTACTCTGAGACTGAAACTAGGTGAGCGGCCTCCTTGTAAAACCTACTGACTATCTTGAGCTATGTAATACAAATGCTCACTTATATGATTGAGCAGTCACTATAGACCCTAAGGATTTTATGATGGGCAGTGCTAGTGGTGTGAGGGGTGGTGGAGAGGCACTTCCCAAGTAAGGGTGCGTTGCAAACAGATCATATTAGTGCCAGGGGTATTTGAAAATTTAACAGCGTAATGTGCTTGGCCTTAGGACAGGTTTTTTCCCTAGTATATAAAGTAAGGTAGCTATCTAGGTTTTCCCTGTTCTATAAATACAAATGCAGAGGCTGGATATTGTTGGCAATAGTGCATTAGTTCCACCAGGTGCCAAGTATTAAGTTGTAAGCTGGGTTTACAAAATCCGAGATACTCATATATCTAATGTTATCAAGTCGGCCCCTCAAGTTTCCATAACGTGGCTGCGTGTGAGTGGCCAACTTAATTTTAAGAAATGTGACTTTTGCAGACAGGGATTTGGCAGTCACCTATGCAACTAGGCCCGGGTCTAGAGTGAAGCTGCGCATGATATATCCTATTCCCCAATGTATTATAAGACTCGTAGTTTTGATCTCCATGCCAGATACAAAGAACCTTTATGTAAATGACAAGTGGCTTTGTTTAAGCATCTGATGAAGGAGGTGACGCTCAAGCAAAAAGGTTATTTTTAATGGGTGAAGTCGCCAACCTTGTGGTGGTCTAAAGGATCAGTGGCAGACTGCGTCCCTAAGGCAGACACTGAGCTCTGAAAAGTTGACATGAATGCAGTCAACACTAAATACTTTTGCTCCCGCAAGACTTGATCTTACACTAAACAGGGCGCGCATGGCCGGCGGACGAATGAGAAAAATCTTGGTTGAAAGTCCTGGTTCGGGAGTGTCGAGAACCCACTTGTACAAGCACAGAAATCGTGGCACCGTTGAACTGAACAGTTTTATGTGTATCGTAATACCTTCATTACTCGACAGAAGCTTTATACTGGCGAATACCCTTTGGATAGTCTTCAGTTGTCGATCGGCCAGGTCTCTAAACAGATAGCGTATTTTGGAAAATCGCATGGGTTTTTGAGATGGTATTGCAGCTTCCATGTTCTCAGCGTCTCGGCAAATGAAGGCATCGTGTTTGTTGCATGTGCGTTGGAACGGAGATTATCAAGCTGCTCGATAAGCCTTGTTGTAGCATCTCCCCAAAGCAAAACACCATTTTCGAATGAACGACCCTGGTGAACCATATGACACTGTGTTGGCCAAAGGTAGGATGAGCCGAGATATGCGGAGCGTCCGTCAGCGATGATCGCATTAAAGTGCGGGCGAGGCTCCCACCAGCTTGTATCTTCTACAAGGAGATTGGAGCAGCGCATCTTTCCGTCCACGAGAAGTAGCGCTGATTTCGGGTCAACCTGGCGAACCTGAAGGATGACATCAACGCCACTTGCAGCCCGGTCAATCAATAGCTGTGCCATCGTGGGATCAACCAGCTCTGATATGTTGAGAATTAGTGAGTGCTGTGCCCCTCGAATCAAAGCGTCCTGCGCGCGGGTTATCCATGGCAGACTTGCGACTGGGTCATTGATGACAACACCCAATTTTGCAAGCTCAGAAGCAAGCGCAGCACGAAGCTCATTGGTTGCTTCCCCGTGAATGGCCTTATCTGTATAGTGACTGAATAACGTAGCGGCTCCTGGAGGTAATTCGATGGAGAAATCGGCTTTATTGATTGGCCGAGTGTCCATGATGGCCCCGGTGCTGAAAAGTACTTGGTTGTCAATAATGACTGCCTTCCCATGGACAACCTGTCGTGTCGGTCCATCGGCACCCGTGAACATATTGACACGAATGTCATGGTCCGCGAGGATTTTGAGGTACATGAAATATTCTGCGGACTCCAGGAAGTCACTGGGCCCGAGCTTAGACACAACAATCGACATATCTGCCCCTGGATTCTCATGTCGAAAATCAACCAATGCACTGAGGACTCTACGTGCATCACCCTGGGGACTCATTGAGAGGTTCAGCATAGTCAATCGGCGTCGGGAACCATCGACTCCATATTGGGAGAGTGCTTTCCCGTTCGTCTGAGTCTTGTCACGGACGAACCGCTCGAACACCGCAAGATGCTCTGCACCATTGGTCAGCAGCGGTGTCACGCCGGGTGGTAGGCTGCCCAACAGTGGATCCAGGAGAAGCTCGCCACCTAGCTTAGGCTTGATAATGTTTGCCTTGCAGCGACGTTGGTCCTCTCGGTACACGAAAGCATCGACATCAAATTTGGCACCAAAATCCAAAGACATGACAGTCACATAGCGCGGTGCGATCTCGTCCGGCTGAACCACAATGCGCTGCGGATCACCATCATGGACTATTCTGGTTGCAATGAGCTGGTAGGTATCGCACACCTGAATGGTATATAAACCATCAAGCTCACGATTATGGAGGCGAGCTTCAAACTGATCATTAGGCTTTAATGGAACTCTGATCTCAGCACGCGATGCTATAGGGGCCATGCGGACGATGCCATGTTTGACACGACCCAGCTTATGCTCCCCATTGGCACTTAGAAACTGGAGCCGTGCGATGTCGGCTTCAGGTGCAGTGAACTTGGACAATGGATCGTGTGGGTTGATCAACTGGAGGATTGCTGTTTGCAAATCAGGCGTAGTGTTTAGAGAAACTACGCGCCAGCGCACACCATCGAGCATGACCGGCCGGCCGGCAAAGTGCTCAATACGGATATCTTGATGAACAGCACGCACATCACGGAGCACTAGTTCACGCTCCAAGCTCACTCCCATCACGTCGTAGAATTGGCCATCAACCTCCACTGGCTCTGGGGGGCGCGCCCGCTCCCTTCGTGACCGCGCATAAAGTGGAAGAATGGGGTCATGCCCTGATCGCATTGGCAGTTTGACAACCAGTCCAAGTTTTTCCAAAGAATTCAAGATCGCTTCATATTGACGGTTAAATTATTTTCTTTTTGTTTTACCTAAGTCCGACTGTCACCGCGAATTGAAGTTCGAAATTATTCCTCCCTTTTTGACTGCTCACACACTCATATGCCTGATTGTTATCCCACTGAAAATGAATAGGATTAGGCACAGATTTCTTACCATTTACGGCTGACTCAAGCCTCCACAACAGCAAGCAAGGAGACGATACCCAGAGTTCCTGCCAATTTCTGCGGTTTATGAGTGTCGATACTCTATTGTTAGTGGTTGGTGTTGGCTTTGCAGACCGCTTCTATTTAGATCAGCCTCACCATGTAGTTTTCAGATTTGCGTTGAATTTCCCATCAAAGTTGTTCAGCATCCTATATCCAGCTCATCAAGTTACCATATTGAAGATCCATGACGCCTAAACTTTCGGGCTTAAGGAACTGGTCGACCCTTAGCAACCCATTAGCAGCGAATCTGAACGTCATACAGACAGGACCGCGCCGCGTTCATAAGACATCGGCGGAAAGATCTGCGAAGTAGAGGTAGTGAAATGCATACTAGTTGCCCCGCCAAGTTAGCATCGTAATAATTTGGGTAGAAAGAACCTTCTCTCAGTAATGACACCACTGAATGAAAGAGTGGTATCAAGTCTCAGTAGACATGCCACGACAGCCGCGTTCATTACACTATTGCAATTTTTCTTTTTTCCACTTCCCTTTTCTCTTTCCTACGGCGGGGGGCGCCTTTTTCTGGAATGGAACAAGTCGTTCGGGCTGATGTCACCTTATTGCCGAAAACAGCGTCCCACTACTGGCAGAATAGCTCGCCATTACGTCTGCGCGGAGCCATGAAGGCTGGCAATCTGGATGGCTCGGAAATAGCGGTGATGCCGGAATGCTTAAGATCTGTAATATTTCTAATGAATTGTGGCGGGGTATGTCCGATAGGAATAGGCCCGAAAACGGCATTTTGGTTGGCTTAAAGTACGCGTCGTGGGCAATACACTATTGCAACCATTACGTAGCTAGATTCAGAATGTGGTATACTCATAGTACATCCTGGGACGCTGTTTGCTAAGACAACTTAACTATTGGTCTAGAATCAGAAGAGGGGTTCATGAAATCACAGTCTATATGCAATTGATTGAGTCTGCAGCAAAACCAGCGCAGGCGAAAGCAAACTTTAACTGAACAATTACGCGAATATTGTGAGAAGTGTCGCGGTGATGTCTACTTCCTTACTATGGAGGACAATTGATGTTTTCCAGTGAGATTACTCTGGATTCAAGTTCAGCTAAAAACTTTCCACCGCTGGATAATATGCTTGTATGCGTGTTCTCCTGCCCGCCATTGATACAATGCTAACCAAGGATGGGACAAATATTATCCTCCTCCTAAGCGAATCACATCGGATAGCCATCTAAATTCAAAAGGTTCATCACGAACAGCCTCCAACCCATCCTCAGAGTCAAGATGGGTGCAAACAGGAAAGGTAAGACCGAGGACTTCCACGCGCAAACGCCGTGCCATCGATTAATCAAGATGGTTGTCTGTAATATGATCGCAGCGCCCATGACAAGCCGTGGCTGGAAGGCTGAACCATGGCCAATGTACGTGGATATACGTCTCCCGCTGAAAGGACTCTCCTGGGACAGCTAGTACGTCGGTCGAGTTAAGGTTTCGCATGTACTCCGTCATTTGGTTGGTCATTTCATCAACCAGCTGAAAAAGGTTTTGACTGGTGTATAGGATGTTGGAAACGTCAAGTCCTGTTGACGGCACTCCGGGCTCGCCGATCTGGCTGCCATAACCTTGTGGATAGAGATTGGTGATGACAATGGCTTGGAGCGTGATACTGATAAGCGTCGCATCCATGTAACCAAGAGTGTAATTAGTACTGTCTTGGGGCGATGATGAAGAATTACTCCCAATCTTGTGTGACGCTGAAATTGGAGTAAATTCTTCCGGTCAGCTCTATGGTGCATTCAAAAGCAGTAGAGTCATTGACTTCAGCAGGTCTCCCCGAGCTATTCCAAAGACTAAACTCGAACATGGTCGCCAGCGCCGGCTGGTATCTGGCGGCGTATTTTCTAGGAACCGATGTAAGGAGAGTTCCCCAAGTCACATTCTCCAAATTGTCTACACGGATACCATGACGCACAGTCAGAATATCACCACTTGGGGTCATGATAGTGCAATTGGTGTTTACATTGATTTTGGTCGTAGCGTTGGGGCAGGACACACTGGATTCTTCAGCAGTCACATCACGACATGAACTGGCGAATCCGAGCGTGGACACGTCTGGATATGTGCAGTTTCCTGTAGAGCAAACGAATGGCGGACCTGTTGGCTGACTAAACAAACCCAGGGCCATAGCAGCTTGAAACGCTGAGTTTATCTTCTAAGGAGAACCTATATATTTTAGATCAGATTTATACCCTACTGTGTATAGGCAGATGCTTGCCCATTTGATACCAATCGGAATGGAAACTCGAGGACCTGTTGAGCAAAGAGATCAATCGCCAGGACTGCAATTGTAATGAGACATTCACCGGAGGACGTTACAGCTGTAAGGCGAAACTTCCAGTGAAATATTAAAGAACCCCATGGCCCTCTGCTTGCATCGTCAAATCGCTGGATATCTATCATCGGGTGAACACAGCTTCGAAAATACAACCATTTGAGCTGGTCAATGCATTGTGCTACTGAATAGAGCAAAGACGCTTTGGCGACCGCGGCGAAAACGGACATGAGACTGTTAGGTTAGATAGGCATAGTCCACTGCGAGAGGCTCTTGCCATCCATCGTGGCCAGAATTGTGGCGATGGCCGCAATGCAGCCTATGCAGAGCGTGATCGTAAGAACCTCATAGGTCCAACCGTCATTGGTTATGGCAACATTGCAGTAGCCGTTTCTTCGTTTTTTATGTAAGTCGAATTAAAGTTCTCGGGATGCTCAAGATCCTCATGTGAAACTGGCACAGACGAATAGCCTCCTGATAGTAATGTTGGCAACGTCGGAGACTCAGCGTAATCAGTATTCTGGATATTGACATCGGCAAGGTTATGTTCGCTAACCATCCCATCGTCCTCTGTCATAGCATGGACTGGAAGATTCAGGCAACTACTCTCATCCGGGCTCTCGGAGCCGTAGTCTCAAGATGCGCGTGCATCTAATTCCACGTCAGGCTCTAGTCGGATACAGAACTAGAGCCTGATCTGTTCTGGTCTCTATCAGATTGTTGCTCGAAGCTTGCCCTTGAGATGTGGGCCATCTGTTGTTCGCATGGAAATGATCAACAGTAATTAAAGTCAGAGACGAGCGTGTCCTTGGTGATGCAAAATGAGAATCATAGTATATCAGCTGAAAGGGTCAAAATTGATGTTGCACCAACTTGCATCGGAAGAGCACTCATATATTTTGTTTTTATATTGTTCGTGTAATGGTGTGTGTGTGGTGACACTGCATGGGCTGAACTTGAAGCATGGCAGAACAGGAAAGGATATTCAGCAGTAAGCCAGTTCTGTATTTGTATAAGCCTTAATAAAATGCCTTGCCTATGGAATGTGTGGGGGAAAACGCACAAAGGTCCAATAAAAAAGTGAAGCCTCATTTACCGCCCCTCCTTCCTGCATGCCAGCAAGCACTGCTCATCCAACTCGTCCCATTGATTTTCCCTCGGGCTTGGACATTCTGCTCGTCCTCAATACAACATGGAATCGGGGTCTTCGTCGCTGATTGAAGCTGCACCTCGTGAGACAACAGCTTGGCCAGCTCGCACCGCATACTTCCCAGGGGTATGTGCCTTTGCATGTGGCGGTAGAAGAGTCGTCCCATTCGACGAGAGCCGAGACGAGGTATAGTGACCGATGCCGGCCAGGAGGAATGACCCTTGCTCTAGCGGCTTGATGGTGAAGTCGTCCAGCTTTCCAACATAGCCTATGCTCTCGACAAGCTGGGCTAACTGACTGAAAGAGACTGCTCTCCGTCACAGCCGTCTTGGACTACAGCCGTGAACGAGCAGGAGTGCGGGGACTGCGGACAGAAGGTGAACTTGGCGCTTTATCACAGGCTGATACATCCTAATGACTGATGGCTCTCAGCCTTTTGTACGCCACAGGGACTCTTATGTACTCCCCTTCAGCCCTGAAAATGCACCCAGCGAGTTCCAGCTCTACATTGAACGCGTGCTTGGCCATACCTTGGGCGATGAAGTCACAGCTCACATTGACAACATCCTCATTCACTCCTTGGACCGCGCAAAGTGCGCAGCAGTCCCATAACAAGTCATCATGCTTTTAAACAGTACATAAATAAAGATCAACACAGAGAAATCCCAGTACCTCATCAGTTTTGTTGATTCCTGTAGTTACAAGTATGGGCACAGCAGGATACAGCCGATCTGCAGAGCCAAGACAGTCTACGACTGGCCTACCCCAAAGAAAAGATCACGTTCAGGCAATTCTCAGGTTCGCGAACCATTTTCAGGACCACGCCTTGGGCCTTGCATATGCGGCGCAGCCCCTCCAGCCTTGGCAGTGGACGTCGACAACCAGAACAGACCCCTGCGAATTCACAACCAACGCGAGCCTCTTTGCTATTGGCGCCATCTTATCACAAAGCAGTCACGTCACCACCATCATCTCCCGGTCCTTGACAAAAGAGGAAAGGAATTACGACGCAGCTGAACGAGAGCTGCTTGGAGTTGTATATGCATTATATTGTTTTACCCTAGTTGATGCCCAACAGTCTCAGCTGCAGCAGGCCGCTTTTGGCAGTAAACCTCCGTTGAGCCCAGCCATGCCTCGCTACAGCGCAGCCTTGGATATCTGCAACCTTGATAGGTCCGCTAGGCTCATTTATGTAGCTCGGGCGCAACTTTACTTTATCAAACTACATATAGGTCCACCTTTGTCAGAGTCACTTTGAGACAAAACAATAGGCAATCCGCGTTAGTTTGTTTGTGGATGGGATGGAAGAAACGCATTCACTGTGCAATGCAGATGTAGCTCAAGGAAGACGGTTTATAGTAGCAGACCTTCAGTGCGGATAGAGACAAAGGCACGCCACCTTAATTATGGAAAGCTTTGGCAAGGCTGCAGGGCACACATGTGTTTAAGCGACCTTTCCTACGTTCTTGGCCTGAAAAGAGAATGACTGCCAAGAGAATCTCAGCCTCAGTCTTTGCAGCAGGCATCCCGAGTCATCTTGTGACTTGGTTGGTTTCTTCCCTTCGACGTGGTCTGACCGAGAGCAGGTAGGGTTACAGAACTTCCTCAGCTTCCTGAGCAACGTGCCAGCACATAAACAAGGCATCCAGTCTCGATGATTACGGCTATTTACCCCTCCTGTGAGGCTGTGAGTGGGTGCCCGACGCTGAAAAGGTGGAGTGGACTAGGGTCTGCGATTTCAGCTCACGAATAACAAACACTGTCTATTAGAGTTCGAAATCGGCTTTACAGTTGCACACTCAATTATTTGAAGTTGGCCCACTTTTTCCGGGTAAACTGGCACTATTATAGCTACAGGTCGTTGCAAGTACGGGCTACCTCAACAGTAATGATAACACACATCAATCCATCACTTTACCAGCCTGCGTACCACATTCTCATGAAACCTGCAATACGCAAGACCTGCAAAACACTCTCCTCCAAGTATGAGCCAACAACAGATTCCGAGGGCCCACCCTAGAGAGATCCAGGATAGCGATGTCCTAGCGGCCATTGTCAGCTTTGTCGAGCGCAACCGCCAACAGATCTGGCAGCATACTGGCAGGAAAGGCGGCTGGGAAGGCTGGCTGCAGGCCGAGCTGGCCAACTTCATTCCTCAATCGAGTCCCTACTTCGTTGAAAGAGAACAAGCCGTGTACCAAGACACAAGCTAATCCATCGACCTTTGGTGCAAACATCGCATGGAATATTCGATCCATACACAAACCCCAACCCATCCGAACGCTACCAGAGAATCGGTGTCGAGTTGAAATGCGGAGGAGAATATCAGGATTTCTTCAGCAAGACCGTGGCAAGTTTTCAGGGGCGAGTGATAAACGACATAAACAAAATTATAGCAGGGATGAACACTGGTTTAACTGGCCAGTCCGGAGCCCGGGTATATGCAGTCGGTGTTACCGCCGAGTTCACTGATTTGTATGGCTTTGAAAGCGTCGCGAGAACTGGAATGCAGGTTCGTTACTGGCAATCGCCGCCGTTGCAAAATACAGACTCTCTTTACGTGCTATGGTGGTACCGAGATTTTCCCTAGGATTGAAGAAAGGTCCTCAAATTTCTGACCGATAGCTTACTTTGAGAGATATGGCTAGTAAGCAAATTATGGGCCCTCTTTTCTTCGATGTCTGAATCTGATCGCGGAGCAGGCACCTTTGCACGCCAGATTAATACCTCTACCATCCAAGGCACTCAACTTGCCCTCGTCGATTGTCCCGATCTTTTTTTCTGCGCCAAGATCGCCCGACTTAGGGTGGAGAAAGTGTTGCCAGTAGGCAGCAGGTGCCAGAACTGTATCTTGCTCTGCGTTTGGTCCCATTACTGCTCTAACGTTCAGTGTAACCTTCCACTCAATTGAGTAACGTATATAAATATATGGATCATCATCGTTTTTTCTCTCGCTATCCTAGTCAGGAACTAGCGTGACCTTGAGATCGTTCGGCTGTATCTGTTGGTGACTCGGGTCATCGTATGGATCCCAATGCTCATACGAATCGATGGGGTCGACGGAGGGTCACGGCTGCTCATCGTTGCCTTTCCGATAACTGCGTTCCGGAGCTAGGGGGGAGTTGCTGCCACCACTGCGGTACACTAGGCCGTCCAATTGCAAAACCAGGCAAGTGGGATGTTCACACCTGAAATTGCCTTTTAATTGGTGCAAATGGGCTGCAACTTGGTCAGGCCATTCTGGGGGACTCACAAAAGATTGAACCATTCTTTTCGATGAGTGTGATTTCCTGTTCCCTAAGCAGAATGGATACCAACCTGCCTTGATGGCGGCATGGTGGAACATCAAGGGGCCACATTGAATGAGTGCTTCTGGATGAGCAAGATGCTCTTTGCAATGATCTTCCGATTCCCATGACTTTGTAAACGATCAATCACACTCAAAACACATCTTAGCGAATCCATTCTCATTGACAAGTTGGTAACGGGCCTTAGAGCAACGGTAAAGTTGTAACCACCTTCTATGAGCCATAAACCTAGATGGAAAGAGGTTAGCTTCATAGACAATATTTCGGTAGCCGGAAATGAACTCTTCCATTGATTTTCCACAAGGGCATCTTCCATCCTGAGCTCAGAGAGAGGTTTGATAGGCTGTTAAGTCTGCCTCTTTGCAAACGGATTCCAAAGTTGCTAGGGCCGTTGACAGTGGAAAAGGGTTTGTTCGTAGATACTCCCTTGGTGCTCTTTGGATGCTATTGTGATATTTGTATTTTCTTTAGTACGCCTCTAAAGCTGGTCCATCTTAGTTAAAAGTCAACGCTGTTGAAGTTGACGGTTATACTTTAATCTGCTATCCTCAGTACTAAGTAACTGCGACCCCAATAACTCTATGGCTTTATTAGGTTCATGAACATTGTCCTGGTCTTTGAATTCAAATTCTGCTTTGGCTGGGACGGACTGCTAAAGTTGTGGATTGTAGTGCATCCCCATTCTGCGGCGATTTTAGATATGGTCACTCTGGGTAGTAAATCTGAGGTAGTTTGCCGGTCCACTAATCTCAGTGAGAGGATATATGTAGTACTTTCCGTATGTATCATGATTCACTTGGCCTGTAAATTTCATCCTTGCGGCCTCTGGGTGTTTTTGGTCTGTTTTTGTTTAGTAAAGCAGACTGCATTTCTCTTAGCGGGATTTTACCTGCTTGCATCAATGCCCATTGTTGGCAACTGTGGACTGTGGCATTCTGAGTATATCTACTGCGATGGCCAAGGTTGGCAAACTCTTTGCTGAATGTGTTAGCTCCTCGGGCCTTTCCAGTTGGCTTTTCAATCTGCAGTTCATTGAATGGGTGGATTGAAGGGATGTCTCTGACGGAATCTGCGAAATGAACGACCTCCAAAATTTTATTTTTTGAAGGGTCAACCTTATAGTCCTCTGCTGCATTTGGAAGGTCGTCTATAGATGAGTAGTCAAGCAATGCACGGTTGGCAGATGCTAATGGTAAGAAGAAAGTGAGAAGGTTAAAAAAGAGGGGTACATCATCTTTGTATATCTTGTAAAATCTGTGGATTGGAAGTCCCCATTCTTTTTTCCTCCAGTGACCCATTGTGAACTCCTGCTGGTAGGTTAGTATAAGTATAGGCTCTCCTTCCCCATGTTTGATGGTAAGGACAAAATGCTGAAGTTAATGTTAGAATATTTTATTCTATGTACTGCGATATTTATACATACCTTGTAACAAGCTGCCATTACTTGAGCTTCCAATTCCTCATCGGACTCATTTCCCGCGCTCTCTCGAGGCCCAGCTCGTCGCGCGGTTGACTCATGGGACTTCTCCTGTCCTGGCAGAGGTGAAGCAGTAAAGCAGTATTGCTGTGCTGATCTGCACATGTTTGATCTGCAGGCTGACCCTGTATTTGTGGAAGTCCCTACACCAGAGTTGGGTCATGAGCATTGTAAGGTTGTTTGGTGATAGTATGTCCTTGTCTATCTTGGCGGATGGCAGTTTCAACAATGGCTTCAGCTCTTGTAGAATCCACTAGAGAGAGATTAGGACTTCTTTCATGAAAAGTTATGGCTGTTATACCTCTCTGATGGTTGTAGATGTCTCGGCAACCCGGGCGCCATAAAGAATCGCAACTAAACTGTTTAGAGGCTTAGTCCCGTCGTAGTAAGCTTTATAGAATAGGTACTCCCTAACTGTGAGACATATTGCTGTGACGTTATCAGCCGTTGCCACTCAAGATAACTCCTGCTCAGACTCTGTTATCCAGTAGCAGAACCATTCATTGGAGGTCGGAGAGAACTCCTAACTGGCGCGCCTAACTGGCACGCATAAATGGCACGCCTAACTGGCACACCTAACTGGCACGCCTAACTGGCACACCTAACTGGCACGCCTAATGGCACGCCTAACTAGAATGCCTAAAGCGAAGGATTATCCGGTTTCGGGCCCGTCATTTTCACCCGAGTTCCCACAAAATCTGTGGAGAGGTGGATAAATGGCATAACTAAAGGAACTCTATCATCGCCATCAATGGCTTTGAACCTCAGATACAGCCTGGGAGGTTATCCCAAAACTTAAGGATCCGTGGCATTCCGTATATGAAGGAGAGGGAACTGTGAAGATGGCTGTGGGAGACAGGGTACGGGGAGTATCACATTTTATAATCTGTAGTGAGACGCTACGTCCTGTTTCCTGCTAATAGGCAACCTCCTGTTGAGGATCCAGATGTACTAGTCGCCCTTGGCCACTGCGGTATTTCCGTGAGGTAGAGGCTCCTGGGACTAGGCAGTACATCTCTGGTAGTAACACTACACATGCACTGGCAGCTTCTGCTTCTCTTCCTGCTTTTGTAGTAGTAAGCCCCACTTGGTTGAATTCACTATGGATGGTAACATCACTACGAAGTACTCCGTACGTTTGGCAATTTAGGACATTACATTTCTCTAGAATATTTAGGCTAAAAATGTGCACTCGGATCCTTTTCGACTGTATTGTCGCCAATTGGCCTACATCTTCAAGATCTTAGATGCGGTTAATATCAACATGAACAGAGGATCACTTAAATGGAGTGAGTTCAAGTATAAATACCACAAGCTTCCTCGCATCCACTGAGAACTTCACTTTCACATCATCATTGTGCATCCAGCCATCCATAATCTTCTACTAGCAAATTGTTCACAGTCGTTCAAACTGTCCCAAAGATTCCCAAGTCATTTCCAGTTGCTCTAGCCAACTCTGCCTTTGACTATGAAGAACTTTGCGCTTATCTTTGCTTTCGCCGCTTCAGTGGTCCCAGCCTTGGTAAAGCCCGCTCCTAAAGCCCGCTCCACCTATTTATTCCGCGTTTTTGGGCAACTCTAACAAATTTTATTCTTTAGGCACTTCCAACAGTAGACGATTTGGACATCAAACCACCCTACCCTATGGGTCAAGTAGGGTGGGTTGGACGGCTTTCCAAGGATGGGCCTACAGAGACCATCTGGGCTGATAGTCTAGAGGTATGTATTAGAAGATTCTATTTTGACTGTATCTTTGTACACAGCTAATACTCCCAGGATGTTGACGCTATTGTTAAAACCAAGAAGCCTGGATTGTCCATCTTTGATGGTTCTATGGATGCATTCAATAATGCAATAGTGTCCGAACGGAGTGTGACAGAGGGACACTCTCGAGGCCTTGAAAAGCGAGAGGTATGCTACTTCTACGCTTCATTATAATTAATAAGCAGTCACTTGAAACTAAGCGCTAACATTATATAATCTGTTCAGAGGTATTGCAACAATTTCGGCCAAGTTGATGCCATGTCTGTTAACGATGGCATTTCGCATCTTCGTGGTGTCAATGCAGGGTGCTCTGTGGCGGCCCGTCAATGCATCCGTACTACGTGCAATAACGGAGCTGCTATAGTACTCTGTAACGACAACTACAACGCCATAACAGTTCCGTGTGGAGACATTGCAAATATGGCTCAGGATATCAACCGGAACTGCTTGTGGGCTCCTAGTGAATCTTGCTCTCTGTTTGGATGCAACCCTCCAATTTATGAGGTCTCTGGTCAGGAGTTTGCTGATGGAGGTTATAATGTCATTGTTGGTAATTGCTACTCATTTAGTGCAGGAGGTCAGCCTGTCTAAGTGTCAGCCAGGGTGACCTTAGCAGGTCTAACCTGTCGCAACAGCAGCATAGGTGGATACCTGGAGAACGGAGATACTATCTCCCACTTAGATTAGCCATGTATTTGAGCCCATCCAAATTGCCAGTTAGGGGCTATATAGCAATTCAGACCTGTTGATATCCTATGATGACCCACTAGCAATAGGTGAGACAGTCAGTGTGGTCGTCGCATGATGGAGCATGAGAATCACATACTCTCACCCTGATTCTCACCCTGTCAATTGCACACTCACCCTATTCTACCCTATCAAGCTTAGTATTTCTAGACATAGGTCAGTATTCTGAATCTAGACCAGTTACTGCGGCTGTTATCACCAGGATTGAGTAGCTCCAGTACACCATATTATATAGAAACAATATAATAAGAGACTTGCGAGTTTAGAATCCCTTCAAGCTTATGCAAGCCTGTCTTAGATAATGTATATCAGACATTCCAAAATATCAATGACTACAAGATATCTCTCATTCGCTTGTTGACAGAAGTGACATATTTGATTTCAGGCTTCCCAAGATATTCAACAATGTTATTAAGAATTTCATTAGAAAGCTTCTCCAGGTAGGCAATTTTCAATGCCATTATGCTTCTGATGCTTTAAGGAAGCATAATGAAGGCTAATTCTTATATCAGTCTAAAAATAAGATCCATGCGCTACAACGAGGACTTATATCAAGCGAGAGTAGCACGTGTCAAGGGATTAACAAGTTAGTTCTTGGGTGATTGCGCATGGGCCCATGCGGGCTGTAGATGAGCAGCTTGCGCCGTCAAGATTGTCGTGATGGGGCCACTGAATAATCATCCACAAGGCACGGGCCGTCATGTAGGTCTTGATTCCACCCTGGCCACATCGAGATGAAATTACTATTTTTGATTCTGTATGCATTTGCCATGAGCTCGCACATACCACAAGTGGATCAGTGTAATCCAATGAGATCCGTGCACTCCCGCCCACCGGCCACCTACGCCGCTTCGCGAGGACACCGTTTCCAACGGTCCGCTTACCAAGATACTATGTAGCCCCAAACAAGAGCCGACTAGCAGCCAGCAAAAGTCTCCATACACGGGACGGACAAGCACCCAATAAGAAGAGGATCCACCAGCCCTTAGTTGATTACGGACACTGTCGATCAATGTCTACTAGATCCCCATTGGAGAGACAACATGAGAACCCAAGACCCAATAGACCCAAGAGCGTGGACCCTTGCCCCGGACAAAGAACCCCCAGGCCCTTCACATCCGCAAGATTAAGAAACGCCATTTCAATCCAATTTTAGTTGGTGAGGTACCCCATGCATCAGGCCATGAGAGAGCTGTCCAATTGTGGTTATTACCTTAGGAGCGAGCCCTTCGTTTCTGTAGCTCATCTTTGGTTAGAGTATTGTCTGCGTTCCATGGAGAAGAGATAACCAAGACCACACTAGACGAATGTACTAGCTGCGGTGAATCTCTTTTCCGAAGCCAGCGCCGATCAGGATCAGTTCAGGCCACCAAAAATTGGGACTGGACACGAGCGGGAAGGATGGTGGGATGGACGGAAAGTTTAGCTGAGGGGCCACCAGCGCTTCGGGGGTATTCAGGGCGTTCAGGTGAAGAATAGAGGGCGTTCAGGGTGTTCAGGTGAAGGGGCCTGAAGGGGCTGAAGAGTAAAGCGGCTAGAGTTGCATAACCGACCCGCAAAAATCGAACCCAACCCTCACTGAACCTGGGGGGGTTGGGTTTGGGGTTTAGCCTAGAGAACTGCTTTAGGTTTAGTTAGGCTACCCCAGACCTAAACTAGGTTAGGTAGCCGCTCCACCTCCTCGACAATGAAATTGTCCTCGGCTTCTGCAACCCCCAAACTGAAGGGAAGCTCCGTTAAAAATAATTCTTGTAGAAGTTCCCGGCCAGTTCGTCACAGTCTTACAGAAGTTATAGGTTTCTTCATGCCTCAGGACGGGCCAACTGCATGGCAGTACGAACGATGACAACCACAAGATAGGAGCTTATTATGACTCCAGCCACGACTGAGTAGGCGACGACCGCACCAACTGGAGTTCCAGGCGACCCAATTCCTGCGAGCCTGAAACCTAAGCCGCCGTTGATGATGCCGAGTATAACCATAATCCTACCAAACCAGCGATGAATGAATGCGAAAATACTCTTATCACCGGTTTTGTGGAGGTGTAGATGTGAATAGAGTCCCATAAGAGGTTGGAAGAGCAGCAACCCTCCAACAACAATGAAACCGATGATGGGATGATAAGAATTTATTTTGGCTGTCGAAATACCTAGATAGATGCCAACACCCATCCCAGATACGAGCATAGCAAGGGCGAACGCTTGCAGTGGTGCTGAATGTGAGTCACTTTCTTGTGCCAAGGCACTACCTGGATGACCATAGCACCGATTGGGAGGAATAAGCCCATAGCGAAAGTCATTAGGAAGCCGTGAGCTATAAGCGCGGGTACAGGAACATTCGAGTGCGCTCTTGAAGAGGCGGATAACGATGATGACAATTTAGCAGTCGAAGTAGCTGTGTTATCATAACCAGCGACGGGATTAGACGCCGTTGCTGGTGAGACAGCATAGATTAGTTCATAGTGGACGGTATGGTTAATGAGGCCAACAAGAAAAAACATACTCATATACGAAAACTAAGGAGGCAATCTTGCTGCAGCTTTATATCCTAGATATATGAATTAGTTTCTAGAAGGTTAAGATAATACCATGAATACTTGCGGAATGCGTTCCGGCACTGAAATCATGATGCTTGCTATCTGTTATGTTCGTCACTGAAAACCCAGCAGATGAGAAAATCATCTTCTGATTGAGCTTCTAGCAGAGGTAAAATCCCAATATCAGAGTTTAAACACAGTGTCATCATGACATCGAGAACGCCAGGCAAAATGTTCCTGAACCCTTCATCTGGTCGCCTTATATGCTTCCAGCGACATCATGACATCAAGAACGCCAGGGCAAAAATGCAACCTTACATCTGGTCGCTTCATACTTCCAGCTTCTCTTCATTTGAAAGTTCAGCCGCTTGTAAAGTGCATGATCCTTGTTTTACATCCTGTCAGGAGGCCACTTACGCCTCCAGAAGCACAAATGATACTTTCGATAAAAAATTTCTGGTAGTGACCAGGAAAGTCAATTTGGTATGGGATGTGATGTTATTACCATATGGGAACTTGGTGGGCTAGAATAATGGTTATTGTTGTAAAATGGTAGTTCAGCATACTACAATAGCAGAAAAGTATGACATGTCCAATCATTTGGAAAAGAAATAAGTTTTTAAAAAAATTACTATTTAGTGAGAACCCTATATTAGGAAATTTCATGAAATGTTTTATTCCTTAAGATTTAGTGGCTAAGATGATGATCTTTTGAATAGTTATATTTGATAATTACTAAATGACGATTCAATACCTCAATTAGTTGATGATTCAATACCTCAATTAGTTGACAATTCGATATCTTGACTAGTTGATGATTCAGTATCTCTACAGAGGAAATTGAATCATCAACTAGTCAAGATATCGAATCGTCAACTAATTGAGTTATTGAATCATCAACTAGTCAGTTATCGAATCGTCAACTAATGAGAGGTAGATGGTGGTTGAAAAGTTGTTAATTTTTTGATGCATCGCGTTGGAGTACAAGAGACTCTCTATATTATCTATGCAAATATTTAATAACATAAGATATATGGTTTTGAAAAGCTATAGTTTCTTGACTTATTATGCTATTTTCTAAAATAACTAAGTTCTAGATTTATAATATATTCTATACTAAAATATATTATAATTCAAATAGTCTTATAACTATTTGGTTTTGAATAACTGTTAGATGAGTCTACCGACCATTATTCCAGCCCACCAAGCTCTGGTATGGTACACCCCAACCTCTCAAGCGAGCCCATTCAGGCTGTAACTGTTGCGCCTTCCCACCTTGTCTTACGCACAATACAGGTTCCTGAGTCTACTGAGTAAACTCTTGGTGCAGCTATTACCCACGGGAAGCAATTTTGGGTGAGAGAGGGGCACAGCTAAATTCTGAGAGTACACGATAGACGTTTGCGGCGCTCATGGTCACCCCACGACGGATCGATAGGTCGCAGGAGCCTTGTCCTCACGGAAGAAAAGACAGAAAGGAGCGCCAAAAGTCCGATCTATGGATCGCGTTTCTTGATGGCCGGGACCAATGAGAAGTCGGGTTAGCGGGGAATTGGCTTGTAAGGGGACGAACTAGTAGATGAGGTTGAAGCTTTTGACCACCCAGGCAAAACTGTTGGTTTGAATCGAATCCGCACTTTTTCTATTCCACGGCATCACCAAATATGTCTGTCTAGCATTTCTGCGGCCTATGATTACCATTGGAACTCCTAATATCTTGGTTAATGTGGCGCAAAAGATGCAATATGCAAGCGGGGCGAGGTGCCTACCTCGGCGTGCAAAGTAATCGAAGGGCCATTATCGTACGTGCATTGATAGATGGCAGCGCGTGTGGTCTCAATCATCTGAATTGGTCCACACACACCGACCCCAATCCTTGACTCCAAGCTGCATTGTGATATGCAGCTGGCAAGCAGATTTGCAGTATCCGGCCGCCCTTTCCGTCGGTCAGAAATGGGGATCGGTCTGCCATTTGCTTCTTCATTTCCTTTCTCTACGTCTCCAGCCACCAGCGCTAAATCCAGACTCGAGCAATGTTCAGATGTGACATCACGAGAAACATGAATGAACAGGTTCACGCAAGGGCTTTCTTGGAGCTGTTGGAGCTCCTTCTCAAACCAGTTTAATGACTCTGTACGCCTGTCAGTTTTCTTTCGGGGGCAATCGTACCGCTGTCAGGCCGCCATACCAGAGTGTTTGACAGTCCAGATAAAATCAATGGTCTTCGTGGCATTCCCGGCCGCACCCTGCTTGAGGATGCCGAGGGCAAGTGCAAAGGTGAAACTGGCACCACTACCACCTGCGACAAGGATTACACGGTCGAAAATCGTGAAGTCCGGGATCCGTCCATATCCCCCATCCACTGAGCATCGTACGCGTTTCCCGGGCTGCTGTTGGGCCAGCTCAAACAAGTCAGAGGTATAGCCGTCGTATTTGCGGATGAGAAATTCGACGGGGTCGTTGGACACAAGTGTAAACGGGTGCGATTCAAGGAAGCGAATAGAAGGCATCCACAAGAAGGCGTGGGATCCAGGTGTACACCGCAGGCTACGGTGTAGCTTCACCCGGACCGCTCCGTTTTCCATTGGAGTGAGTGTTGCATGATTGCCAAAGAAATTCCAACAGAACTTGACAAAACGGAGGAGTCGATCTGAACCCCATAGACAAGCTGTGACGATGACGATGACTACCGTCGACTCAGCAAAACGCGGTCGGTGCATTCCGACCAGAATCAGGATCAACATGAACATCACCAAATGAATAATGTAAAATACTGGGACATGTTTGTCAGTGTCTTTGGTTAAGAAGTCAAGTTAATGACTGGTCTTCACACGCACCCTCGTAATATCTGCGAGCAAACCAGCCGATTGTAGAAAGACCAATGAAAACCATTGCCAATCCCGCAATTCCGCCGGCAAGATTTGGTATCTCGCACATTTGTCTCAGCTCGCTCGCCTGAGCAAAGGCCTTTAAATATACAATTCCATGGAGGATACTAGTAGTGATGCAAGTGTAGCCGGCAGTTTTATGGAGCGGGCGAAGCTTGTCGTAGGATCGTCCTGACAACGGGGCAAGTGGCGTGTTCCTCAGAGCGAGGAATACTAACAGGATAAAATTGGCAACTGAAATCCTTTTAAAAATTAGTTCCAGAAATTTTATATGTAACGCGTGATGATACACCTACCAGCCGAGGCGCTTGGCAACCTAGAGCGTAGTCAGAAATCATGTGCTGTAACAACGTTCGGAAGAGGGGTGGGAAGGGGACGAACATATGATAGTTTATGCAAATCAACATTGGTCAGAGTAAGAATCAAATTGATGGACCAGTAGACAGAGTACAGAAGCCGTGTTCCGATAGGTACACCAAAAGCTTTATTGTTCAGAGACCGCCTAAGAATGCTGTTACAAGTCAGTATGTCGTCTCAAAACGCAAGGCTCTCAAGGGATTCTGAACTACCGGCAATACTGGATCGGCCTTCTCAAAAATGGCATTGAGGTCCTGGGTTTGTATTTCAAGTACAGAACCTTTGCCCAATGTGAGACAGTGAACAGCGCCATGATTGCTCCAATAGCAATCGCGAAGTACTTGTTACTCCAGACATTGTTTGCTTGACGAAGACTTTTCGAACTCATTGTAAATCTAGAGGAGCCAGCGTTCTTTAACAATGACCACAAAGGGAAAAAAAATTTAAGTGTGTGAAATGCGAGCTGTGAAATTGTTTTCAGCTATAGGAATGATCATGGTTATCAATCAGTTATAAGTTATCACGTGTCGCACGTCCGGCCCACCCACTGGCCTTTCAAAATGCCATAACTGGTCAGGGAAGCCCATAACGGAACGAAAATGCCGCAATTTGTCATGCTAGAGTATGGACCGACAAATAACTGAAAATGAGAAACATGAATGTTGAGAGATCGTGGTGGTGGTAAATGCTGGCCGGATCAGATAACAGCGTAGGTTTGACGCTAGCTAACCTTATATCCGCGTAGCGCGGAAAATTTTCCACCTTGGCGTAGCTTGTTCCGGGCCCGGCCTGCTGTTTTGGAAGTATCATCCGGGCCTAAAACCAGGGCAGTGGGCTTTTGGTTGAGATTGCTCCACCATTTACGTCGTCAGGACCCTGGCAGATTGTCAAAAGTCGAACCAAATGGGGGGTTCCTGCTGTAACGATGGACGGCGAGGAAAATTTTATCTCTGCTGCGGATTGATGAGTAGCTTTGCTCAATATCAGAGCCTACGCTCTTTCAAGTATTATTCGGCTTGTAGGAAGAGAGGCCGGCCCATCAGTGGAAGACATGACGTGGTTAGGCAAGAACTTCACATCAAGTGTGACACCAGGCTCTAGTCGCGGATTGAGCCTGACTGCTACCATCCCATGTTTAAGATGAGATACACGCTATTATCGAAGATGGTGGGAGAAGCAAAAAGGGGGGGGGAAAGGTTTATGGGTAATTTCAGAGCACTGCGGGGCATTTGCTGGTCATCAGATGCCAAGCAGCATCACCGTCCCATCACAGCTACACACACAGCCGTACTTTTGTGGATGTTAGATTTTTAGATACTGGGATCAGAGGGTCGAGATTTCAGTGAGCAACAAATGATTTACTTTCTGCCGAGCTAATAGTTCCCGCTCCGAGCATTGTTTGTAGTTTCTGGGAACGAGCCTGGTTAGCTCAAGAGCCTTAGGTAGATAGGCAGGTTGAAGGGAGGAAAAGGATTACGATATTTTAATGTAGGGTCAATGCCCAGGAGGCAGGTGTCTAAAAGCAGTCTGACAAGGCGCGAGAAGATCCTGCCTCAGAACTGCGATCTATCATCACTCTAGGGCTTGGTACGGATAAGAAACTTGACTTAATATACTAGTTGTTGGCGTTAACTTATTTCAAACGAGTCGTACATAATGTATAACTGATCTCATTTAACTGTAGTATTTTCTTATCATCCAAAACCAGTTCATCCTATCAAAATAGCGATGATTTCAACAGTTAAAAGTGTTTCGCGCATTCCCGCACTCTCGAGACAATCGAAACTCACTCTCCTACGACGCAGGTTGTAGTGTTTCATGTCTTCATTACAATTCCACCTTGCCCTCAACCAGGCCATTTTTGACGTCGTTGACTTCATCACCCGTGATACACCACTCGGGCGATTCTCCAGAAGCGGAGTCGGCCAGCGTCTTCGGCCTCATCAGACGCCAATGCCCGTTGATCTTGTGAAATCTCATGGCAATGAACGCAATGGTAACGGCAAGCGAGTAGAGGTTATAAGATATGACTGTGCTGTAGGTTGCGGAATTCGTCCACCCAAGTATTCCGTTGAAGATCCCCCAGCCACCTCCGCCATCAACTTCAGGACTGCAACATTATGACAAATTAGATTTCATCGGAGGACTACCCAGCGGAACTCCATACATTAATATGCCAGACGCTCCGGCTAATGTCGTAAGATCCTAGCCCAGCGCCTAGTTCACCCACATCTTTGCCTACCATTCTGTTCCAGTGGTACTGCTCAAAGTACCATATGGAGCGGGCAAAGATTCCTGATGCCACAAGGTACATCACACAGGTTGCTATCACCAGGAAAAATTGCAGTTTTGCATAGAAGCCACCTCTATGCCCAGTTAGTGTCATCGAATGAGTAGGAAACTCTTGGAGAGCTTACTTGTACAAAAGCCACCCCACAATACAACCTGCAATCAAACCCACAATAACGGGAAGAGGAACCGCGGTTGCGGGGGCAGAAAAAGAGACCCCGGCAACAAAGTTCACGGCCTCGATTCCCTCGCGGCTCACAGTGATGAAGGCGAGAAAGAACAGGGCATATTTGCCAGCAATTCGTCTAAAGTACCCTTTGCGACCTTCTTTTTGAGGGTTATCCATGGCTTTGACCACCTTCTGGCGCCATTTGTCTTGCATCTCGCCAATTCGGAGGAGTGCTGCGCCAATCACGGCGATGATGATTGCAGCCACCAGGTAGAAGACTGCTCCATAAACATACTCCGTCGATTCCCAGATTCTTGCCGAGAGTGTAGAAGGTGCCAATTACAGCACCACCTATGACTAGGCAGAGCAGAAAGCCCAGAGCCGTACCAACCCAGACCTAGGGCCCCTCGCAAGTTTAGTGGAAAAGAATTACCAACAAAAGGGAGAAAGATCTGTCCTCTTGAGGCTCGCCTGCTTGAGTAAAGATTTGTATATTGTCTTATTTGCATCGTTATTTGGATCACTGAGGGTTTGCTTGAGGAACGCAAGCAAGACTGATATGATTATGACCGCTTCAACGGTTTCTCGAAAAACGACCACAAATACGGGAACAGAGAAGACATTCACAGCCGTTTTACTGTTTCAAACAAAGCCTTTTCTGTCACGAGAGGGCGTTTCTCTTTTGCCTTTCCATAAGACGAGTGCAAGACGATGAAAATGTGTTGAGCAGATTGAGCAGATTATCAGGTGATCTGATGAGGTTGGAGACCATTATGTGCCAGGCGACCAAATGGAACTAATAGAAAATCGCTTCCGAGGGTACGGAAGGTCAAAATTATGGGCGTGACAAAGTTCAGCTAGGAACCCTCTTTCCAAGGCGAGTGACTGGTCATCGACGGAGAGGCTGACGGCATTATGGCTCCCTTTCTTTTTCGAAGAAGCGGTCAAAGCGCTAATGCGTCGTTGAGCTAAAGCTTATTCTGCCAAGGTCGGAGGTATTTCCCCTATCATGACAAATTCTTATTACCTGGCATTTGCCAGTCGCGGTTGTCTTGAGCGGAGATCGAGAATAGGAAATTATCTGAAGATAACACGTCACATTCCTGCAGTTTTACACTTCCACCAATGCGTTTACACCTGTGATTATGATGATCACATTTGTTAGGAATGAGAAGATCCTGCTTGTCCCCCTTCCCCTTCTGCTCTTCACGTCTTAGGGTGATGGAAAATGCCCTACTGAGTAGGTTCGCTTTTCACTCGCTAGGTGCAGCAATCACGTTGACTGTGGTTTTGGTGGTGGTTATCCGGAGGGAGATTGATAAACGAAGGGCGTGGCAATGTCATTATCTGATTGATAAGATCAATAAATGAAGACCCACAACAAACCCCGAAGAACTCGCTACGCTCAGGAGGCAGCCATGATCCAATCTTCCACCCTTTGACCTACCATAGCTTCGCATAAAGCGAAGCCTCTGAAGTCAAAATTGCGCATGTGATCAATGGTCTTATCCATAAGAGGGGCGACCACCAACTCTTCAGAAGATTGTGTCTGGACAGTCGGGAAGTCTCTGTTCGTGGTGCTTGCTACCCCACCCAACACGAGGGAAGGTAAATTATTCAGCCAGTCAAAGTCATTTCCGAGCGAACATTATTTTGGGGGTTTCTTTTTTTTTCGGTCTCTGTCTGTGCACTAGGTGTGTCTAATCAGATAAGATGCTCAACGGAAACGTTATCCTTCTCCTGATCGGGATTTAACCGCCTGTGGAAAATAGGTATGGCACGGTTCAGACGCCGTCGATAATACCGATCTCCCAGGATAACCAGAATCGAGCATCGAGATAAAGCACGAGATATTGGAGATCCCAGGATTGATTACATGTGTTTAATACATTAAATATTCGTATCTTGATGGGCGGCCTATGTGGCCTTTCTGGTGATTTACAAGTCCCTCGGCCGATGTATTGTCACCGTTCGCAGTTTAACGTAACATAACCACAACCAGTCTTCTCCCATGGCCCGCCAAACTCAACCGCTGTCCACCCTACTTTTTGCCGAACCCGGAGTCTTGCCTCCTTGTTGGTGGGGATCGCAGGAAAAAGAGTCAGCTCGCAAACTGACGGGCTGATCGACATCAGCCGACCAGGATTGACATTACATCAAGAAACACCAAAGGGGGCCAGGGGCATCAGTCCCGCCACAAGCATCGGGCCAGTGAGAATTCATGCTCTCCCACAGCCCATCAGCTCCATCAGTCTGTTTGATTGACTAGAGGTAATGTGGTTGCCTAGTTGTCGAAGCTTTTCTAGAACCGATCAGGCGCAGACCGCCCCAGTTTTACCACAAAGACACAGATGGTACGGATGATACATTACCCAATCAGAAGTAGTTGTCCCTTGGACCCCTGAAGGTCAGGGCCTGTTCCCTGGTACGCACTGTAATATTGTAAGATATCCAATACTGTACTGTACTTGTTACTCTATAACTGTTAACAGAAGAGCAGATTAAGAGACTGGCTTAGCAGATAGATAATTAGAGAAAACAGATTCCAACAGCAAGCATACTGCTCCCAGCTCACCAGAATTCCCCTTCACAATTCTCCAATTACCGGCCCACTAATATCTCCTCCTCCATCACTGTTCTTTGGTGATTTTGCTGTTTATGCTTTTATCTTAGGATGGAAGCATTCTGTACCTTGCGGCAGTCACGTGAGACTGTCTCCGTATCCTCTGTTATGATCTTCCTTACTGAATTTAAGCACAAAGCTATTTCAGCTAACAGAGTCAGCCTCCGATATTGTGGATTGGGAATTTGCCTTCCGTTTGGCATTTCCTTAGACAATTCAGTTGATTCGGTTATGTCACCTGGACCTGGGAAAAACGTGCATTTTGTAGTTCTTGGTAAAGTTTTTGCCATATTTAAAGGCGGGAATACCAAGGCCGAGCGGTATTCCCACAATGGCTGCTCCTAGGTGCGCCTTCGGGCGAAATGTAGGGCGGACTTGTAAGGGGCTGAGACCTAGCCGTCAAAAAGCCGAGGTCAAGGAATAATGTACAGTACTCCTCCCAGCACAAACATAGATCATCTTTTCAATAAGTGGAAGGTTAAGTGGATCGATTGTGGATGCGTTTTCCAGGAGAGCTATATGTGCTGTAAGTCCGGATACTTGGAGGCGTTATGACTGCTCTAGCAATCGGCACCAGGTGGCATATCAGATGGCAATGGATGCCCTCTGTCGTTCTGGAGTGATCCCACTCAACGCACTTCTAACTCTTGATTTTGGGCAAATGCAGATGAACATGGATTTGGCTTTAGCTGATTGGCATTGGTCAGTTTTGGCAGAACCAGTTTCACCATAATTACGGAGGCGAGAGCGAGCGCGAGAACGAAAACGAAACTCAAATTTTACATGGTCCGTATGTTTTGACTTTGTTTGCCACACGACCTGTAATTACGTCAACCTAAGCGTCCAAACAAAACAGTTCGACGCACCAGGCCGTTCATAATTCGTCGCGCCATGCATTGTTCAGGTGTATTTTCTGTAGCGCTGCGACAAATCGAACATGTCTACTCCCGTCTATGTCAAGGCCATTGATTTCAGAATAAATTGAAATCGAAATCCTTAAAGACAAATGGCACATCATGCAGTCCCAACACTACGCTTCGGTGGTTACAACCGCAGTTCATGTCATCTCTACGGAGCGTGTAGCCCTTGCTAATCTGGAGAGTATCTACAAGACGAATGAGCGGGTACGGCAGAACCTGGCGCGTGCAGTAATCGAGATCATTAACAGCATGAAGAATGGGGGCAAATTGGTTATCTGTGGAGTTGGCAAGAGTGGAAAGATTGGACAAAATGTGGTAGCGACAATGATTAGTATGGGCATACACAGCGCATTTCTGCACCCCACAGAAGCGTTGCATGGGGATCTAGGGCTAATCAGACCGGTAGGTGGCCAGTCAGACCTTAATGTGGCATAAGTGAAATGCGAATATCTCAGCAAGGTTGGCATAGCTGTTGATGATCATCTAGAATGATACTCTTTTGTTCTTCTCCTTCTCAGGCCAGACGAAGGAGCTTCTGCAGCTTCTTCCATATATTCCTTCAACGGTGCCTGTGATCGCGATCACATCTCACATGGACGTCTCAACCTGTCCTATTCTCTCATCCCGACCCAACGACAAGGCGGTTCTCTTACCCGCTCCTATCCACGAGAGTGAGGAAACATCATTTGGTGTCTGCACTCCAACGACATCAACGACGGTGGCACTCTCAATTGGGGATGCATTGGCTATTGCCATAGCCAAAGAACTTTACACCTCACCGGGTAGACGCCCAATGCATGTTTTTAAGGGCTACCATCCAGATGGAAGTACTTAGGACTCTATAACCAGTTTCCAAAGGGTTATCCGGATCCCTTAAGCATCAAAAGTCTTATTGCTGATGCAGTCAGTCACAGCAAAGTAAATAAAGTAAGTATACTTGCAGGTTCGTACCTACGGGCACTTAATCCACTGGTCTGGCCTTTTCCCGTGCCAACTAGCAATCATTCAATGGTAGATGCGCATCTCATGTGGATGGTCGATATCTGTCAGAGTCTAGTGACAGCCTTGTTCGAGTCAGAAATGTACTTATGTTTATTCTGTGACATTCAAGGTTTCCTAAACTGTGAGCAACATAATATTGCACAGTGATATTCTTGAGATACGACTCAGCCAGTGGCTCTACCTGATACGAAGGATAGTCTTCTTCGGAGTCCTTGTCAGAGTCTGACTCTGAGATGATATCATCATTAGACCCTGTCTCTTGCGGCAAGGGAACAACAGCGTCCGTCAAGCTATACTTGACTAACGAGATGATTAACCTTGTACTCATCTCATGGTCGTTATGGTTTTTGGGCGCTTAGAGTCAGAAAGTGCTACCTCTATATCTTGCAGGAGCTTGTAGGTATATGAGATGAGGAGCTGCGAATCCCGAAAACGATAATCGAGAGTACTTTGCCCACAATGATAAAGCCCAAGGCTCACTGCCCACAGCTCGACCCTCTCCATCTCTTTGACAAAATTTCGCTTATATAGGCACTGTAGCTTTCCAGCAATCCTTGTACCGCTCGAAATTCGGAGCTAACTCTCTTGCCGATTTGGACCAGGGGCTCACTGGCCTCGTGGTCAAGCAAAGACATATCTAACTGCTGCTGGAAACAGAAAGGTAGTTGTACTAGAAATCAATGATTGAGGATGTCACTTGAAGTGTGTGCTTCGGTCATGCTGGTGCCCCTCCACGCTGCAGGAGAAAGGTTGCGACCAGACCAATGAGGGCCGTCTGACGCGGGTGACAGCGCAGAGCTCTCCTTTCATTTAATTCTAGACCTTTTTCTCGAGCCAGGTCTTGTGTTCTTTGGCAATATCAGCACACGGAAAATGAGCGGGCTCGAGGTTGTCGGGGTCGTTCTAAGCGCGATCCCGCTGATCATCTCTGCCATCGAGTCCTACAAAAAGAAACGCCAACGCTTCAAGTATTTCAAATACAAAGAACACTTTATTGTCGATTTGATTCATTTCACTCAAGGATCAGAGATTTTTTCTCAAGACTGATCTCTACATCTTACTGAAGACAACTTACCTGGAGGAGGAAGAAATAGAGGCCTTGATCCGCCAATCTAACCCCGACCTTTTCCATAATCCCGACCTTGCCCATGCCGTCCAACAATGCCTTGGGGATGGATATGTGCCGTACCAACGAGCCATGGTTCGATGCCAACAGATCCTTGCACTTCACATTGAATATCGGTGGCCTAGCATCTGAGTCGCAGGTAGATTGAGGAGCGAGACAATATGAAGACAGTACTGGAAGCTGACTTCATCGCAAGAGGAATCTTTCAGGACTTGTTGACGCTCACCGGACAAGAAATGGAACATACGAGTTTACCAAGAAGATCAAATTCAGCCTAATAAAAGACGAGCTGGAGAACCAAATTCGGGATCTAAATGACGCAACCTTCACACTGCGCAAGATTCGAGAACTCGGGACAAAAAAGATGGATGTGGCCCTTCAATCAACATCTCAGCCAGCCACAAGGTTTACTTCAGCCGTTGCGTCTACTCAACAATACGCCAAGTGGTTGTATTCTGCAATCGCCACTGGTTATGCCGTTGGTTGCCACCCGGTGCACGAGGTCAGGCTGTGGCTGTCGAGCAGGGCAATACTTTGGGACAGGAAGAAAGGATTTGGTGTCCGGAAACCTGCTGTGGCATTCACTGTGGCATTTTCTCCTGACGATGCGGACGAAGCGCGCATGCCACGGTACATAACGGAGGTGGAGGTCCTCGAAGAAGAGCTGGATGCTTGTCAGGACAGGTACGAGATCAAATTGTGACTTGGATAGTCGAGTGATAATAAACGTCAATAGGGGACAAACTCAGAAGCATGTGAAGGTGACTATCCAAGAACCCGCAGAATCATGCAGGGTACGACCGAAGAGCCTGCAAGACCTGTGCGACTCAATCGCTCAAGCGCGAGGCGACAGCCAAAGTCTCCAACTCTACCTTTCACGTGATGGGCATCTGTGTTATCTCTGTCAACCCTTGAAGTCCGATGCCCACGAGGTTAATATAGTCGAAGGAAAAGAAGATATACTGTCGTTAGAGGATATTCTTCTGCAGACGGCAGAGGCGAGTCCACCTTCAGCTCTTCGGTTGACCCTCAATCAGCGCATGGGACTTGCATTCAATATTGCGTCCTCGATGATGCAACTGCACTCAACACCATGGCTTTGCGCTCCTATAACTAGCAGGGCTTTGTATTTTGAACGCGGTACTGAGCTATGTATGTGTAAGAGGACGCCACCAAGCGCAGTCTTCTTGCAGCCTTTTATTCGCCATGAGTTTACCACAGTTGCTGAGGATAACTGCGCAAATTCTCCCTGTGGTCCAAAGCGATGCATGCTTGATCTGGGTATTGTGCTCTTAGAGCTGTGGCATGCGAAGACCTTTAGCACATATCTCATGGAAGAAGGCTTGCACCTCGATAATAGCCTCGGAAGCCGGTATGATATGGCAGTACGTTGGTTGAACAGCAGCACATACCATATCTTACCGTTTTATCTTGACGTGGTGACGCGTTGTATCGAGTGCACCTTTGCGACTAACAGTGTTGCACCTGAATGGCGTGATATCATGTTCCGCAAATCTGTCTATGAGCATGTCCTGAAACCTCTTTGGGATAATTGTCCAGCCGAGCTCCGATAACTTAACCAGCAGCACAGTAGCTTCAAGAATTGTTAAGCTCATGCGATATAAAGCACAAGTCTCTTATAATGATAAGTGTACGTATTGGCGGTCAGTTTATCGCTGTCATCTATCAAAACACATTAGTATGGTCTATGCTACTCTCGGAAATAATGCTAAATCAAAGATGGCACTGGATATTCAATCAAACGGTCTGAAGCGTGACTGACAAGTGGCGATGGAGATATTGGCTATTCCTGGCAAAGAAATGAGCCTTCTTTGGAGGACTTATTCAAGAATAGCTAAGCTAAGCATTTACTTGGTGTATATATGAGATCATCTAAGCAAGTAGCACTGTCTTTCCGGAACTATTCCACTAAGGAACGTCCAAAAGGTACAAAATACTCTCGTGCTTGTTAACCTCATCACAAAGGGAAATGGCTCCGGGCTTGATTCCCTCCCTCCATTGGTTAAATATACCGAGAAGTTGATGTAAAGTGTGGCAATTGTTATAGTGAGATTGCGGTTCGGTGCTGCCCTGCTGTTGCTCAAGGCAGCATTGACAACCGCCACAACCGCATATCTGGAAGCCGTTCATTCAGGGGTTACCATGCAGAAAACCAGGGCAGTGGCCTGAACAAGTGGGCCTGTCAAAGCTGTTGTACATCAGTTGTAAGAACCCGTTAAGGCTTGGCCAGGGCAAACTTGGCTCTGTGGCTATGTCTCTTGAACACCATTCCCACCAAACACGTGAACAGATGCAAGGGGAAGCGCTCTGGGCAGGCTACCAAGATACTTGGTGAGACCTCCAAAATAGATGGGAACCTTTAGAGCGGCACAAATAGTGATACAAAGAGATACTACGGCCAGAAATAGTTAATCATCTGGAACAAAAACAGCCCTTTATCACCCTAGCGTTGTGAAACCCAATACATAGGGCGGGGACTAATAATGAACTGAAAATGAAGAGTACCTTAGGAACTCTATCTTAGGCAGGACTGACAGACGTTGTCTGACCTATAGCCGCACATATGTGACTTAGCCCCAAGTTTCTATTACAATGTAGCGAAGGGTCAAAGTAGCAACATGTCCTAGCAGAGAGGATCGTCTTCAACTGAAAATAACGCCTACTAAATGGAAATAGAATCAAGGACGACACAGTCAGATAGAAGTCGCAAAAAGTGTGTGGTCTTCACTTTTTAAATCTCGCTGGACCAATATCTGGTCCTGGATGAAGCAGTTGCTCCAAATCAGTCACATTTCTGCCGTCCATGCCCTCAAATTTCTTCCTACCCTTCTCGAAAGCCTCTTTATCAATATGTTTTCCAAAAAATTCCAGCATCTTTGTAATTTCCTCGGGGCTTAATTGCTTATAATCTATTACCTCGCCACTCGAGCTAAAACTGCGGTACACTCCATCAGTAGCAAGGTGGGTGAAGCCTTTGTTCGATGGTGAGTGTTTGAGGGGTGGAAAGGGCGATGGCTCGTCGTCTTTCTATTTCGATGTTAGTATTGTACAGACGCATGCTGTCAGAAATACTCTTACTATGCAGGACATGATTCAAGTGATCTGTTTGTGTGATATGATGGATGTCTTGATTGTACTGTAAAATAGAGAGAGGGTAGTCGAAAGGAGGTGAAGACTTCTCTGAGAGGTGTGGCTCACCTGAGGGGAAGCTGATACTTAGAGCTAATGCACAGAGGAAATGCTGACGTTACGACCAGTGGTCACATGCCCTTAACAGGGGTATAAGACAGGGGTATAAGAGAGCCTTTAAGCTACTCTGTTAACTAGGTAGTTTCCTAATGTAGGCATACACATGACCTCATCAGGCAAATGTCTTACATGTGTGTACTATACTTCCCAACAGATTCATTGGACATCCACCACTCATCTTGCCACGAAAACTACCATACTTTTTGTTTAGAATCATCACTTGCGTATCCATAGGATTCTGATATAATTTGTCCATCATTTTTACGTGAATTATACAATCAATACACCTCAGTCAAGGACAGTAAATGGCATTGGTAGACAAATCAACTAGAAAACAAAGCATAGAGAACAGGTGAAGGTATTCACATTCAGCTGATTAGTTAAAGTGCACACTCACTGAGTGGTGAGCATGTAACCAGTGAGTAAACAATATCTACCTCAGGCACCAAGGTGTCGACTCCTGGAACAATCATCACACATATAACCCTTTTTAATCTCGACAATCTGATATATTGAACCTTGCACACCCTAAATATCCAGCGTACACCTTCTTAAAGGCCGTTTAAACAGTTTGCGCAGATCCCACAGCTCTGCTTTTGACGAAATGTAAGGAAGGCTCGGCAAAGAGAGGAGTGAAGAACGAAGATAGGACTGCACTATCCAAGGATGTGTGTAGACTATCATACATGAAGGAATAAGATGAGGAAACACCTGTGGAAAACACTAGCCTATCTAAAAAGGTGGCAAGAGAGAGGGCAAAAGAAAGTATGCTTTCACTAAACGCAAACACCCGTTCCTCCTGGAAGGACAGCATCCAGCCGCGCACAATATGCGCAGCCCTGGAATTTGCAAGCCTCATCACTCCTGCAAGGTCGGCCCTTGCAGAAATAGTCGGACTGTTGAAGAGGCTCGGCGGTGCGCTTAGACTGAGGTGCCTGACGAGGCATGGGATTTCGAAGCTCAGCAGGAGGGTCAAGCAACTGTTTCTCATCCGTAACTTGACGTCCATCGACGTCATCAAATATAGCGTGCAAATGATCCGCTTCCTTCTTCCATGGTTCTGGAAGGTTCGCGAGCAGCTGCTTAAGCTGGTCATTGGTCAAAGGAACATAGTCGATAACGGATTCGTTCTCGTCGTAAGCTCGTGCCACTCCGTCGTTCGCGAGGTGGACATATCCATGAGGTACTGATTTCAACTTGCCCATGGCTTCGATGGCACTGATGCCCTCCTGAGCGGCTACCCTGGGAGCCGCGAGGGTCGATGTTGCCATCAGGCCCAGCACTGCAAGGTAAAATGAACGCATGATTGAGAGACAGGAATTTGTTTGAGTGTGTCTTTGTATAAAAAGATTCTTGGACTAAACTTGAGAAGTCGGTGTTGTGTTAGCTCTGGAGATCATGTCTCCTGGCAGGTCAATCAAAGTATTTATACCCATATTGGCCACAAGATATGCCTGGACTCGCGCAGGTGACCGAGACTCTCTGGATCGTAAAATATTAAATCCGACACTACGGAGAATAGAGATCACCTTTAGAGGTAAGCAATCCCAAGCCGAATTGCTTTAAGCCCATTCTGTTTAGCCGTTGGAGGTGGAAGGCTTGGGAACACTGGTGAGGGGTATGATTCTTTGTGACCTAGCGCAATGCCAGCGGCCTCTAACTACTCCGGAATACTACATTCCCGACCCAACAGTCTGGGTGAGGGTGTGATAGCGATGCATTAGTCTGTTGATCGGACACCTGGGCAGGCGCCTTCCAATTTCATAGGTAGGATTTCACCGGATCAGCTCGGAACATGAGGCGAGCTGATCCCAAAGGCATGTAAAACCAACAAGACAACAAACCTAGTCCTGTTTGGACAGTGTTGAATGATAACTAGATTCATCAGAGACATATTAAGATGCAAAGGGCAAGCAGCCATCAGAATGACCTGACATTCTTTCCCAGCCTCTTTCTAATTTCATGCATTTCATTTGTTATTGACAGGGGTTCATGGGCTACTTTTCCTCCCGCCCCGTCTGCTCTTTTTTTTGGGACAATTGTGGTAAGAGAAGATGGCTAGGAATAGTCGATGCTTCCTGATGATTTTTCATTATTAGCAGGAATCTTAGATTCCCGCACTATGTATTTGGTTTCGCAAGATATCCATCTAAATGTAGTAAGGACTTGGTATTCACAAGTAGGGGCGAAGAAAGTACTCTCTCTGGCCCTTGGATTCCTAAGACTAAATAAGGCTATTATAATACAGGCAATGATCCTTGCCCTTTTGTATTCAGACACCTATCAGCCAATAATGGATCCTTACTATTGTTGGGGTGGTGTAGTGGAGGTTAAGGGTTTTAAATGTTTGGAACACAGCTGTGAGCGGAGTTTAGTATACAGTTAGAAAATAAATAATAGTTATGCATGATCGACACATGATCGACATTGAACTCCTCTGATACGCTGTAACGCTGGGCCCAGGAAGCGGAACCTGGAGTGTCAAGCACTATGCTGAACTAGGTAATATATCGCCCCAATCATAACCTGGGCAGGAGGTGCGTGCTAGTCCCAGGGTCCTAGGGCACACGTCAGAACCAGAGGGTGAAGTGATGGTTCTTGCCAGAATTGGTTTAGAGAAACCAACACATATGTACAATAATGGTGCCACAGCCTCATTTCAGTACATACTCCTCCACAAATCCTACTGGGATATAGCATGGGTAGTTAGATGAGGCATTTTCCATTTCCTCTTCCTGTTTCTCCCAGGGCTCGAGAGTACCCTTCAGAATCCGAGTAGAAGTGTTGGCTCTTGGGAAAATTAGTTTAAAGATAGCAACAGATCTGTATAGATAGATGAGGCAGATTTCTTCTTCCTCTTCTTTCTCCCCCTGTATCAGCTGTTTTGGGATTGCATTTTGCAATAGGGATTATTCTTTCAACAGATACGATCACGCCACTCCATCTTCAGCGATGTGAAAATGTCCCTCAGGGTCTGTTTTCATTTACCAATAGCCTTCCAAGGCTCCCCAACTTAGCAAGTACCTTGGAAACTATAATGATGATGTCACTCTTAAACCTAGCACTGCAATTAAAATAAAATGTATATTAGAGGATAGTATTTTTTTTATTTAAGCTTAAGTTGTGTAAAAAGGTTCTTAAAATATACTTATAAAGTCAGTGTTTATATAGGCTCTGAATAAGATAGCCACGCCTCCTCGCATATCAATCAAAGTATTATACATAAATTTCCTATATAATTCAGCGCTTAGATAGTGCCGATACGTTCATCTATGAAAGACTGAATTAAGTACTAGACTCAGATATCAGATTTATTAATTTATTCTCTGATTTGTTATTTCTATTCCTGTAGCCTAACAAGTTGACAGGGGGTGTAAACTTCTACATCAGACACTATAGAAAGCTACCCTGTTTCTCTTAGCCTATGATTAAACACCTCCTCCAGAACTGGCCGAATCCACCCCCAAATTGGTTTAAGTCCATCCTATCACAGTGCAGGAGGAAGGACGATGGAGATTACTGATAAAAAGTACAATTTCTTGTGAACTATTGGTACAACGCCAGTGATGTCCTTGAGTTAGAATACTACAGTCCGGGACCCGACATTCTGGGTGACGGTGTGATAGCTAAACATTAGCCTGTTACATGGCCAACTTCCGATTCTCCCAGCTTACATCCGAGACCGGGAAGTAGAACCTAGAAAAGCCTCAAGCCTTACCCTAACTAGGTAGCTCGTTGCCCCAATCACAACTAGAATAGGGTATAATACTAGTCCCAGGTCTTCAGAGCGCGAGTCAGAGTGGGTGTAGAAGCGTTAGTGATCCTCAGAAGGGTAGTATAAGAGAACGCAATAGATATGCATGATAGCTGTGTGGTAGCCTGAACTTAGTAAATGCTCCTCCGCACCCTTACTAGGGTTGTAATATGGGTGGTTAGAAGAGGTATTTTTTCCGCTTCTTCTTCTTTCTCCCTGTAAATCGGTTTAGGATAGAGGGTCATGGATAAATTGTTGGTTCTGTTCTGTGTTCTGGGTGAATTTGAAAAAGAGAAATAAATGTTGACTAATATCTATACTACAGCGCAACCACTCCCCCACTGATGATAGATCAGCCAAACAGCACATATAAGAAGTCCAAAGAATCCTTGGTTTTCAGTTTTGTTCCCAGAGTCTTCAGCCATTACTCTCAAACATTATTGAGAGTTCATTCAGAAAACCTCTCCAAGATGCATTTCAGTACCGCCCTCTTTCTGTTATGGCTCTCCTTGCTGCCAAACAGGTTATTGGAGCTTCTGTAGAGGTCCCTCGCAATGTTGGCGCTATTCCAATTGCTACCTCCCCTTGTTGGTTTCCTCTGATCATGCAGCATCAAAGACATAGTATTAATATCTTGTGCAGACTATGCTTGCAACTGTCCTAATAACTGCAAGCACAAGCAGGGCTCCAGTTGCAAGTACTATAGCAATCCTAGTGACAAATCACAGGTTATCTCTGGCAGTAAGTATCTTGCCACTACAATTTCCACATCTTATAGGAGTTACTAACTAACCGTGATCACACAGGATGTGAGTGGGTGGGCTCCGGGTTGAATTGCATTGCTTAGATTGCGTCTGTCGTGAGGAGACAGTTGCATTGGTTAAGGAGACAGTGTGGATGAAGAGCTGGTTGGTCAAGTATTTGTAGTGGTGCTACAGCATCCCAACTATTATCACTTATTGAAAGATGTTGAACTTCTCAAGTAGTCTTTGAATATCAATACTTGTTCCGGAACATGAGTATTTACAAACCTTGCATACCTAAGCGCCAGGCAAGTGAGGAATGGGCCTGATTTCCAGGGCGGCAGGTAATCCCTAGTATATTACTCAATTAGGGTTGTTGCTTGACTACCTGTATAATGCGTATCTTAGAGCGACACTACGGGAAGTCTAAGGTAACGACGCCGTAAAATTCCGGATTGGATGGCTTAAATATTATGTCTATGCTATGAAACACCAACGCTCGAGGGCCATGTTGGCTCTTGTGACTACTCCCTCTGGAAGTGTTCTACCCAAAGCGTTCTACCCAACGGGGAAACGCTGAAGCTACGTCAAGTGGATCGGGATTGAAATCCTGGGTGGGATGAGAGAGCTCTCGGCTAGGCTGGTGGATCCTTCTATCAAGTGACAATTAGAGGGCTAATCCAGGGTTAACACGCATCCAGACAGACTAAGAAGTGAGTTCCGAGTACTATTGGTAGCACTAAACAGGGGTCAAGATCCACGGTGATCCATCCCAGGCTACAATCCATGGATTACTGGGTCAGGAAGGATCGCCTCTTACCGTGCACGCGCCATATTTTGCTGCGACCCAGGAAGCTAGGCAGCTGTGTAAGATACCGAATCAACCCTTTCAGTCCTCGCCAGAGGGAGTACACAAAGTTTCCGATGTTTATGAGTGGCTTATTTCGCTGTGCAGGCCTGATTAATCTACCTTTATGTAACTTTTTCCCCGGTCAAAGTCGAGACTAAATGATATGGCATCGCCCAGTATATCTAGATTGGTAGGCTATCCTTCAACAGATCATACAGCACGTGGTTTCCATGGTAGAGGTAGACAGATACAGACAGGAATCAATTCATAGAGCAATAGATTAATCCTAGGTTGGAAGACAGTACTAGTCTCATAAGATCGAAATATACTACGCGAAAATAAGAAACACTTGATTAGGAAGCGATGTACCATGCAGTACCTCTACCAATTATACCGCATTCCCATCAGACTTATCCCTGGATCATCAGGCTGGTGACATGCGGGCTAAGCTGTAAGGCCCAATACAGAATTAGTGACTGTACTTTATAGCAATTTGGTTGTTCGGACTTGCTGTTGACTTGTGATGGTTTCATTGTCTCTGCACTAGTAAAAACCACTTGACCATAACAGGTACAAGGTGACTGATCGAAGATCAGTCGCATCCAGCGCCCCATACGACAGACCGTGCAGGGATTTTACTTAGACAACTGTTTTTAAATATAAAGCCAGCAGTCTTCTTGGGGTATCTAACAAGTCAAGCAGTAACTCTGAGCAATACAATCCTGATCTGTCTGCCCTTCCACTCCCTATCTAGCCTCGACAACAGGCGTGAGGGTACCCGGTCACATATGGCACCATACAGGCTACTAAGAATAGTGTTAGTTTCGATGAGGTCTCTATGCTGCCCCTCCCGCGGTCGAGAGCTCGCAGCCACAGGGCGGAGAAGGGCAATCTACAGCCATGTGTCTTACTGCCTTCTCCCAGTCATCCTCTGCGGCGGCCTGGTTGTACTGTATTTATCCACTTCATCTTCCAATATCCCATCCACTGATTTGGTCGCTACTTAGTGTATGGTCCCTCCTGGGCATGGCCCTTGTCGACAATCCCATCCCTCCTGTGCATGCGAACGGGCTGCAGCGCATACGAGAAAGCTGGAAAAAGCCATCCGATTCCGTTACAGCGCTATCCCCATGGCCCAAGGACTTTAGCCAGGGCATCACACCCGCCCGGTGTCATTCACATAACGACTACTGGCGCAAAGTCCCACTGTTTGATGCGCTCACCGCTGGTTGTGTGGGCGTAGAGGCAGATGTATGGCTAGATAAAACGTCCAATGACCTACTGGTAGGCCACCGAACCTCGTCCTTATCGGCCGAACGCACTCTACAGTCTCTATATATCAAACCCCTGACCATAATCCTTACCCGGATAAATCAGGGCGTCAACTATCCCGCCCCCAGGTCCGGAGTTTTCGAGACCCTTCCCAATGCCAGCTTGACACTCCTGATTGATGTCAAGACCGACGGGCATACTACCTGGCCCGTGGTGATGGATCAACTAGCCCCCCTGCGTGCCGGTGGCTGGTTATCATATTGGAATAAGACCGGCGATGGGCTGGCCTGGCGGCCGATCATAGTAGTGGGCACTGGGAATACCCCATTTGAGCTGGTCAATGCCGGCGCCGAATACCGGGACGTCTTCTTCGATGCCCCACTGGGTCAACTTGCAGACAACGCCAGCTTCACCGCCAACAACTCATACTACGCAAGCGCATCGTTAAGGAAAGCTGCCGGGACCTTCTGGCCCTGGGGACCAAGCAGACGTCAGAAAGAGACCATGAAGCGGATGATCGATACGGCCGCGGCAAGGGGATTGGTGTCGCGATTCTGGGATATACCCGGGTGGCCGGTGAATCGACGAACGAAGCCCTGGCGATTCTTGATCGAGAGTGGGATTGGAATACTGAATGTGGATGAGTTGTTCGAAGCGAGGCAATGGATTCGGGATTGGTGCACTGTTGCAGGGAGGGTATTATGCTAAGTGATTTGATGTTGGGTCGCGGCACTATTTTTCTTGTACTGGACTTAGCACTGTCTTGCTGTATTAGTTGTGAATTGAGGTCAGTAAGGCAAACTATAGAGGGCTTGCCGGAGTATCTTTAACAGTGTCTATGAAGACGTCGACCACTGCTTTCCGCGCTCTGATCGTCATCTCGAAAGCCATGGATCTTCCCATATGTTCCTAACGGTAGTCCGCCCGCCCGCATTTGTGTCAGCAGCAGCCTCGGTACAAAGAGCACGGAGATCGGCTCTGCCATAGCCCTTCGTTATCTCGGCCAGTTCGTCCTTGATGTGATCAGGGAGAGGTGGATCCCAACCTTTGGTATGGATATCCAAGATTGCACGCCGACCTTCAGTATTGGGCAACGGGAAGTAAAACTCGCGATCGAAGCGGCCAGTCCCAGCTTCAGATACAGATGCTGATGAAGCTCCTTCAGAAGAACACAGGAGCAACCGCACAATCATCACCTCCGAATCACGCGGTCTGATCCGCTGCAAGGAACAACAGGCTTCGCACCTGGGAAGCTGCCCTGCATCTCGGCTCGTTTCTCAGCACGCCCGCCGGGCAGGCTCTCGTGCGCGGGAACCAGGTCATCGAGCTCGGCGCCGGCACGGGCTTCTATCCATGTTCTGCGCCAAACATCTCGGCGTGCAGAGCGTGGTCGCCACGGACCGCGAGCCGGCCCTCATCGAGAATATCCACGGTTGTATGCGGCGGAATGAGCTTGACCCTGCTGTCTTTCATCCTGCGATTTGGGAGTGGGGGACACCCTTGTCTTTGACTCAGTCTAAGCCGAAGGGCGACGCCGCAGAGAGTGCCGCGGTGTCAGGCAACGGTGATCTGGCCTTTGACGTTGCACTCGGTGCTGACCTGGTGAGTGTACATGATCGTCCTCTGGCCCGTGGCCTGGAATCGGAAATTTCTATTGATGTCCTTACTGTGAATCAATCTTTTTTTCCAACTTCGACCAGCCATACCGCCGAACTCGAAGCATTACCCCCTAATCCATTTCTAGATCAACAGCATCCTCGTCGAGTAATGGTACAAAACGAAAGTCCACGAAAGTCACGGTCCCCCCAGTTCTCTCCTAGAACCTCGACTGCAGTCAGCCACCACAACTACGACCCAGACCGCTCCTTCCCGCACAGTCGCGGGGCCTCGGAAGCGTACTTCAAATATGCCGTTCTCTTCTTTGCGGCATCAATCATCACATGGGTACGTGCTTGCGTCTTTATCATCTGTACATCTACTGATGTATTTCAGGTTCCTTCGTCTGCCAACCGGGTTTATGCGCTTGCCGCTTCCAATCACTATGTCTTCGGCTTGAGCTGCGCCTCGAGCTTTGCTCTTCCTTTGCAGGGATTCTGGAATAGCCTTGTCTACATTACCGTGTCGTGGCAGGCTATTTTGACATGGTTTCGACATGTTGGTGCGCAGGCGCGGCGCACGTCGAGTGCCACGCTTGGATCTTTGTTTTCCTTGCGTCTGTTGAGTCGGGGTTGGCTGTGAATCGCGACGATATTAACAATGAGACTAGTGATTTCCTGAGGCGAATTGACTGCACCGGATTATTATTCCACATATAACAGCACAAGAACTAGTTCGAGGTGCAGGAAGAAATTGACAAAATAGTCTCATATTATTAGTTAAGAAGATGCTCTGTGCTTGACCACAGGTTTCACCTGACAGTACTCGATCAGTCCCATTAATCCATATTCTGCCCCTATTCCACTCTCCTTATGGCCTGAGAATGGAAAGCGAGGATCTGGACGTGAGGACCGTTGACAAAGACCGTTCCAACGTCCAGGCTGTCCGCGATCCGCTGCGTTGCCTTCGCGTCTTCGCCCCATACGCTTGCACTCAATCCGGCTGAAGTGGAGTTGGCAGCGGAAATCACCGCCTCGATATCAGAAAAGGGCATACAGGGGATGATAGGTCCTGGAATGACTTGTCAGCACTCGTCCCTCGTACATTTCAGTAAACAACCCACCAAACTGTTCCTCAGTGACAAGTGGAGAACCTGCTGGGGAATTATCTACAATTATCGGCCAGAGGAAGAAGCCAGACTCGAGGGATTGGCGCGCGAGATCCTCCTGTGCTGTAAGAGGTTGATCCAAGAAAAAGTTGCACCCTTCTCGTCGGCAGTCTTCGATCAGATCTCTCTGTTCTGGCACTGCATCTTGTTCTGAATCGGGCCCAACATGGTTGCACCATCAACCGAGGAGCATCCGACAGTGACATGGGCCCGGGTAAATTCTACCAGAGCTCGCAGGAAGCGCTCATAAATTGACTCATGGATATAGACACGCTTGGTCGCAATTACAGGACTGACCGGATTTCCACATACACCCCTGGCGACCTGCGGAGCCACTTTTTCGATGTCCACATCCAGCAGGATGATGCAGTCAAATGAGGGCTTAGTTATCATTAACTATAGCTAACTACATTAGGATTACTTGACAAATATGTTTCCGCTGTCTAGAACACCAAGAATAAGCTCACGCTTGATCCTTCAACAATTCCAGTCTGACTGACTGAGCGCCGTTGTGATGATGGCCATTGTCATATCACGTTAGACTACCCAGGTGACTTAACAGTTGATTATGAAAGTCACTACTAGTTCTATCTTCTTCCTCTTTCCCCATGTCTGATATTCCTGTTGAAACGCTGCCTAGATAGTTGAGACATGAAGAGCATCTTCACTTCTAGATTGAGCGCCATCACAGCAGTTGCCCCTCCTGCGAGAGGTATGGGGTGTCGCCGATGCCGGTTACTAGTAGCCGTGTGGAATGTTAATCTACTACTAAGTCCGTCTCAGCTTCTCAGTTCTACTCTAAGTAGATACTAGGTTCAGTAACCTATCCATATTCATATTGTCTTGTCAGAATATGAGTATACTGATAAACTATGATCCAGGGTGCAGAAGAGGCTGGGTCAGCCCCGGTATAAACCTTAGGTTTTGACAGACAGTTTTCGTTGGCCAGTCGAGCCTGTCCACAGGGAGATTCTGCCGATTCGCTGTCGGGACCTTTCCTCCCTTAGAACGCTCAAATTGTACACGAACGTTGCCAATATACCCCTCTTGACTTTTCCTCGACGATTCTCCACGAAGCCTCCTACAGGGAACGCCGGAATCCCTAGGGCATGTCCTTGATGTCATCAATAGTACAACTGACAGGAAAGTCAAGGCCACGATCCCCCATAGTCAAGGCTATGCCGGAGAGAGTGGCGGTGACACAGTCAACTTTGTTGTAGGGTCTTGCGCTGCCCTCAAAGAGCGACCTGCAGTGTCCTAGCAAGACATAATGTCTTGCACGAGTCATCGGACAGGTTTTATTGGCCTTTTCGGCTGCGTAGTAGCAGCAGTTGGAGGCAGATCGGGTGCACCGGGTCCACCAGGCGTTAAAGGGCGCGCCACAGTCTTCTGTTGGATCAAGATCGACCGCTGCGGCAGGGCAAGCAAGTAAGGCAAGAGCAGAGAGAGCAAGCGAGATTTTCATGATGAAGCAGATTCTGTCTGGTAACAAAGGACGTTTACACAAGGAGGAGGTGTTCTTTATAAAGTATTCTCGCATAAATGCGGAGAATTCTGCTTTTGTGGGCTAGAACAGATAACACGCAACACCTGCTTATGCCGAATCTAGCAAGCATACGCGATCCCTGTAGGTGGCTTACATCAGTATGCATTTGCATCTCGTCCAACCAGTGAATGCTGTGCACCCCTCGTTTAGTAGTCTTGGTTTGTTTGTTCATTCTGTTGGCAATTGGCATTACCAATCAATGATCCAAAGAATAACGGAGTAAGAAGGGTCATAAATATATTTCCTTTTCAATGGAAAATCGGTAGTATGCACCCACCATGTCCGACACCTGACTTGGGATCCCGCAGCGGCCGTCTGCCGGGGATCAACCACCGAACTCCGGGGGCGCGACCACCAACTCCAGGCTGTCTTTAGGGGTGTCATGCCCGTAGTCAGGTACTCTTAGGGCGACCATAATCCATAAAGCTACAACCATTCGTCACCCGCACTGATTCATGGTTTCATAACCGATCACCTCCACTCTAGCAGCAATATGAAGATTCTCTGTATCTATTTGCTCCTGCTGGCCCTGGCCAACAGGCCCATCCAAAGCACCGCACCTGCCCCTGGATACTGGAGATTGTCATGGAGCGAGGCGAAGGAATCAATGCGGTCGCTGGTCTATGAGGAGTTATTCAAAAGGTCTAACACAAGCATGGTTATTACAACTTTGTTAACACATACACAGTCAGTGATTATTTTAGAAATTGCTCAGAACAGCCATTTCCCAGTCAGCAACCCAGGAGAGATCACATGGAGCAGACAAAAAGCAGCTACGGCGCAGGAGTGGTCCGCCAGCTGCTCTTCTCCGTATGGGCGTCCGTATATGTATGGTACTGCTCCGCTTAGCTTTGAGGATATAATTTTTAATCTCGGCTACGGCTCGACATCAAACAGACCTGAGGACGGCATCTGCAGCCAAGCTCCTCCCTAGTCATTCCACTGTCCGCCTCATAAGATCGCTGGGGAGGCCATTCATGTCATGGCCCACAACGCAGTGAGTACATCATGTAGTTAGACTTTTAGTTGTGGAGATGAATAGATACGCTATGCCCAAAGCCTAGTAGATCATGATTCAAGGCCCGCAAATCTAGCCTTTAGTTCCTCAAATGAACAGAACCGTTCTCAGTCCAGTGTTTAAATCGAACCCTAATCTAGCCATTTTCTTCAATGTTGCAAAAGGATGAAGGACAGCCGTGTGAGACAACAGGTAAGCACTAAAGTCAGCCAAATGAGACAAACAGGACTTCTGGCTCGCACGTAAGATTAATAGCGCCAATATCAGCCAGGAAGATAGCCAAGGTTACATTGATTGTTGTTAATTAGTAATGCTAGACCCCGCACTTACCATACACGGGATGGCTTCAAATCCTTCTTAAATCTCACCTTTCCATCATCTGTCCTTTTTACCAATGCCTTGTGCGGTCGATCAAACCCAAGGTATGCCGGAAAGTGCGCAATGCCTGTGTGGTGGCCAAGACTAAATGCTGCTGCACGCAACCAACTTGCTCATGATGTGCCAAGCAGGGCGTCCACAGTGAATATGTGTCCACAGTGGATATGGCAGCCACCATTCCCTCTGACTCTTCCGACTCTTCCTCATCCCTCTCGGCCAACGATCATCCCAGACCTATGAAACCCGCGTAAACACAGCCGACTTTCCGCCGCTATGGAGCCCTCAGGGCACGCTGGATGGGCCCTGTGCAGATAGCCTGGATTCATGGAACATTCAGAACTTCATCTGGAACCTCAATACCCTTGATCTCCTGCAGTTGCCCTTGACAGCAAGCGTAGTCCACGAAGTCACCCCAGAACTGACGCCGGCATTCCCGACCAGCCATCCGAGTTTCATATTTCCACTGGCCTCGGTTCCATCGCCACAGTCGTACAGTACCCTGGTCGGGGAGACCTACATGGCGCTGCCGGGCCCAGGGATTCCCGATGTGTCCACCCTGACCGGTCTAGCGGCATAGGCGCTGCTTGTCATGGGTGACGGTAGGCTAGGGCATGGTCGCCTCTCCGTATTGCTCGGGATTATTTGACCAGTCTTCTTCTTTACCCACTGTTCAACACTATCAGTTCCTTGTTACCATCGATATCTATTAGCACATGCTTGCCTTTCAGACTGATGCTCTTTGTTAGTGGGTTCAAATGCACCTCGAATAACGCCATATCTTTGCCCCTGGATAACCGGTCAAATAACTAGTCGATCGGTTCAAATCTCATGTGCCTGTAGCTGAATGCTTCGCACATTCCTGGTGGATTTCTCACCGTACCTTTTCCTCCAAACTCACCTTCAATTCTGCAGCTCTCTGGATAAGTCAATCCTTGTGGTCTCCAAGGTATTCAGCGACCAATCAGACAATCCTTCCGGCTCCAGCAGGAAATGGAAATGAGAATGTCATGCAACCGCTGCGCTTCCAGATCGGTTCTTTCTCCACCCCCATGACATCCTCCATGGCGCTACTCGCCTGCGTGAGTTCGCAGCTGCTTGGCAATCTCGAGGCCGCGCTCCGACGTCTCGCGTTGAGTATGCCTGCTCCGGGTCGGGGAGAGCAATCCTGGCCTTGGGAGCCGGATACTGGCCCGGGGTCCTGTGTGATGATCATCGCCGCGGGCGGCAATGCTGGAGGCGAGGACACTGCAAGCTAACCTCCGGCAGCTTTGCTCAATTCTGTTTCTTCTCCTGACTGAGTAGATGGGGGCTGCCGGGTAGTCCGCCATATGTTATTAATATTACCGTTGGTTCTGACGTGTTTATCTAATAGATATGGACATTAAAGGGTTCACAGAGAGCTTCAGTGCTAGGTCTATTAGCGATCTCGGTTATTACGGGTTATGCAGTGACTAATAAATGGAAAATATCCTTTAACTTGCTATAGGCGATATGAAGTATCAAAGTCAATCATCTACCTCTTCCCTCCCTCCGAAGCAGTACATTTCTTTATAAAATCCATCATGGCCTGCTTCCCAGCTGCTTTGACCAGTATCTCCGCGTGCATGGCCCTGGAGATATCTAATCTATCTACCTTCAGTCCAAGCAAGTCTCCTGCCCTCTTGCTCTAGCTCTGCAGCCGCATATACTAGTTTAACCTCATCTTTCTTAGCTGAAAGCAGCAGAATTAGCAGAACCTCCTCATGCTCATACTTGTGCCCTCACTAATCATGGTCTTAATCCTGCCACCGCGCCATCTGCTCTAGTGCTACTACACTGCTCTAATTATTCCAGAGAAATAGGTACAGGTACTAATACAGCAGCCACTTTTGCAGATACAGACTGATTAGTATATCCTTAGTGCTTGACATTGGTGCTTCCAGTATCATCCTAGAGATGGGAGCAGGTGAAGAACTATATGCTGTTAACTGCTAAGATAAGTACATCACAGCTACAGAGCTGGCAATTACCATGCTAAGAGTATGACCCCAGAGAACCATCTAGATATCCCTGTCAGGTGCACTGTATATCTCTACTACCTTCTGCAGAAACACTACTGTGTTAAGCTTAATCCCTATCTAGCTTACACAACTAGAGGACTTCCAGTACCTATAATATAATAAGGCAATAATAATATAGTCCACCTCCCTACTTAGTGAGTAGATAGCCCTTAGGAACTAAGACAACAGTGGCAGACATATAGGAGTTAATCTGCTATTTCCTTAGAAGTAGCAGATCACTACTACCTTTTTTAGTGCTGGCTTATACACCTATGTATATAGCTTCTAGGTCATGCTACAAGGGGTAGCTGGCATCTGCCCTTTACAGATAGCTAACTTAGTCCTATATAAACTTCTAATATACTTTTCTACCTACTAGACTAGCTTGCATTTACCTATATAGTTAGATATCTGCTCTAAGCAGGCAAATAGCAGTAGCTAACTATATACAAGAGCTTATCCTGCATAATGACAATCTAAAAATATCTCTATATCTAGAGACCTAGTAGCAGAGTAATGAATATGACAGGTAGTATTAGGATAGGTAGAAATGCATATATAAACAGGCCACACCTCTATACTAGTATTATATGCTATAGCCTCTTTCCTAATATAGTATAGATAGAGTTGCATTTGGTGTGAGTTCAGGCGAGTTCAACCTTATTGTTTCCGAACCATTCCCCCAAGGACGTTTTTCCAACATGGACTGGGACCAACTATCTTTATTGATCCACACCGTCCCAGATACATACTTTCCCCCCATAAGATCCCCTCCAATCCTCAAAGCGGCGGAATTACCAAGTTTCATACCGGCAGTATAAGACTTTCCCTCAGGATACTCAGTGATCTTTTTCAATGAGCTCCCAATGGCGCTGAGATCCACATCATGGCCGTGAATAATATAATTACCCGTCGGAACCTGCGCCAACTTGCCGAAGAACATGTTTCCATCAAACTCAAAGGAGATCTCTCCCGGCTGGAGGGAAATGATGCTGCTCTCCACCTTTCCAAGAAACTCTTGTTTAAGTCAGATCTCAGTTCCAGAGGATGTGGTATAGCTAGGACCAGTGCTGGCATTTAGGATCAGCGTGGCTGGAATAAAATGCTTATCTTTGAATATGGCTCCTCCACAGGCTGGCAGCCCTGCGCGGTGGATGCCGCAGGAGGGCTTAAAGTCCCATTTAAAAGCAGAATCACTGTCTTAGGTAGGGTTAGAGGATGCGAAGAGGTCAGGGCCGCGCGTATAGGTGGAGGAGATGTTATGGGCAGGAAGAGGGTCGAACCGCGCACTGTTGGTTGAAGGCGGCGAGGGCATTGGCAATCAAGAAGGCCCAGACAACTCAGAAGCCTGTGAGAACAAGTAGAAGTTGCCACTGCCTGACTGGCTGGGAGGCACGTAGTCCATGTAGGGCCCAAAGGGGCCATCTCGCATTCTAACCAGCATATTTGCAGAATCAGACGTTGGACTCTGCTAGGTAGGAACAGGATTAATTCAGAGCAAGAAATATAGGGTACAGCAGAGAGGGTATATTTAGCTCACCTCGAAGACTTCGCAACGACCAACTCCTTTCACTATCATATCTTGCTGAACCCCGCATCTGAGGTGTAATAACCTCCAAGGTTTCCGCGCCTATGGAATGCCAGCATTGTTGTATGGAACCCATTCACCATATTTTATAGAAACTAGAAGACAAATCAGTAGGAGTTTTGATATCATTGATATCGCGCCAAGGGGCAGGTGTGGCAACGTACGCCAATCCTTCAAATGCACTGATTAATAGAACTATTGCTCCACATATGTCTAAGCTTAGAATTTGCCCTTTTCGTTGAAATGCGAATCACGGCCCATGCTTAAGACGCACAATGGTAGAAAGAATGAAAGAGCGATGGCGTTGACTGATCGCCTTGACATGAGGCGACCAACTGCTGCGGAGCACGTAGCGGGTGCGCCGCAGCAGATATGCATGCCATGACTCGCATAGGCGTCTCTGGAATGTCACAAACACCACCACATGTTCTGCGGCAATGGCGGCGTTTACTAGAACCCTTAATGCATTTATTATATCATGTTAAGCAAGGAGCAAGATGGACGCATCACGGTATTAGTAGGATGAATTACATAGTCTGAGCCCCACAGTGTGAGTGAGGCTTTCCATCGTCAGTGTTTAACATCTCCCCACAGCAATTCATGAAGCTTTCGGAGAATAATGAACATTATCAGAAGCTTCATAATGAGTCAAACCTCTTCTGAAGGCATTGTGCTCTTTATGCCTTGGCGCTTATAGACATTTAATGGCTATCTCTATCGATCCTTAGGCGGTTATACCCGCTATCGCCAAGGCGTTACTCGTATCCGCCGTGCGAACTAAACTTCAAGTTTAGAGAGAGCTGGCCAATGCTTCTTGGCTACGGTAAAACAGCTCTAAGCACGGCAACCATCTATTTGAAGATACGTGGCATGGATCACTTGGACGGGAGCTTCGGAACATGTCATGGGTCGCGTGAACACCGAAAGCAGTGAGCTATCCTCAGGTTTGTAGGCACGTAGAGGGGAGACTGCTGGCCTATCGCCAGCATTTTCAGCCCTTCAACTCATCGGCGCTTATTTTCTTTTTCTTTTTTTTTTCTCATCCATTATCTGAGCAAGGCGAATCCCTGCGTCGCCTTAACTTGTCGACACCGTCGTCATGGGTTGGGGGACCCGGGGGGGGGCCAGCCCTTGCCCCGAACAGACGCAGTCGAATCCACTATGGAGTGACCGGAACAATGCCTGAACTCAGGAGCCTCATGATGGGCCGATTGATATATAAGTGGGATTACTATCGACTTACCATACCGATCTACACTGAAGTCATAGCAGTGGCATCAAGTTCAGGTTCTTACACAACACACCCGAAGACTTTTAATCTATCTCTTTTTGGCAGAACGAGTCGCTGCAAATCATGCCGTCCGCGAGCACGCTTTCTTCTTCCCAGCAAGGCCAAGGGCGCAACAGCCAGTTGTTGCATCATTTTCTCGCCCAGTTGCGTGAGCTGTCTTCTGGACCAGGCTTCCAAAACGCAATGGAGATCCTTGATAACATCTCAAAACTTCAGAATGAGGTACAAAATAAAGACGACGAGCTGACAAGAACTAGGGAGGAAATGTTGGAGCGAGTCATAAAAAAGCAGACTGCAATTGATGAGATGTTCGAAGCTAATGAAAAAGAAAAAGCTAAGCAAAAAGAGATCATGATGCGGATAGATTCTCTGGAAAAAATAAGTATCACCAGAGATAAGGAATTTGCTGAGCAAAAGTCTCTAACAGACAATCTGACCATTCAGATTGAAAAGCTTCGATCAGACTATGCAAAAAAGATATCAGATCTCACAGAGGCCCGGAAGGATATTGATAGTCTGTGACAGAATGTAAGAGATAGGGACACAATCATTGAGAAGATGAAGTTAGCTGGTTCTGAACTGAAAAGAGTATTATTAACAGCAAAGGAGAAAGTGAAGGAATTAGAGGATGAGAAAGCAGCGCTGCAGAAATTGCATAAAGCTAAGGAACTTTGGCTAAATAGGCTGGAGGGTTTTGCTGCTGCTCTTTACAATAAAGAGGAAGATAAAATGTATGTCTATTGTCTATTATATCATCCATCCCAGCTGGACTCTGCTAACTTTTGATTGCTGCTTCTTCCCCTCCAGGATGGATGACTTTGTGAATCTATGGGAGTATGCCACGACTGAGATATATGCTTAAATAAAAGAGGATCTCCCTAAAGAAACTTTAGGGGTCAGTGCTCAAGCTATTGTTATTCTTTGCTTACTGACTCGTTCCTTCATATAGAACCGATTACGATGGGATGTGTTTTGGCGGCAGAGTAACCTTGCCGTTCAGCATCGTGTCCCACTTCCACTATCAAACTCAACCGCAGCGAAACAGATGCGCTTGGCCGTCATCCTTGCCATTCTGGCCAGAGAAATTGACAAATATATCTTCCAGCCCACTTATGCTATAGCCGAAGACACACAAATTCAGGAGGCTCTCACCACCCTTGCGGCATCTGACAGTGAAAAGGAATCTTTTTGTCAGTCCATACTTCTATCTATAGACCTGGAAACTCAGAGCAAAGCTCTTCATTCAAGGATGCAGATTGTGATATAAAATGTCTCATCTTACCTGTATGAACTACTACCGGAGTCTCACTTTAGTAACTTCTGCTAGAGTCTTGAGAAAGTGGTGCAGAAAGCTGCAGAGGTCTGGCAGCCCATTCAACAAGCTAAGCGACGATACGAGCCAGACTTTGAACCTCTCAAGTGGGAGGATGACGAATGGAGCCCTTTGATGTTCCCTAATACAGACCCGGTAGTGAGCCAAATCAGCCAGAAAGATTTAGGTGAGAGTCTGCTCACGGTGTTCCCACGCATCACAGCAGTGGAAGATGGAAATCGCTTCCCATTGACCTACGTAGTGCAACTACGGAGGTCACAAGCACCATGTGTGAAAGCCGAACAGGAGATGGCTCAGATATCTAGCCCTCCTGCTATTGGACGAATGGCCTCCAACCGCCCACGGAGAAGATCAAATGCTTCTAGCAACACTACTAATATGAACAGAATGAAGCCTGATAAGTAGGGGCCGTCCGACGTGTGATGGGCGATTAAGATCTTACATGTGTACTATGTTATGTGGTCATCGCTTCACTCCTGCGTTGATGTGTTACTGCTGCGTCTGTTTTGCCCATCCTCACTGAAACTCTGTTCGGTACATGCCGATGCCGATTGGTGACATAGCACTAAGTTATTATCAGAGTATGACTGCTTCAGGCTCTCTGCAATCATTCCTTTTGCTCAACTTCACTATATCAACGCCATACCCTCCACATAAAGAGACCTTGCGTATTGAATAAGTGTTTTTGCGACCTTTGCCTGCTTTTCTGCTCCGACCGAAAACCTTTGCATACCAAAATGGCATGCCCAATGAAATTTGAAGCCCAAAATGTGGCGCTTCATGGCCACCTTTGGAATCCGCTAACTTTGGACAGCCACAGCTTTGTTTCGTCATAACCTCAACTACCCTTTTTCCTTTTCCTTCCTTTGATGCTACTTTCATCGTGAAGTTCTATCCGCTCCGTTTGCGACTCGAATATTTAATTCTTGTTCCCAGCGGGTACACCGAGTCGGACCTGCAGAAGGGCAGCAAAATGCGTTCTTTCCAGGAGAATGATAAGCTTAATACCTCTGAGAAAAGAGCCATTTAAGCAGTCTGTTTCTTTGGGTTTTGGTGGGGGGTTAGGGTCTTGGGAGGAGAACAGCAAAAAGATCAGTTATTGCACTTATGCAGGACAGCTGAATCCAGAAAGCACAGTAACCTAGGCGCTGTTTCTGGTGCCAGGCAAACACTACTTAAGGGGCCCACATACTTTTAGAGTCATTTACTTTAGGGCTTATCTTACTACACAACAAGCTCTAACATGTTTCAGTTGGGTTACCCGGAACACCTGCCTAGGTCTAAGCCTGTTTTCCACACCCTGTGGTTGTGTGTGGTAGAATGATGGCATCCGCTGTTGGAATGTGCCAGCTATGTATCATGTGTTGAGGCGTGAAGGCAATAAGGGCCTGGCGGTGGGGCCTGGTGGAGAATGGCACCCTATTGCTTATTATTCCAGAATCCTGAGCCGCGATGTACGCAAAAGGCTGAAGTGGTTGGCAAGCATTTTGTGCTCTCTTCTCTAATTCCGGCTTTCTATACTGATCCCTATCACATTGACTAACACTGAGGAATCACTGAAGCACCGATATAAGCCTACTGCCTACCTTAGCAGGGAACTTTTACATCGAAAGCTATAAAACAACTAGTGGATATGATGGTCGATAACCTGCTGCAAACAGTGTCTAGCACATATCTTCCTCGACATCGTAGACCAACGGCTTCTGGCCTAGTCCAAACCTGCCAAGGCCAAAGAAGCTGTACACCAGCAAAGTCCCGGAAGTTGCAAGTTCCTTGAGCCACAGCTGCCAGGGACCAGTCTTCTTCCGGACGCCGCCATTACGTTCCGCCACCCTGAGCATCTCGTTCACACGAGGCCGGCGCTTCTGCTCATACAATCTGAAGACCTCATCCAAGGAATCTGGACAAGCAACAAGGAGATTCGATAACATGAATATATCTTCCAGCGCCATGGAAACACCCTGGCTGGCATGTGGTGGCATTGCGTGCGCTGCATCTCCAATAATTAGACACCTCCCTCTCCACCATTTGCCACCCGTGGGGAGGCGGTAGACTGGATAGAACCGGAGCGTCTCAGTATGCTTGATCATTTCCTTCATGGTGTTGCCCCATGATCCTTCTGTCTCTTTAATCAAATCAAACACCGTGGATTTGATGGTTTCCACTTGCTCTTTCCCGCGTTCCTCCCAACCGTCGCGTGTGTCACCACTAGCTGGCATGGCGAGCTCGCGTGAAAAGAACCAGTAGATCAACTCACCGCCTGGGGTGCAAGGTGATACGGCCAGGAGCCCATCCGTGGTGAGAGTCATGTTCAGCCCACTAACTGGCCCAGCAGCGATGGGTAAATTAGAAGTGGGAACCAGGGAATATGCATTCGATATGCCCGAGTATTCAGGCGCCATACCGGCGTCCACGTAGATGCTGCGCACTGTCGAATGAATGCCATCACACCCTAGGAGAAGGTCTGCGTGGTCACTGGAGCCATCAGAAAAGGCAACGGTAATGTTGTGATCATTTTCCACAATGTGCGTCAGGTGCTTGCCGAAGTGGATGGGGATGTCCGCTCTACGAGCCGCCTCGTACAGGACGTCCATCAGATCCGTCCTGCGGATCCGTAAATAGCCAAATCCGGTCATCTGTCGACTCCATGAAGTCATGTCCATCTGGCCGAGGATTTGCCCCTTGATTCCATGCAAGCATAGAGTAGAAGTCTCGGCCCCTCGACCTTGCAGGGCATCCCAGAGACCCAGGCGATGCAACAACCTCAGCCCATTTGATGGAATGCCAATTGCACCTCCAAGGGTACTGGGCTCCGAGCGGATTTCGTAGATCGTAGGGGAGATGTGGTTGTGCTCACGTAGGCGTAGCGCAGCCAGAATCCCAGCGGGGCCGGCCCCTATAATGATAACCTGCACAATTCCGCATCAGATATACTCCGCCAAGCAAGTATACTTTAGGGTGATTTTACCTTTTGGGGCGGGCTCATCCTTTGAGGTTATGTCCGAAGGTCCTGAAAAGATGGAAATATGTGAGTGAAACAAACAAAAAGAGGAAGCGAGACACACTTGTGAGTCGCCATGAACACAGGGCAACAGTAGTTTTTTATTAAGTGAAGAGAATCGTGGTACTGATCTGATCTGATCGGTTCAGAAACTCCGAACCTCCGTTGGTTGCAGGTACCCTGGGGATTCGGTCATCGTCTAACGGCAGGGCGGCAATTTAGCACGGTGCCCCGATGTCCGAAGCTCCGATAAAATTGTAATATGATGATATCTGGGTAATGGTGTGGAAGGTTGATGGTTTGTCCTCCTACCATGCTATGTGAAATATCTTGTCTGGTAAGCAATGCAATTGACGATTACATTGATCACTTTGTCGAAGAGGCCAATCAAGAAGGATCGAAGCTTTTTAGGAAAGTCGTAGTGAATAGGTCCATCAAATCGATGGTTTCCGGATACCTATGATTCTCACATACTAACTCGTCGCCAAACGATCCGTAGCTGGCGGACTGTCTATGTATTCCACTCGCAGCGTCGGTCTGGTCCTTAGTAGATTCTAGAGGAAGCTCCCATTACATACGAGAACTGTACAGGAGGCCTTCGGGTCAGCAACAGCTCTTCATTTACCGCTACAGGCACAGAGCCGAACCGGCCTTTTTCACCGGGAGTAACGGCCACAAGAGGCACAATCAAATGAAACGTTCAGCTAAGTATATAGCATCCGTGTCCTGTCTAGGTATCAGCAAATGCCGGTCAAATCCCTGACCATAGGAACATCATTCCCTTTTTTAGGGGCGGTTGCAGCGTAAGCACAATGAGCGATGTTTAGAAGGCCCTCCCTGAGACAGATCAAAATGATATCAATCAGAGTAAATCATTAGCGGGTACTGACTGCCACCAGGAAAGTATCTGCCGTCCTCAAGTTTACCAATCTAACAGATCCAGAGTGGTAGGGAGTGGAATACCTCATAAATATATACACAGGGAGACTGTCCCGTGACAGGTATAGGCGACTCGTCAGTCGGTCAGTATGTTTGCTACAAGGAGTCTCCAAGCACAAGGCTATATTAAATGCTTTCATAACTTTATTCATTAATAGCAAAGCGATGGAGGTATATTCACCCACTGGGTTGTGGTCATCTTTTCCGAGGAATGAGCATACCGGTATTGGACAAATTCACTGAGAAATCATTAAAGAGCAGAGGTATTCAAGAACTGGTCGCTTAGCTCAGTCGGTTAGAGCGTGGTGCTAATAACGCCAAGGTCGCGAGTTCGACCCTCGTAGTGACCATTTTTTGCTTTTTGCCTTTTGCCCTATCTCCGTTACCCACCTGGGATTTTGATATATTTCAGACTACTGGCTACAAAACGCAGTAGAAGAACAATGATATGTTTATAATGTCATCAATTATGCATATGCTTCTGTACAGCAGATATACCGCCAATGCATGAAAGGATTGCACAGCGTGTCTTCGTAATTCGTCTAAACTCTAAACCGCCAATAACGAGTAAGGAGGAAATTATGTGAAAAGGATATTATCAGTAGGTAGGGTATGACTCTATGGGGTATAAAGACCATTCCGTAAATGCTGATATGCTGAGGTGACATAAAATCAAGTGATAACATCAAGCGGTGATGTCATCAACTCATCAACCCGCGACGCGGGCATATATTGTATATCTATCCCGCAGGACGGTGGACTCTGAGTCTGGGAGCGTAGTAGCGGCGATACTTAGCCGGCGGCTTCTTTCCGTCGGGTTCCTGAGAAGAGGAAGAAGCCATCCGGACAAGACCCTCTGACCGTTGTCGACGCGCCATAGCTTTTACAGCAGCGTTGATTGTGCTCCGGATGCTGGAGGATGGGCTTTCGCTGGATATTTGTGAAGTCATGGCTGGACTGTCATCCTCGTCGTCCTCGAAGTAAAGAGAAGACATGCTTTTGCGGATATTGTGGTGTGCTTCCTCCATGGACCGCCGGAGGAGACTATTGTGTGCGACGCATCGGCGTAGATTGGGGTTCTTGGCTAATGATTCTTTTCTGAGTTTGTCGCGAGAGATGATGGCTATGCGGCAGGGTAGTATGGAGACGCTCTGCCGGGCTATGGGAGGAATCCGAGGGTTTAATGCACGAGTGGCATTGCGGAGTAGAATGGTGGCAGTCGGTAGGGCCTCGAGGGGTCCGGCCATGTTGACCGTTGGCAAATAAGTATAAGGCCTTGTTAACTGTTATGAGTGAGATGTAGGTCACCCCTGATCCTCAGGGACCAGGTGATACTTATACTTTCAGCCTCAGGGGTACGGCAGAGTTTGAAGCTATAGAGCTTGCACGCTTGTATACAATGAAGATCTTGATCACCTCGGCCGCATTTCTTCGGCCGAAGCGGAAAAGGATATGAATGGGTGTGGGACCGTTTTGGCCCGAGAGGACCCAAGGCTCATGCTCGGTTGGCAAACTCTATCTATACTCTGTAGCATCGGTGCTGTCCGGGTGGCGCGTAAATGGTGTCATAGACTGGACTCACCGAGGAAACTCCTCGCTTAATCCTTTGTGCAGCCTGTGGGCACCCTGAGCCATGCGTTTCTCCTTCAGGAAGGTCCTCAGCAATCACTCACTTGGCAATCTCTGCAGCTTATCATTTGCTATTTCTGCCCGGAATTCTACAAACGCCGACGTCGCTGTGGGTATTCCGTAGTTCTTCACAGATCGCCGATAGACCAACAGTTTAATCTATTATTGAGGAGATCTGCCGTCGGAAGACGTCACTCGAACAGTCCGATTGTTGTATTCCATGGGTCTGTCTGGCCGGTGCCTCAGTCTCCTTGTCTTCTCCAGAACCTGCCCAAAATGGAAGACCTTGCGGTGCATTGAAAGAGTCATGGCCATCTATTATTGCCCAGGATATTACTATCATTATAGAATTATCATAACAGTTCTTATGTATTGGTCGGTATCATGCCTCGGATATCGCTGATATCTTGCACATGTTCACACCAGCGCCAACAAGACCAAGCCCAGCAACAATGTTATCGCCGGTCTCGACCTCTGCGAGCCACTTTCCTTGTCATCAGATGAAGTTTTTCCAGATGTCACATTCTTCTCGCCCATTGCACTCCCCACCCACGCATTCCAGTTGTTGTATCCATGATTCTTCCGGCAGTCGGTGGTGATGGCCTCGCCCTTCATCTGGGCAATCTGCTCGCCAGCCCGTGATAGCGTCACCTCGACCTCCCCCATCATCCCGTCAACGGGTACACTTCCATGATACACCCCCTTCTGTCCGCTGGGCGTATCCGCCCAGCTTCCGGTCTTGCTGGCCCCGCCAATACTCACCGTCACGTCGGCCGCCGACTCCAGCAACGCCGAATAGAAGATCCTATCCTGCATGAGGGTCCTCGGGCTAGTCGTGTTTGTCCCCTCGACACTCAGCTGGCCCGGCGTGGTCTTCCCACTCATACACGCACCGCCCGGATTAAGCCGGTACCACGAGACCACCCCCTCCTTATCAAAACTCGCATTCTGCCCCCCGCTCTTATACAAATCAATCACGTACGGCAGAAACGCCCGCCAACCATCATGCGGCATCCCCTCGGCATAGTTGAAGGGGGCATCGCCCACCGCGAAAATCCCCAGGTCGTCCTCATGCATGGGGCCAATGTAGTGCGACTCGCCGTAGTCGTTCCAAGTGATGATCTCCACATACTCGGGCGCCAGCTCGAGCACCTGCTGCCAGCGGTCGAACCAGAGATCGTCCCCGCGCCAGGCCCAGTTCTTGTGGAACACAGGCAGGTTAGTGTAGAACCACGGCGAGACGGGCATGATGTACGGCCGCCCGTCCAGCGCCGCGATGTACTCCTCGTCCAGCGTGGTGTTCATATCGTGTGCGCCGGTCGGCCACGCGTGCCAGCTCATCAGGCCGTCGATGACGGGGCTGCTGGATGCGGCCTCGATGCCCAGCGAGGACCAGTCGGGGATGAAGAAGAAGTCGGACTGCGCGTTGTGTCGGACGTCCTTCCACAAGTCAGCGCTCTGGCCGCCCTCGAAGGTCGAGACGAGCGGCTTGTCGTCGTGGTGCTTGTAGTATGCGCTGCCGGTGGCGTAGGTGTCGATGACGTGGACGATCTCGTCGGCGGGCCACTGGGAGCCCTGGCCCATGTCGAAGGAGAGGAACATCTTGAAGTTGTTCCGGTGGGCGACGGTGAAGGCGTCGTTGAGGATGAGCTCGTAGTTGTGCAGGCCGTAGCCGAGGTTCAGGGCGAAGGCGTCGATGTGCGCGGCCTGCGCGGCGAAGATGTCGTTGGTCCATGTTTCTTGCGTGAAGTTGATGGCGTTGGCTACCTGGTCGATATTAGCATCATTCAACATGGCCAGAATGTCGTTATCCTTACCATGAAATGGGCGAATACAGCTTTCGCCTGTACATGCCTGGTGGCAGCTAACAGCCAGAGTAGAGTCCACAACTCCATGGTGTTGACATACGCTTCGCCTCCTGCCTACTGACTACAATCAGGACGATCGGAAGTTTAAGAAGAAAAGAAACGGACATGCTGATCGTCCTGGGCAAGATACGGTAGAAAATCTCTGATGTGATCTACACAGCTCCTCGATCAATTGATCGCCTAGCACCAATTGAAGACCAACATGGCATTTCACTTCATATCGTACTATATCACATAGCGGTCAGACATTCTATGCAGCGCAAGACTGAAGTTAAGGTTCTTCCAATGGAGGTGCCCCATAAACTACTGCATATAATCTTTAGCAGCAGCAACAGACGGTCAAGCTTGCCCTATATAAGTTTGGCCTGTTCTGCCTCCTTCGTCAAAAGAGAGTCGCCAACAGCATATTCAGAGTTTGCTAGCGGCAGATCCGGCATATACTTGCATAATCTTTGGGCATTGTTGTTGTCGAAATGATTCCCATCTATCATATGCAATACTTGCCCGCCCTTGCGTCAACCATTTAGATCCATCAACCAGGACAAGAACGGTAGAAAGAAACGAAATCTTGTAAACAAGCAAAGTTCCCTTTAGATAGTGACTTAGAAACCTCGAAAGTGCACATACTATGCACTGAAGGTCATCATTAGAATACCTCCATTCTACCGAGTTTCCCAGTCTATGATGCCGAACCACGGTTCGGAGCACCTGTCAATTGCCCTACAGCGAGTGGAGAATGTTAACGGAATTTGCTCGGCTACGTCAATTCAAACGTCTAGACTACATCTGACGAAGGTGGGTCTTCGCTTATATTTATCAACCGATTGTTCTGGGCTACTCCATATGGATTTGTTTACCGCCAGTTCGTCATGGTGTCCAAAACATGCAAGACCTGCTGGTACTGGAAGCGGTCTTCGGCCATTGCCATACGACCGTCAGCGAGCATGAGCTCTGGCACTTCATATGAAAGAGGCACACTTTTTGGGACGAAGAGTATCACGCAAGGGGTTTTGACTATTCACATGCGCCATTACAAACTGCGGATACGCATCTTCAGCGGAATACTATCGAATGCACTTTTGCCATTGACTTGAACAGTTGCTATCGCCGATATCGCCGTATTGCTAATCAACACACCGCATGAGTCTTTCCCGTCTTCCCTTGAAGCGAATGCTTCTCGCCCGGATAAACCGGATGATCGGGCTTCCCAGATAACGAATGGCGCCCAGAGTGTCTAACGGATCCGTCAGCTTCTGATATCAGTAAGTAAGCAGCAGGACATACCGGATATACTGCTCGATCATCGCCCGATCCATCTCCTCCAGCGTCTTCATCGCCATCTTCATATCCTCAACCAACACATTACACCGATCCATACTAAAGTCCTCCCGGAGCACAATCCGCATCATCTTCAGCTGGTTGCTATGCGGCGCCATCGTGTACGCGGGTATCACCCACCCGCGCTGGCGGAGGACATGCGCCAGCGCATATTCATCCCAGAGTCTATTCTCATCGGATGGAAGCCGGTACGCGACGAGGGGGAGGCCGCCGCCTGCGCCATCACTCATGATGATGAAGTTGAGTTTCTCCAGCTCTGTGGCGAGATGGTCTGCGGTGCGCGTTAGGTTCTGCATGATGGAGCGGTAGCCGTGACGGCCTAGCCGGATGAGCTGGTAGTACTGCCCGATGATGTTGGAGGCGCCCTTGGAGAAGTTGAGCGTGAAAGTTGCTTGTTCGGTGCCGAGGTAGTTGACGTTGAAGATGAGTTCTTTGGGGAGGTATTCTGCTGAACGCCAGAAGACCCAGCCTACGCCGGGGTAGACCTATCTCTGTCAGGGACGCCTGGAAACAGGTGAAGATACTTACCAGACCGTACTTGTGACCGGATACATTGATCGACACGACCTTTGGCAGCCGAAAGTCCCATTCTAGGGCAGGGTTCACAAACGGCGCGACGAATCCACCGCTCGCAGCGTCTACATGGATCGGACAATCGATCTTCTTTTTGATCAACAGGTCGTTGATGGCTTTGACGTCCTCGTACTGGCCCGTGTACGTCGTCCCCAAGATCGCACAAATGCCAATGGTATTCTCATCCACCAGATTGACCGCTTCTTCGGGGTCAATCACATACCGCGTCTCCGTGCAATAGACATATTTCTCCTCGACATCGAAATACCGCGCCGCTTTCTCCCAGCACACCTGCACCGCGCTATTCATCACGACGTTCGGGCGTGTGCTGTCCTTGCCCTCAGCCTTGCGGCGATTCTGCCACCGCTTCTTCATCGCCAGCATGGCTAGCATGATCCCTTCCGAGGATCCGACAGTTGATGTGCCAATGGAGTCTTGGTCGTCTGGACCATCGGCGGTTGGGGCGTGAAGGAGGTCCGCGATCATGTTGATGCAGCGGTTCTGGATGTTGGCTGTTTGCGGGTATTGTTCGTAGTCGATGAAGTTTTTGCTCATCGCGTCGGTCATGAGGTTCTGGGCTTCGTCTTCCTATACGGTATATGCTGTCAGTAAGAGGGACCCTTTATTTTGGGGTTAAGGTGATTACCATGTAGGTGGTGACGAAGCTCGCCAGGCTGGACTCCGTCAGCATGCATAACCTTCTCACGGAGGACCTACTTCAGTAATGGATTCCCGTCAAGACTCAATTCATCCTTGATTAACCGGTACGCGACGCTCGCTGGCATTTCGCGCTCTGCCATTTCATGGTGCGGCAGGTCTTGCGCTGCGAAGTGGGTGCCATAGACATAGTCGGTCACTTCGGCTTCTCTGGCAGGGTGGCCTTTGGGGCGTTTCTGTACTCGACTGATGTGTACCATCCTGTCAATTGGGGGGAGATTGTAGACGATAATCAAGTTAGGTTCTACATCCGATACTCGCGAGGTTTGGTACATTTATGATGTAGATTGGTGCCGGGGTGCGATGACCTCACCACTATGGATAGCGGTCATAGGGATGCAAGAGTACCAAATGTCCTGATTGCGGCTTGGGCATTCAATTATACACATGGTGATTGCAGCCTGCGTATCCAGGACCTACTGCTGTAAGTGCCGATCTGCTGCTTCAACGCCCAGTCCAGTAACGATTATTGAAGGGCGGGATTAAGGGTTGATGATTTCATCCACTCTGGTCATATACATTCAATATCCCTACTAGAGATTAGCTCATCATATAATAGCCTAGGGAAAGTTATTAAAAAACAAAAAGAGGGACAACCTAAACAGATAATTATTGGCAAGAAGGGGATAATGTGATTCAGTGATAGATAATGAATGACACAGGATGAAAAAGAAAAAGAAATCGGAGAGGTCGTGCTCGGAATCGAACCAAGATTGCCAGAATCAGAATCTGGAGTGAAACCATTACAAAAAACAACCCACTTGTTGAAAAACTTGCAGCATATTTGCATTATATTACAAAACTACAATATCGCACAAATTCACCTCTGTCTCTTGATGGATGGCAGTCAGAATCTCAAGGCAGGTATTTTGACCCTCAATTCCAGTCAAATAGTAAGATACCTATAGTTTACAACACTTTATAATGGTTTCATTTGGACAATTGAGAACTGGACTGCGACCCTAGAATGTTTCTTACTATTTTTATCATGCTGCTGTTGCACACATATCGTCAATGGCCTCGAAGCGGTACTACCTGACGAGCTCTACAACTGGTAACTTGTCAAAGCGGGGTTCATCTTGGAGGAACCTTGTCTCAGCGTCGGCAATGTGGTTCCCCGTTCAACGCTGTGACATTAACATCTAGGCTGCACATTGACACGTATAGAGGGCATCATGCAGTCCCGAGTCTACTTAATCACGGCATCACCTGCACTTTCAGCTCACCAGTCCATTTCTCACACAGCCATGTCTTCGCCTCGTCAAAATGGCATGCAGACATCTTGCGAGCCTTGCCGCAGGTCAAAACTACGCTGCGATCATTCCACCCCGACATGCAAACGGTGTGTTCGCCGTGGAAAGTCAGACGTCTGTGTTTATCATCCTTCACCCATGGCTCGGAGCTGGTATTCTGATCCAGTCTCCTCGCCAAATATGCCTGCAAGCTCCGACACCAATTGGGACAAGAAAGTCCAATCGGTCACGCCTCCCGGGATCTCGGGACTGACGAGCGACTCTGGCGTGTTCAGCGAGAACGAAGAGTATCTAAACGGGATCCTCGCGCCGCTGGCAACCTTGGAACACAATGGGCCCAGCTGGAGTCCAAAGCAGGTTCAGCTGGGTGCGCGACTACTGCTGACCCTATTTGAGAATCTGTCGCTCTACGAGACTCTCGCGGAAAATCGTTCAGACAATTCACCAGAAGGTTGGGTTGTCGGCCAACAGCTCGTCCGCGTGATCTTTACAGCTTTGAAAGACTCCCACAGGCTCCTGGTAAATGGCCAGGATGCAAAAGAGCGGTACTATGAGAACCTGCTAGGGTGGTCCCAGAAGCTGTCTCACGAGACCTCGAAGCTGATTGAGGTTGGTCCGCCAACGACACCCGAGGAATATCTTCGTTATGTCTCCAATCGATGGGAAGGTATCGGGTTGATCTTCTCCATTGTGGGGCAAAGTGCAATGCTGGAGAGAGACTGGAAGTCTGTATCTCAGTTAGCAGATGCTGCATTAGCGGATCAAAGATCACTGGGGGTGCTTGCGGCCACTGCCAGTGATGCTTGTCTTCAATTTTGCGACGCCTCAGGCTTAGTTCACGATCCACTGGGCTGGCTGCTGTATCAGCATACCCATTTGCTGATCTTGGTCTATGGTAACAACGGTATGACCCTGTCGTCTTATTCTGTAGAACTAGTTCGCTATACTGACAGGTAAAGATTATCGAGCGTGGCGAAAGATGGCCCAATTGTCCACTCTGGTGTTTACTCTCGGACTCAACCAGTCCAAACACGTCGCGCGCATGCCATTCTTTCTGGTGGAGCTCCGTAAACGTCTGATGGCGGCGGCGTATATCATGGATAAGCACCTCGCCACTTTCCTTGGACGACCGCCCCAGATCATCTGGAGATACTGCGATGTGCAACTTCCTGTAGATCTACGGTACGACGAGATCCTTGCAGGCCCGCCTACTCGTGATGCCGCCATCAACAGACTGGACGCGAACGGTTGGAACAGCCAAGGTGTCATCCAACCGGCCCAGTGGATGCGAGTTGCTCTTTTGGTCAGCTCAATTAAAGAGCAAATCCTCGAATTGTCGCTGATTCGCTGTGTCGACGACCTTGCCCGGAAGGCCAAGTGAGTTCAAGACTCATATCTGTAATCGTCTCGCCGTTATTGATAATGTCTAGGCAGGTGTTCGAAAACTCCCGCAGAACTTGGGAGGAACTCCCCAGTTTCCTTCGCTGGCGTCCTGGCAGTGTCAACTCCGAGGACAGTGGAAGTCTCCTCATTCCTCTCTATCTCGACTTCCTCTACAGCGACTTTCTTCTCTACCGTCTACTTGTCAGACGCTCCCAGAATGAATCGGATGCCTTGATCAATATCTCACAGAGTATACTCGGCACCGTCCTTCAGCTCATCGGGAGGGAGATTGCAGCGGGAACTGGGACATACAACATAGGATGGAACGTAAGTCCACTTCTCAAACCTTAAACCGCAGGTTCTCACCCACGCAGGCGACTTCATTCGGCATCCCGGCTGCTGGCGTCCTCGCCATCGAGCTGCTGTGCCACGGTGACGGGTCATCACGACCTGCTCCATCGGTGTTCCGACGGCCCGAAACCATCCAGAACCTGAGCGTCTTTGCATCCTACCTCCAATACGTCGTTCGACCACATGAGGGAAATTACGACATCTGCCGGCATGCGCGCCGTATCCTTTCTCGTGTCCTCAACCAAGCCCTATCGGCCAATCCGCCGCCGTTGCCCTCTGGTCTACCTGCAGATGCGGTAGCGGTGGATTGGTTGAATGGGGAGTCGATCTTGCTAGACGATGGGACGGATCTCCTGGGGTGGATCGAGAGTCGACTTGGTTAGTGGAGTACTCTCGCTCTCTATGCGTTGCAAGTATCTATCCTGACAGTCTGGCTACATCATTGAACGTTTGACACTTCCCGACCCCTGTCAACAGCAACTGTGCTCTCTACCTCACTCGACGCAAGACTGACCGATTGAGATGCTGAGGAGACACCGATTTGATACCCCCCAGGTGCAGCGTGAGATCCAGATCCGCAAAGATACTCCGTAGAACATGCGAAACCCCAGCCTCACCCGCAATCGCTAGCCCATACGCATACGGCCGCCCGATCAGCACCATTTTCGCCCCGAGCGCCAGCGCTTTAGCGACATCCGCACCACCCCGGGCCCCCGAATCGAACAGCACCTCCAGCCGGTCCCCCACCGCGTCCACAATCTCCGGCAAGACATCAAGCGACCCGATACCCCCATCCTGCTGCCGGCCCCCATGATTCGACACCACAATTCCCTGCACCCCGACCTCCGCCGCCCGCCGCGCATCCGCCACACTCTGAATCCCCTTCAGCACAATCGGCCCATCCCAATGCTCCTGCAGGAACCCAATCTCCTCCCACGAGTGACTCCGCCCAGGGAAGATCATATGCGCCCACTCCGCCGCCGCAGCACCCATATCCTCCTCGACCTCCACCCCATGCCTCTCCCTGAACCGCTGGCGGAACACGGGATCCGAGAAACCAAGCTCGACGCCGATCTTGTCCGCTCGCAGAAACGGGTTATACCCGTTATTCAGATCCGACGGCCGCCAGCCGAGGATGTACGTGTCCAGCGTGACGACTAACACTCTATACCCCGCGCGCTTCGCCCTCTGCAGCAAACTCACCGTAATCTCATCGTGCTCGCGCAGCGGCCAGTAAAGCTGGTACCACCTCGCCCCGTCCCCGCTCGCCGCCGCCACATCCTCGATACTCGTCGACGAGGCCGTGCTCAGGATATACGGGACGTGCTGCGCGCTCGCTGCCTTTGCGGCAGCGACCTCCCCGTCGCGGTGGAAGATGCGCTGCACGCCGATGGGCGCGACGGCGATGGGGTAGTCGTATTCGTGGCCGAGGACTGTAGTTTTCAGGGAGGGGAAGTCGGCGCTGACGAGGCGTGACGGGATGAGCGCCCATTTGCGGAAGGCGTCGCGGTTGTTGGTGTCTGTTTCGCGGAGGCCGGCGGAGCCCCAGATGTAGCTGTAGCTGTCGGCGGAGAGGAGGTCGCGGGCGTGGGTTTCCCAGTCGTGCGGGTTGAAGCTGATGGCTGGTCTGATGTTTTGGAGGCCGTTGGCGTAGACTTCGTTGCCGTAGGTGTGGGGGGCGCTTGCCATAGCTCTACCTTGGTGTTTAGCAGTAGGACTAAAGGTTTGATGCATTTGTATTGCAGGGACCACGTCATTGCGCTAAATAAGTATCTCACGGAAGGACTGTACTCTGACGATGTCAGCCAGACTCTCACAGTTTTAGCCTGGTTGACATAAACAAACAGGAATTGAACAACTGACTGTATTGTGATATAATCATTGATATGGTCTATAGCTGTAACCTGATTCTTGCTGCCGACCAAACCGGATGGATCGGGCTGACCCACGGCATGATGCAATAATGGGGACGTCTTTACCAAGTGCTGACTTGATGGAAGTTGACTCCATGGATATCAGTAGGATTATTTCACTGTCTCGTGATCTGTTGATCAGAATGTGTTTCTTTGTTTATTGGAGCTTTCCAGCTGCATACTAACTACTGGTCAGTATATATACTTATGTCAATAGAAGTGCTAGTCCAGGCCTATTACATCCAAGTAAGGAATATAATGCTTGCAGACTAGAGGATGAGTATCAGCAGGTAATATGCTTTAGAGAATAATTCCATTACCCTAGGAATTATAGACTAGATTGCACTGCAGCTGACAAGGGATGAGTGCCTGCAAGGGGATCAGTGGTCAGGACTCAGGACTTGAGCAGGGAATACCTTAGCATGCTCTAAACACTAAAGTACAAGGTAAACAAAGTATATTACAGGAATCCTTTTCATCCTGCCTCCATCACTGCCACCATTCACAGTCAAGTGGACTCATCTTTAGGCTGACAAACCTAGCAAAATTCAAGAATCAGCCATGCCCATCACAGATTACACTGTACTCACCCCTAGATCCGGACTAATATATACACACTTAAGCCCAGGGCAGCACACTCCAATCGGGCCAGATATTGTAGCACAGGTCTTCGCTTCTGGATGGCACACATACTCACCCAGAGGACTTGGCGCAGCCAAAGCCATAGCAGTGAGGGAGGTAAGCAGGTAAATCAACTTCATTCTGCGTATTGTCAGTAACTACTGAAACTTAAAGAGAACATGACCTACTTGAGAGTGTAAGTGATAGTGAAGGGTGCTGATCAGGATCAGCGAGTTGGATGGGAGGGCTGGACTTTATACCCGTCGACTGCAGTAAAGCAAGGCAAACATGCATCCCAGAAGGCCTTACCTCACCTAGTGGTACGAGCGAGTCGTATTCTATACGCTGGATGATTGCATTTGTTTTCCATTACATTCTGAAGCAAAAGGAAAAGACATGAATATGAGGGATATTTGTCAGTGCTTGCATGGCCTGACGGGATGCATCAATGGTCAATGGTCAGTGGTTAGTGGCTGATAAAGCTGGGATTCAGCCTAGAATGCATCATTCTGTTACTTAAGGTGATCTATTTATTGGTCTATATAGTGAACTAAACCATATTCGGCTGCATGCTTTCTATGATAGCTTTGAATTAGATATTGCCCATACAAAAAAAGGGGGAAAGAAAAAAAGTGGACTCGCCGGGAATCGAACCCGGGACCTCTCCAAGACCCATTGCATATGCGAATGGAGCGTTATACCCCTAAACCACAAGCCCCTTCTTATTGGTATTTGCTTTATTTCAATAGAATATATGGCATGTTGGCATACAAAAGTACCACTCTCTTAGTGAGGGTGTCTTTGTTCCTTGAACTCGGGATGTCAGGCCATGCGAGACTGGGGAGTGCTAATGCTACTGGTGTCTTACTGACACTGTCTCAGGAAGTTCATGGGAATTGGAATCAAGACCTGCAAGAATGGAAGCAAGGCGTTAGCTCCTGATCACACAGCCGCTGTCAGCTAAAAGCATTGGATTGAGTGTAACATTACTTGGATGGACTGGTCGTCTATCCATAGATTCATATCATAGAGCAAGATCTCTTGATTATGGCCTGATGTACCATTTTTTTACCTAATCAGTGTAACATGGGTTATTACACCACTGGTTGTTTGGTCACATCAATCCAATGGCTGAGACCTGCATTTATCCCATACACTTAAATTGGAACATGTTGATTAACATATACTACACTCCATATAATAATTTCCTAGGTATACATCATATCTCGTAATGACTAAACAAAAACTTCAATTTGGGGTGGTGAGGAAAGACGAGCACCACTACTGCGGCAACTCCTCAATCCTCACCATCAATCCAGGAGGAACCTCTACCTCGTAGAGTTCCTCGACAGTCATATCGTCGGGTGCTTCGACACTGTACCAACTTAGCATGATTGTGGAAACGTGTTTCTGGGAGGAGGCCTACGTCAAGTACTGCACCGGCGGAGAAGTGTCGCTGTATTCAAAGGTATCAGGGAAAACGAGGTCTTCGCCTTCGTAGATCTCACGAAGACTATGTAACGGTCAGTATGCAGCTAACAAGTGATGGCGAGTTAACGCACTGTTCTGCAAGGGTTTTGCCGTCCCCGAAGCGAGCGTGGGCTTGTTCATTGGAGAAGTAGACGTCGAAGCTCTAGAGACGGTTAGCGAGGTTCCATACTCGACGGGGGTTACTTGACTGACAAGGTCTTTGGTCATTGTGGTGGTTGGTGGATGCAGCAGAATTGAATTGATTGTTCTCTGGCTGATTGAGAGACACGCGACCGTAGGAATCCCTTTTATACCGGTCGTTCAACCCCGCAAAAGATGACGGATGACAAACATGCAATGGTCATTGCGTTTGGAGATGATCCAGATAAAATGGTTTGATGGCACGCAATCAGACGGTTGAGCGATATTCTGTATACGGAGTTGATTGGATGTGACCTTTGGTGGTGAGATCATGGATACTTCATGATGCCTTGCATTGGTCAAAGGACGATGATTTGCTTTGCGGGGAAAGACTGAGTTGGTGATGATCCACGGGTGGCCTGACGGATGATTCTGAGTGGTGAGATAATGGGCAGATCTAGTGTAATCAGTTGATGTATCACGATATCTTCAATCAATTGACTTTCATCTCATCCCTAGAGTGGTATATGAGGTTCACTATTGATTGGTGCTAACACTCACCATGGTATGATCACACTACATTATGTATTTTCCATTAGAGTACTCGATCAATTATGTGTGTCTGATTTATCCTCACTCTAGCTTAATTATGCTTATTTATGCCATTTCATTGGGATGGTTACACTACAACTCGCTGTTTTCTTAGCAAGGGATAAGTACTCAGCATGACCATATCAGCAATATCACCCAATCAGATTCAATCATTCACATCTTATAAACTAGACAATGCATCTCTCTATCTACGGAGTAGCGGCCCAGCTGAATTAAAATCAATAGTCAGTGGGTCTTGCTCCCATTGCTGAGCAACAGAAAAAAGCCCGCCAAGGATCGTCACAATGAAAAAGCAAAAATATCAGCAAACATCAAACACTTCATCATGCAGCTGAACAGACTTGACTGCATGGCCAGACTTAAATACACAGATATTCCATAGCTACCTCCCCTGCTCATGAAAAGTATCAATGGATCTCAACTCGCTATCAGCATGGAGCATCCCGCTCACACAGTGGCTTCTCGTCCAGCTCCTGACAGGGTGGACAATCGCCTTCACACAGCCATACTCCAAACTTAGACCGGCTGTCACTGCAATTGTCATCGCACTCGCCTACTCCTTCCAGACTCAAGTCCGGCAGACCTTTGCCGAGACTCGCGCGCGAGGACCCCTAGCCGCCATGTGCTGGGTGAACGTGCTCAACGCGATCGACCTGCTGGTGCTGAGTCGAGCCTCATTCGATGAGCAGATCGCATGGAAGACGAAACTCAGTCAAAGCAAGTCTGCAGACAGTAGCTACCGGAGAAGACTCGTCTGGTCCGTCGAAATGGCCTTCAACTACCGTCGCGTTAATACACCCTGGCAGATCCGCGCTGTCCCCGCGTTCGACAAGCATGACCCGGGATTCGTCCCGGACAAGTGGGACTTTTTGCGCCGGTGTGCGGCCAAAGTCTGCGGGTCGCTGCTTGTGCTGCATTTCTGCACTATCGATGCGGGTGATGCTTGTCTCGCAGGTATGATTTCCGAGATTTCTGGCTCGAAGAACGTGCTACTCCCTACCTGGGAGGAATGGACTGCGCGCCGCGCGCTCGTCCAGATGCTGTTCACCATCTCTTTTGGCTTCGTCACGCGAGCGGCTATACTGGGAACGTACAGCCTTCTCTCCATGTTCTTCGTCGCGGTGGGGGCGTACGAGCCCGTCGACTGGCCGCCGGTTTTCGGCGACTTGGGTGATATGTACTCGCTGACGCGGGTTTGGGGGTGAGTGATACAGTCATCGTTTTCCTGCTGCGCCTACATACTGATCGAAGTAGAATCGCCTGGCATCAGATCCTGCGCAAGCTGGTCACATCCAATGCGGATTTCCTGCTTTTCGACGTCCTGAGACTCCCGCAGGGGTTTGTGGCTAGGAGTCTTCGGCTGATTATGGCGTTTGCGACGTCGGGGTTAGTCCACTTCCTCATGGATCTGGGCTTCGGGGTATCCCTGGACCAGAGCGGAGCGTTGTGGTTCTTCTGTCTGCAGATTCCGGGCATCGCGTTCGAGAATCTAGTGTGGTGGACTTGCCATGGAATGATCAAGCGGATGGGTTACCGTTGGAGGAAGGCTATCGGGTATGTCTGGGTAGTCCTTTTCTTTCTTTGGGCAACGCCCGTGTGGCTGAACCCGATTATCCTGCGATTGTACCAGGATGGGCAGAGAATACCGTCTCCGTTTTTGGGGTTCGAGGGTGTTTATTCTCTTTGACGCGCCTGCCTCTACATTGAAGACCGTTAGCGCTATAGACATCGCATTGGTTAGTGTCAATGGCATTATAGATACACGGCGTTTTACGGTCGTGAATTACCTGATGAGAACAGCTAGCCACTTGTATACGACCGCGAGTAAAGGACTCAGGTCAAGATATGTAACTAGCATCGGTTGGTCCTCGCAAGGCTAGTCCATGCCTTCATGAATCCAGTAAGTATCAAACTACGAAGCCATGTTCCTCTCCACTCCTATAGTCAATTCTGACCCATCAAGTCAGCTCTACGATGTTGTGGGATCATATACTGCTATTTGCCCAGCGGGACGAGGTTGTCTTCTAGTGGTTCAATTGGACCAGGCTCTACAGTTTCACCTTTAATTAGAAGGTCGGGCAGAGGTTGAGAAGCTTGCCTGAATTACTGTGTGGCGTTTGTGCGGTCCAAGTCGGATCATCAGATGTATTTGTCAACTAACCCTATGCTTCTTTTGAAAACGGTCAGTCTCGCTTCGGTGGCTTGGCGCAGCGCCATTTAAAGAAGCTGGATGGCATTGGATGCACTAGGATTATCAGGTCGGGTATGAGGAGACGGACCCTGACCTTGGTTATCAAAGGCACAGGGTCCTCATGCTAATTGCGCGTGAGCAGTGACTCATTGACTGCGAATCAAACATTGAAAGGTCCACAGGAACAGAGTGAAAACTTTAAAAAGAAATCAGTCTAGAATAGCCTCCAGGGCTGAGTCTGAATCGGAATGAACCGTTGCTGATCATCTCCACTATTCCAACAGATGCAAGTTTGTCAACAAGCCAAAGCTGTGATTACCAGTAAACTTGTCTCCCGGTGCGTCGTATGACAGCTCCCAGACCTTATTGATGCCATGCTGAAGGCATTGATATCATCAGGCTCAGCCTCAGCCTCACGCCTCCAGCGCAAGGCTGCACAAGGCTGATTAAAGAAACCATAAATCCGGAAAGGGATACGAGAAGCGAGACACTAAATTAGATCTGCCCAGAGCTGAAAGGCAAATCCTCCCTAACAAGGAAAGCAGGGAAGAAGGTTGAGGCTATCCGATAACTAGCCCCATCCCATCCAAAGCTCCATAACCCTACATACGAAGTCATCTCCACTTATCTCCATTATCACGATGTTTACCTTTCTTATTACTGTAAGGCAAAAATCTCGCAAATCAGACACCAGCAGATCCCATCCCATTCCTACCGGTTCTGATCTGTTGATCTGCGGAATACGAGCAATCACTTCCTGTGGCGCTTGGCTTTGACCAGTCAACAACGGCAAGGCGATTTTCTCCTAGCGTGATTGGAAGGCCAAGTAGAGAGGCATCATCCCGCGACACGAGCTTTAGCCCAAGCGACAGTCATGAGGCTGATCTAAAAGCTATTAAATACAGCCTGCGCAGCCGCTCTGCGCGTCTTCTCTCCGTCAACATCACAAAGACCGGAGCAGCTTGTTCGCAAATAACAAAATGCGCCTCCCAGCCATCATCCCCCCGGTCCTCTTAGGCGTCGCTTTCGTCTTCGCCCTCATCGAGCTCGGCCTCGGCGGCCACATCGCCGCCGTCTCTACTGGCTCGCGCAAAATCCCCGTCTACGACAGCTCCAGCGCCTGGGGGTACTCCTACAGAACCATCAAGTTCTCTGTCCCTGGCATCCTCGCCTTCCAGATCTTCACTGCCGTCTGGACCATGCTTGTCTCCGTCGCTGCTTTCCTCCTCCCCTGGTTCTTGCGCGTCAAGGCCGCCCCCGGAACACGGCTCCACTCGATCATCACAGGCGTGCTAGGCGGCGTCTACTTCGTGACGATGGTGTTCTGGCTCGCGTGCTTTGCGGACATCGCGGCCAAGCTGGATGGGTTGGGCGCTTCGTCCGATTACTATAATGCGGTGATTGCGTTTGCGGTGCTCTCGTGGTATGTTATTTTTCACATTTGTTTAACCAACCCCGGAAGAGGTTGACATAGCTAATGCGAGTGAGCAGGCTGCTCTTTGTCGCGCTCTTCGTCATCGTCGTTCTTGCCATGCTTGGGATTCTGGAGTGTGACGCCCCCGGATTCGCAAGCATGAGGAAGAGGGAGGGGGCTGCGACGGAGGGAACCCAGATGCAGACAGTCGAGGTTCCATAGGTATGATGTCAATGCCCCTGGCGAGCGGCTGTGGATTAAGTCCATGATATCCCAGCTTGCTTGTCACTGGGAGATGAGAAAAGTGTATTCGACGGGGATGATGTCGACGGATGATACCACCATATACCCATGCTTAATCTAATAATTCTGATATCCAATCTAATTATTTCTTGCACTCCGGGCACCGGAGTGCATCTGCACGTTGGCTCGTCCCATCCTGGTGGTGCTTCCACTTAAACTAGGGCTCTTCTGATGTACCACATATTGCGTTTATCCAACCAGGCAAGAATGGGTTCGATCTCGCGGAAGCTGGGGGTAACGCATACCATCCAGTCGAATAATGAGGATATTATCGGTCTGCCGTGGAATGCATGAAATTTCCGCCTGTGATGGAACTGCTGGTGGCTCATTGGAACTCGGCCTCCAAGGACGAGAAAGAAATCGAGATTCATCTCGCAGGGACCCTAGGAGAGGAGTACGCGTGCTGTGATGTGGGGAGTTGCGATCAGCACGGGTCTGGCTTTTCTTTCTGTCGGGAACATAGCTGATACAGACGATGTTGTCCAGCGGAATGTTCGCTTCCGCAATTGAGCCGCCTTCCGGTTTCGGTAGTGTGGATTGATGCAGTGCCTTCTTGTCCTCGTCTAATCCAAACTAAATTGGATGGGGTAAGGACGAGAAGACCAATCCTTGGTAGTAACGTATCGATCATTGTGTTGAGCCAGAATCTGGTCTGTCAGACCAATGATCGTACAATGCGACAAACATAGCCCTCATCTCTTGTTGTCGTTCGATATTCCGACCGCAATAACGATGGAGAGTACGAAAATCACCAGATTCACCTGTATCCATTAGCAAACTTTCACCCAGTAGAAGGAAGCATACCTACCAGACCAATAAAAATCCCTATCCAGATTAGCTCCCAGCCCCCTGCATAGACCTTCCCATGCGCCACAGCGCTCTGCTGTTTCCAAAACCGATGCGCTCCCATCAGAGCGACGAGAATTGCAACCACATGACAGGTAACCGCAAGAGGTATCCCAACTCTATAGTAACCGAGGCGAGTATGGTCAGCGGTCTTGCTCTGTAGACGGAACAGCTGAGCGACGAACACACCCTGCATGGCAACGGTGACCGAGGTACGGATATACGCCAAGAATGTTCGTTCCAGCGCTAGATGCTGTTAGTTTTCGAATTGCTTTTTGCTTAATACCATTGTTAGGCGAGACTCCGCAGACGGAGAATGGACCTTGGAAATAAACTCCATCCAATGCGATAAATCAGAAATAAGCATACATACCAAAATGGTCACGGTTGCTCTTCTGTGGCACCGTCAAACGAACGTTATTCGCCCAGAACCGTTGAATGTAGCCGAAGACCCCCTTGCGTGGCTGCCGACTGGAGCTACTCCGGGATACCGTGCGACGATTAGTGACCCGGTATTCCCCCGAAGATATCGATCCCGATGAGAGATCATCCAGCTGGTCATCCTGAGTCGGGAATTGTTGGAGTTCGAACCAACTTCTTGTCTCTACGCCATGGCCGGACGGTCGCGAGGCCTCACTCTCGGTCGGCGACTGCAATCTCGATTGGTGAGTGCCGGAAACGGAGGAGGTCGAGGAGGAGGGCTCAGCGGCAGGCGCATGCTCGGCAGAAGGGTTTCCCATGATTGTCAGGAAAGATGAAGAGGCTTATGCGATGTTGTCATTGCGGGCTTGGATGATGCGATGGGGAAGGAGGATGAGTGGTGGGTTGTGTCTGGGGTAGAGATCGAGCTAAGTACTAGGCCCATCACTGTTTGGGTCGGCGAATCCGGCCGGTTCAGGCAATAAGGCACGGCCGTTGATCGCCGACCCATTTAGTCCCAGTTCCCACAAATAACTTGGCAGAGGATATCGAGTGTTTTCCTGGTCATATCGGGGTTTGTACAATATGCGGTGTGGACAATCTACCGTCATGTCCACGAGTTATTGTAGGAATGAATTTCCGAGTGTTGCGCCGACATTTGACGGGTCAAGCCACGTCCACCCTCCTTGCAGATAACACATGGAATTCCCCTGAAACATGGAATTGGCCTGGATGAGGTCATGACTAAATTGTCTGAAGCTGCCCCTGATCCATACTCTCTTTAACTACGGAGTCCTCTAGGAAATATCATTCTTATCGTCACGTTGCGGTGGCGGAATAAGTTCCATCTCCGGAACGGGAAATACTTGACATTGCTTGTGGCGTTGTAAGTGTGGACATAGGAGACAGCAAGTGAAAAGAAAAGGACGACAATGGAATAATACTCTGTGCAAATATAGATCAGACCAATATGGAAAGGTCAAAAAGAAAGGAAGGAAAAAAGAAAATCTCCCCGACAGGGAGTCGAACCCTGGTCTCCCGCGCTCGTTCTCGTTGGAGTGACAAGCGGAAATCATGACCGTTAGACCATCGAGGATTTCTTAGTAGGCTTAGCGATTTTTGAATTCATAAAGGAGAAATACCAAGCAGGGGGTGTCCAAAAGGAGGTGACCATATTTTGAAACTCCTTGGTCGCAGAAAGCCAGAGACCTTTCTTTGTTCCATGTCATAAACATCTCTAGATCCATACTACCCATTTATACCGGAAACGTGCCAAGAATCAGTCGCTGGTGTTGCTGTCTGGTTCCCAGCCATTACTCGTCGACCTTCCCACTCCAACATATATTTCCGCCTGCAATGTTCTAGGTTGGCTTTCGTCAACTACAGCGATCTCTGCTCATTGAACGCACCCCCACCAGGTGGAATCTCTTCAAACAGCGCTGCCCGAGAAGGGCCTTGCCAGAAAGTCTGGTCGTCCAGGTCATAACCGGACCGACTAGTCGGTACATCGGTCAACTGATTTGCAGTGTATATGCCTTCCACAATTAGAGCGGAAGTTTTTGATTACACGATTACTCTGAATTCGAATTATCAAAGTTGGAGCTACCGGTAAAAAAATCTAGGTGTCAATCTCTTCCCGGATAGGTACATGTCATCATAGTCCTATTACCCCGTCACAGTCACAGTGGAGGCAACCACCTGGGTCTCTCTGCTCCTTCCCTTCCCCACCAGGAGCATTGATGAATCGTTCCATGCAGAAAGTCTTTCGTCTCTAGTGTGAACGGTACAACACCCAGCCCGCCGACAGTCTTTTCTGGATCATCAAGTGGGGGTACCTCCACTACAAAGCTCGAGGCAGTGATCTTTGTCAAGGGTCCCAGGAGAGTTACTAGAGGAAGCGGCTTGTAACATGTTCCCTTGTCGAGTGAGCGTAGGGTGACGACAAGTTCCTCCAGCGCCTCAATACCCGCAAGGACAGTGCATGCCTGTTCCCAGGAGGAGAGGACATTGGCGACGATGGCCCGATTTTCAAAAGCTTGGATATCAAGCCGGATATATCGGATTGATGCGAGTCGACGAGGAACCATACACAGTGGCAATGCCTCGACCGTAAGCGGGCTGTCGAAGTGGAATCTATTCGCTTCGTAGAGGAGATCAATCGCCTCTGTGTACCTGTATAGTATGAGACCCCTGCAACTACTAGCCGGGTATTTGACTGCGAAGGAAAACTTACACCCTGCGGCAGCTGCAAAGCAGCGGTAATATCTGGTTCTGATGGGGGCTTTCGCCGGGCAATCGCCTTAACACCGTGCCATCGTCGGCCAAAGGAGGCCCACAGGAGCTGTGAATATCACTTTGCATATCTGCCTGTCGGTTTAGGTTCCTGCACGGCATGCTGCAGAGTCTCCGATGGGTTCGCCAGACATGAAGCGCTTTTGAAGGCACAAGGATGTCGCGATATATCATGCAGCGGATCTCGGGAGCCAGCTTCCTGAAAAATAGGGACTGGAGCTGGTCGTAAGATCGTTGTTGAACATCCCCATGTTGCGGCCGGAGAGGAAGGGTCAGAGAGCGGCGGGAGCGGGACAGAGCGACTGGTGGACGGCCCCCAGTGGTTCGGATTTTCTTCACAATCTCCGTCGGATGAAGCGCATACCAGACGCCGTTGAAGATTAACGACGCTGCCCAGAAGAACCACAAGCCGATTACAAAAAGGGCGACGAGGAGAGTTTCCGCTGTTTGTTCTGCGAGGGACCTGATGCTCATCCCTATTTACAAATTGTCCCTCTTATTGCGAGGGTCAGTTTCTTGTCGATGTCAGGTCCTCAGCTGCATCGGAATTGTGAATATAATAAGGATACGTCAGGCGATGGAAATCAGCCTGGGATCTGCCTCGTACCTTGCCTCGTGTCGGTCTTGGCGGTGGCCTTGGCCGTCCCCCGTCCCAGTTGGAGCAAATTATCACAACGCTAATCACTTCTTGCTGAAGCATCCATTTCATAAGCAGAGATAAGACATTTCCCCACGTGCTGTTAGTACGGAGAGAGCGGAGCTTTCCCAGTAGCCAAGTCACCGATCTAGAGTTCTAGACACAAGACCGTAAACAAGGGGCCAGATAACAACATCAACATGGCGAAAAGATGAATACCCGCTCTCTGAATTCAATCTACCAACATAATGCTTTTGAGACTCCTAATAGCATTTCTACTATTCACCATCAATATCACCGCACATACCACTCGACACAACAGCGCAGTCCAAAAAACCCCCAGCGTCATCATCACCGGCCCCTCCTCCCTCAACATAAACCATCTGCTCGCCCACAGACACACAAACACAAACACTCCTGGATATAACTATGCATTTGTTGATCACAACACCTATCGCCTCGGCGACACAACCTTTCACAGCTTCGCCTTCTCCCTCCAGGAAGAATGGCAGTTCGCGTTGCGGGGATATTACAATCTCGCGCGATTCACTGCAGAGTCCCCCGGCGTCGACCGCCTACCAGGTCTGATCTGGGTCCGGGAAGATCAGCTCCACGCTCGTTTTATGACTGGGATGCCTCGTGAGCGCCAGATGAGGACGTTCAGTCTAGGAAGTGTGAAGGTGGGGAGGTGGTATGTGGTGTCTGTTCTGGTCAAGTGGGGTGTTGACGGGAATGGGAATCTCCAGTTGTGGGTTGATGAGGAGAAGGTACTGGAGGAGCGGGGAGTAGATACGATTGTGGATGATGGGGGGTTGTTTCGGTTTGAGAGTTGTGGATTGGGGAGGTGTTTGGGGGTGTAGATTGTGTTTGGATTCAGTAGAAGCATCTAATTATCGGCGGTGTATTGTTTTCGGTTAACAAGGCATTTCAGTATCATTAATGAGTTGTTTGTTTTAGGGAATCAATGAGGAGCGAATGTATTGTCGTCTTCAGAGAAGTTCTCATTGTGGAAACCATAAAGCTTTTGTTGACATACGACATACCTAGAAAAACATGGCAGGGAGCCCTAAACTTTACTATCTTCATACCGCGCAAGGCTTTTCCTCGCCGTCGCATTGAGAACGTAAAATGGTAGTATAGGCTGTGCTGTTTCAGACGACAGCTGCGGATCGACGACTTCCCTCTGGCGTGGTAAGGACACGGTCTGGTCACGCCCTTCCAACGGAGCAATAATCGAAGTGGACATATTCGGCATTGGAGAAAGATGCGGCGTGCTAGGTCTGAAGAGTGGGTGGATGTTCTTCTCAATAGCCTCGAGGAGGGACTCGCGAGCGGTCGGGGTGGGAGCCGGCGTGATGCCGCTTTCCTCCTTGGATTCAGGACACCGAATGACGGTGTCGATGGAAGGAGTCGATTGGAGCGACTTTTCCCTGGTGCGTGTCTGCAGGAGTAGTGGTTCGGGGTCTTTGCAGGTGTAGTAGTTTGGGAGCGGGGAGCGGAGGATGCTTGTTCTGACACTCATCTCGCTCTGAGGGGATGGTAAGGGTTCGAGGAAGGAGGGGACGGGTGATAGGAGGGAATTCCTCCACTGTGGACTTTGGGGTGAGATGAGGTTGGTCGTTGAAAAGACTGATTCGGCTGTGCGGCCGATATTAATGGGTAAATTGGACACTCGACCGGATTGGTTGTCGAGGATGTTGGAGAGGACGAACGAGAGGGCGCAGAGGAATCCTTGACAGTATGCTGAGATCGTCCATACGACGGCATGGGCTATGTTCAGAGAGAGCCAAACGCTGCTGGATGAACTATTTGGACTGCTGGAGTACAGGTGTTGCACCCTCTCACCGCTGATGACGCCGATATTGATAAAGATGATGAGACTGAAGAGAGCGCGAGCTCGGATTTTCCACAGGACCCATTCCGTCGCTTGAGGTTCGCTCTCAAGGTATAATCGGTAGGACAGAAGACCAACAAGTATGAAATTGACGGCTGAGAGAGATACGCTGCTCCATTTGGTAGAGTTGGGTTCGTTTGATGGGCTCTCTTGAAGCATGTAGGAAGTAATGGAGATAGCAAGATCAGCGAGAATGGAAAAGGCCGTGATACTGCCTACGAGGCAGACAAGCATGATTCTTCCCATGCTGACTGCGAGGGTGTATAGTAAGATACGGAGATAAGCAATGTAAACAATGGACGGATGGATAAAAATGTAAGGTGAACTTCAGATTGAAAAACGCTGGGACGGAATGTTGGAATCAATGAGAAGGCATGAGCATTATCATAAGCCTTTTCACCAACTCACGACATTAAGAAATCGAATTAAGTTTGCAAGTTAGCGAAAGAGAGTCAATGACGACTACATCGCATCAAGATCTAATGAAAACTCAAGTTGGGTGACAGAGAAGGCAGTTTTGAATTGCAACTAGAGGTAGTCGGTCTATATAGACTAAGACGGACAAAACCTTGTCTCCTCGTCGTCCCATTGTCCGTGTTCATTGGAGCTTCATGTTATGATGGTTCAGACTCGAGTTTCACCTGAATTCGGAGTTCCTGATTTTGATAGACACCACGCGGTTGGGGTGCATATTCCCTGATCGAATATCAACGGTCTGGTGCACATCGGCCAGTGAGAATCGCCAACACGCATCCCGGATCATGAATCAGGGCAGAAATTGCATCCTTCGAGACAGAGTCCAATCGGGTCTGCTGCCTATTCTTTAGTGTCTCTTTTAGCCTCTCGTTAGCTTTTGCTTTGTGGGGTCAACGGGAGCAGAAAGTCGCCAAATTCCCGCTTTTACTGTTGGGCATGCATTTCATTGCTAGTATTGAGGTTGTCGCGGGAAGTTTGGACAATGAACTCCGAAGACTTTCAGGAACACAGCATGTTCTCTCTTTCTCTGGAGATCGATCTAGACTGCCTCTCTAGGCCTCTGTTGATGTTGGAGATCAGTAATCTTCTCCCAGAACAGGAAGAGCATGATCCAGCTGCTTCTAATCATTATCTACTGGCATTTAGTGCGCACGAACATGACAGAAAATGATGTAATAATTATGGGGGAATGCAGCCGTAATAAGGTTAATACTCTCGTTTCAGCCTTTCAGGTCAAATGTACCTATCCAAAGAATCGGCCACCGTATCGTGATGATACACCAGGAAGTAATGAACAAATGATAGAGTTTACTCGACTCCTCGGCATGGGAGTCGCAATCATACCTTAAACCCAGGATAATACGAGCTTCTCATCTACTAGGTATTGCTCTCCGTATATCTCATCCTGCGAGATACAGTCCACGACTTTTACCTCCCTGGAGGTTGAATAGCATACTTTACATGAATTCAATCATATACCTCGTAATATACATATCTTCTTTAACTCTAACATGCTTACGCTGAGCCGCAACGAGGCATGAAACACGCAAGCAAAAATCGCACAGAAGCTCATCACTACATACAAGAAGAAAAATCTAACCGTGCAGACAGCGAAAGAGAGGAGATTCATCCATACAATTAGTCCACCGTCAATTCTTCAAATCCATCAAATGCTTGACCCCCGAATCAACCATCCACCACGCCGTCAACTCATGCATCCACTTGCCCACCGCCGTCTCCAGCGGCATCACCCTCTTCTCCCCCTTCGGCTTCCACATCAACGTCTCATTCATAAAGACCATCTGATCGTCTTTCTCCGTAATCGTAGTCACCAAACGACCCCGAACAGGCCCCATCGGCTTAAGTTCAAACTCCACTTTGTCCGGCGTCCGCAGAATCACCCGGTAAGCGCCGCAGACGAGATCCCCCTCCTTGAAATCCAGGCGCTCGAGGTTCGCAGCCTTGAAACTGGGCGCTTCGGCCTCTGTGCTCATCGTTCGCAGGATATATGCTTGCGGCAATCTCGTGAAGCTACTCATATTCCGCCGCATCAAGCGGGTAAGCAGTTCTTCAGTCGGCAGAGCGGGGAGTTTTCCGCGTGGCACCGATATCGAGGCCGAGTCGTAGACGGCTACTGTCTGCTCGGTGAAGACCTCATCGGGGGCGGTGGTGATATTGGAGGATATTGAGCGCGGAAGATGTCCGTGTTGCGCTTTTATTGTGATGCGGGATCTGAGGTTCTGGCGGAAGAGGTAGACTCCCACGGCTGTGGTGCCGAGGATGGCAGACGTAATGGGGAGGAGAGCTTTCATGTTGCGACGTGACTCGGTTGGTGAAGAGAATGGAATATTTGCGAAAGTGGGCGAGCTCGTATGGATTAAATAGAACGGGTTACGGAAATGCCAACGTCACGAGTCCGAATACGAGGTCTGGACGCCGACATGACCCACTTACATTCTTGACTCTATTGATACGCTGGAGATGATTGGCCCAATTTCAGGCCCAAGACAAAGGGAGGGACTAAGTTATGTCCATAACCAGTCATAAGCCATACATAACTGTATGAAGAAGATGCATATGACAACTTATACTCATTTCTATAAGAGTGCATGAGCAGATGACGAAGATTAAATAAGCAAAAAGAACTAAGGAAGACTATCAGAGCTGTTGAAGAAACGACCATAAGATACAGATAGACAGCTGACAGCCCCTGAACTAACCTCTTGCCAATAATGAGGAAAATAAAATTATCTACAGTATCTAAAACCGGAGTATACCGGGAACATCTCCGAAAACCTGAGCACTCATCTAGAGGACTCCGAGGAGTGAGGTATACATACATCAAATGCTAAATGACCTCATCTAGAATTCATGCTACAGACATACCCTCTGCTGTCCTCCTTAACTCTGGCTATGATAAATAGAAAGCTGAGCAGAATTCAACATGAGCTCATTTAGAGGGCTCATGGTGAATATCTCTCACTGTGTACCCATGGAGGACAACATATCAGTGAATGTAATCTAGCATATAGTCTCATTCCAAGTAAGAAGTGGGAATTCAAGGCATAAGGGTGCACCTTCTGTTAAAAATCTTCTATGAGCATCATCTTTCTCCTCACCTTCGATCACACATATCTCTCTGGTTCTTCTTGTTCAATGAAACACCGACTGAATTGCAACATACCCATATATGCAATATGACCGCACCCTCCAGAGTGCACGCCTTGAATCTGCTCATTCTGCCCCCCGAGATTATCCCGATCATAGTGGATTACCTGTGGCCCCACGAAACCATATCGCTTCTCATTGCAGTCCCAAAGCTCGCCAATCTCGTGACTGATAAGCAACTACGGTATCGAGACAGATGGGGCTATACCATATTACATCGGGCCATTGATGAGAATGCTGAAGCAATCGTCAATCTCATTGGCGGACGTTGTGCTCAGGACCAGGTGGCTACTTGCCAGGGCTATACGCCCTTACATCTTGCTATTTCTGGAGATCGCAACAAAATTGCTAAAATGCTTATCAATGCTGGTTTTGACTTGTCGGCCAAGGATCTAGGGGGACAAACTCCGCTTCACTGGGCCTGTTCTCAAAGCGGCAGGAACAGCAATTTTGCTGAAATCGTCCAGCTCATGCTCGCTAAGGGGGCCGACCCTTCGATTGTCGCGAGATTCCAGGAAACACTTCTGCACGCTATTCTTTGGGCTGACCAGAAACCCAATCTCACCGTCGTCCAGATGGTGATCGACGCTGGGGTAGATGTCAACGCCTTGGACATTGATGGGTTTTCGCCTCTCTGGTGGTCTGTAGCCAATGGTCATGAAGATGCCTGCGAACTTCTTCTTGCTCATGGAGCAGACCCGCACATATGCACCCCCCATGGAACGATTCTACATGAGGCGGTTGCATATGAACGAGAGAATTTGGTGAAACGCGCTGTGGAGCTCGGTGTTGATCTATCCGTGCGGGACCACGAAGCAGAGACCGCATTGATGGTAGCTACTTGTTATGGGTCCGACAACATTGCTCAGATACTCAGGGATGCACACCGTTGCAACCCGGTCGTCCAGACCAGGGCAAGTTTGGAGTAGAGACACAGACGGGAGTTCACATGAATTGACGAGATGCCTTATCCGCTTGAGGACTTCAGCCACTTAGTTTTGATGGTGGAGCTGCAGCAGTGGTAATACTGACTAGATACGTTTCTGTTGTTAGTATGCAGCCGCAGCTCGCTGAAGACAGTCAATATATTCAATAGTTTCCCTCGTGGGGCTTGTGGGTTCCAGACAAAGGCTCTGTTTTCAGCAAAAGGATGTACAGTCCCTAACTTCACCAGACAAGAAAGGCCTCTATTTAGGACTTAAGCCCCGGGATAGCATTATAATTACTAACAGAAAAGAAACGAATCCGCCCATCTTTCTTGGCTACATTATGGTATCTTCAGGCCGGAAACCCGAGAAAAATGACGAACTTGCCTCAGGCCGTAGGACGAACAGCAATGATACTGTATATCCCAATTTTGTTCTCAGTCACCATCTTGGCACCGTCGCGAGCCAACTCGCGTAGCTCCTGGATCGGGCCACTAACAACGTGCGGAAAATTTCGTCTGATGTTGAGCTGAAGAATTTAGACCAGTGTATCACTTCAGCAGCTGACGGCAGCAGTCGGAAATCATGCAAAACCAGCCTGTTCTGCTTCAGAACGCTGATATAGTAATCCACTGTCTTTCTGTTACCACAGGCATTCGATCGACCTTATCTGTTATGTGTGACTGGTAAGTTGCCAGGCCTTGACGGGCAGACTGGGATTTGCAGGAAGCGCACTAAAGGAAACATTAGATCTCATGTGCACAACCTTGACTGCTAATGAGACCTTTTCGAATCCATCCAACAGCTCAAGCACGATTTCGATGGACTCCGGGTCTTCGCTACATCTAATATATTACAAGAAAGATATGAGATAATCTGTGAGAAAGTTCGGGACTGGGAGATTTTCGACGATGTCTTCATTTCTGGTAAACTAGAAGTACGCAAGGCCGCGCGAGCTTTATACGAGCAGGTCCTCAAAGCTGCTGGACTTCCGGCCCAATCTACCGTATTCGTTGATGACCGGACTGAGAATGTCATTAGCGCCCAGTGCCTCGGCATGCATGGAGTGTTTTTGAAGATACTGATAGCCTACTCCAGAAATTGTACAATCTGTTTGGGGAGCCCGTACAAAGAGGTGAGGCATGGCTTCGCAGCCACGCGAAGGATATGTGGTGTGTTAGCGATGCAGGGGTCGAGATCCGAGACCAACTCCAACAGCTGCTTCTGTTGCATCTCACAGGCGATGGGTGAGTCGAGAGCTTTCAGAGGAACCATCCATTAGCCCATCAACCCGCCTTTGCGGATGAAGTTCAGGGACCGTGTCTGTATTGGCCAGCCTAATCCCCCGAACGTCGCTGGAACGTGTTTGCCTACGGGCCACCGGTGCTATCAACAAATACATATCCGGACGATCTGGACACTGCGGCTCTCGCTCTGATGACACTTGATGTTGCTGAGGAGATCATACATAAGACTATGGATGACATGTTGTATTATCTGAATCCGGATGGTCTGGTATACGTGAGTGACCCTCAGACGAACACAGTCGCTGGGACACACTGAAATTCCTTGTTGCTCAGTTATACTTCGACTCCACCCGGCCGTATATCGACCCCTTCATCTCAGCCAACATGCTCGGCCTTTTCTATCGCAATGGTCGGGGCAGTAATCTGATAGCTACTTGTCGCTTTATGGAGGACATGCTGCGAACGCGTGCATATGAGCATGGTTCTCGCTACTACCACCTCCCAGATTTCCTCCCGTATTATCTCAGCGATATCTGTGTCCACAACAGAGGGGAGCAGGACCTCCATGCCCTGGACGGTCTCTTGCGCCAGCATCTCCAGGAGCGCATAAGGCTCCACTATAGACGTACCCAGCGCTGCTCTTCGTCTAATATCCTCCCACAACATGGAGATAAGCAACATCTAAGATAAGATTCTGCCCAGGTCGCAGCAACCTGACGGTAGATGGACGGGATGAGTGTATCGTTTGGGGGCAGGATCCTTTCCAGCAGCGACGATTTAACAACCGCTTTGGCCGTGGCGGCATTGCGTGGCGCCACGTAGGTAAATGAATTATGAGCTCTGACTTGCTAGGACTCCCACTACCCACCTCCATGTTTGATTACAGACTGGGACTTGCAGAAGACTAAGGAGGATGCAACCGTCAATGCCAGGCGATGGAAAATTAAGACAAAGAGGTCAGTGTCTCGGATCATACGATATAGTGGCTGCAAGTCGTCAAAATTGAGACTTTGAGTTAGCCAGAAATGTGTTACAGGACGAAAACTATGGTCTGTATGAATACCATGGAGGGTGTCCCACTTATAGTCCTGAGTAGTGATTGTCTTGTCGCCAACTACTTGACGACAGCCGTACTCTAATCTATGGCCTCCGTTGCAGAAACAGTAGTAACAGGATCCACAGAGTGATTGATGGAATATTGCAGAATTGCGTTGCCCCGTGAACCTCCTATTTTCATTTTATCGACTGAACAACTAAATGATCCGACTTTCTTACAACCTCAGCGAGTGCCAAGTGAAGAGCCAAGCAGAGTCATTTCTGCTGACACTGGTCATGATTGGGTAAGACGATACTGGTCTCAGTTGAATATCCAGACTCGTGGCATCCTGCATGTTTTATATGCTCTGTCTCTCCGCAATGGTTTTTCTTCAGAATCTACGCGCTTTATTCCTGAAGGAAACCATCTTTGCCACTAGTACCATTGACGTTAATCAGATTTAGCTTCCATCAGAATGCCTTGGACCTTGGTCAAGTCTACATGACTAACGCGATGTCCCGATACGTGGAAGCTACTGCGACAGGATAGTCCAAGGCGAAGAAACAGGAATATCAAATTCACGCATTCTACAAATGTGTATAGTCTCGTCATGGTACAAGGCCTCCAAGGACGCAGATCCTACGGAGTATAATCTACACAGGCAATAGGAGGAGACGGACAAACTACACCAGTAGACCTAGTCCTATGTCAATCACATCTTCTCGAGGGAATATCTTCTGCACGGGATAATGCCGTCAGGAGACATGCTCGAGCACTGTAGCCATCAAATATACCAATCAACTCGGCCCGCGTGAGACACGCTGCAGGTGGTTATATTAGGGCGGCAGTCGGATGCTATCCCGAGCTCAATTGAGTAAGGAGATAGTCCATCACACTGGATGGGCTCATCTCATGATGCTGTCTACATCCGCTATGGGTTAATAGCTCCGTGACGAAGGTGAGCAAGACATCTGCGTAAAACCAACTAATTTGAAGGCTCGATGCCCTCCAAATGTCGCTGTACCCAGTCCCGGTTGACTACTCAGATCAAACGAAAGTACAAGAATAGATGAACATAATGTATCCATACTCTCTAATACTGAGTAGCTGGAAGTGTGCCAACATAAGACCACACGACCAAAAGGCGTCCAGAACCACCATTTCTAGCTAGTAGAAATGGTAGAGTGCAGCATATGCCAAACCAAGTGGCAGAGAATATGACAGCCATAACCAATAGGAAGCACTCGGCTCATATTCTCTTTTATGGCTTCGGGTAAATCAGTACCGAGTATCCGTACTCCGTAAGTACTTTCACTGTCAGTTATTCGGCAAATTGATCCTTCCTCGAGTCAAAGAACAGACTACGTCCGGGCTAAGTCCGCCGGGGGGATAGCTGTTCTGGGGCAGATGAAACACAAGAGACTCTTGGCAGGCGTCGGGGGGCTTGGCACGGAGATATTTGCTTCATCGGTGTGATTCATGACTTATTGAATGGATCATCTCGGTAATGCCAAGATCCTGCTTGATTGTTCTTGTCAACTGTCTCAGTTGACCGCTATGAAAACAATCTCTTTGTGACCGGACTGTCTGGTGTTCCAGCTACTACGGAGTATAACTACGTCAAGTATCCATTGTATACTTGTATATGCTATGTGATCTCGAAGAGAAACCAAGCTACAGGTGAGAATCTCGGAATCACATCCCGTACAGGGAGGGTCCGCTGCTCCACAGCCCCTGCGCTAGAACCGTCCAGAGTATGCGCCAGTGAAACAACATCCGACCGCAGGAGATTATAAGGGCGCCAAGCATATCATACTCCGATATTGGCTTTCTGGCTTTGACGGAGCGAAATCCCGTTGTTGTCGCTGCTGTCGACCAGGAATTGCCGCTGCTCCTTTGCCCTGCATAGATACTCCACGTCTCTTGCATATTTCCCCGACTTTCCAAGAGTTGGGGAGAGTGTTGCAGTATGTCCCTGGCAAAAAGTTGCATAACTGTCTCCAGTGATCGTCTTCAAACCCTGCATAATACGAGTCAGAATCAATATGCTCCACCAATGAGCAGCTTTCGGGTTTTGAGTCCTCCAACTAGGTGAGACTAATAGACATTAACGCTGTCTATATGGGTCCCTGGTTCATTAATCACAGGCAATACGGGTCCCTGACTCCCCTGACTCAGGTGACGGTTCCCAACTGATTTCCGCTGGTAAACGCCATGAGTGCTTGGCGTCATGGATCAGGGCTTTCGGAATGTTGCTGTTAATGGCGGAAATGGGGTTCATCACCGCCGTTTCACTTTAATATTTGCTTCATTAAATGTAGAGAACCGGTATCGCAGTGAGACATACCAAGAATGCCATATTGCATTGCTTTCGGGATATACCTCAGTCCTGACAGTATAAATACAGCTCCTTTGCTACAGTTGTCCTCCTCATCACCACGCTCATCTCATCGACACTCCAGCCAAGCAAATCCTCAGACTCAATCAATCAATTAGTCAAAATGTATCAGCCTCTTCTTCTCCTCCCTCTCCTCCTCACCTCGGCTCTTGCCACCCCACATGATCCCACCACTCACCAGGCCCTGGACAAGCGCGCCTCCTTCCCCATCCCCGCCTCCAAGGGCAGCGTGACCTACTCTGCCGCCAAGCCCGTCAGCGGCGTCTTCGACGGCGGTATGAAGACCTACGGCCGTGGCGTCAAGTGCACCGGCCAGAAGGAAGGCGGCGATAAGGACGCCGTCTTCATCCTCGAGGACGGCGCCACCCTCAAGAACGCCATTATCGGCGCCGACCAGATCGAGGGTGTCCACTGCAAGGGCTCCTGCACCATCCAGAACGTCTGGTGGACTGATGTCTGCGAGGGTATGCTGCCTTTCCCATTCTCTAGCATCCACAATCTTACACGTTCCCGCTAATTCAATCTAGATGCCCTCACCCTCAAGGGCAGCGGCAGCGGCACCCACCGCATCATCGGCGGCGGCGCCCGCAACGCCGACGACAAGGTCATCCAGCACAACTCCGGCGGCAAGGTGACCATCCAGGACTTCACCGTGCAGAACTTCGGCAAGCTGTACCGCGCCTGCGGCAACTGCAGCAAGCAGTTCAAGCGCACCGTCGAGATCAGCGGCGTCAAGGCCTCCAGCGGCAAGGCGCTCGTCGGCATCAACTCCAACTATGGCGATACCGCGACTATCTCTGGCTGCGCCAGCAGCGTCAAGGAGATCTGTGTTGAGTATGAGGGTACCGACAACAACGACAAGGAGCCTAAGAAGAAGGGCTCCGGTCCTAGCAATGCTTGCAAGTACACGGAGCCTTTGGCTAAGTGCTAAGCTGCTGCGTTTTTTTCGGTCTGAGGGAAGCGGATGAGTTGGTTGACTGTTTCGTGGCATTGTTTGTGTATATACGCAGTATCACCTAGATAATAACATCCTCTAACTTGGATTTGTATCACAAAAGGGTCTTGCGTGTGTCTCTAAGCGTACTGTTTCTGACATACTACGGTCGCGTCCGAGGATTCGCAGCAGACAGCCACTTCGGCAGGGAGATAGACTGGAGGAAGCCAATAATCGCAAGCATGTATTATGTTGTTCCAAGTGGACCTCCGTCGTATATGCAGCCAAGCAGATAGGCGAATGTAGGCGGATTGAATCAGTAATATGATTCCGGAAAACCGTCGCGGTATGATGCTTCGGCAGCTTGAATAAAGGTGTGTTTCATTTATAGAAGAAATGCTGTATCTTCAGGCAAGGACGCTCGATGCTCGACGCTCGACCGCTGATGAGAAGAGTGGCTGGTTGCATCTTTGGCCTGGGCGATCATCCGGTCATCATCTGCATCTAGATTATACTGGCGTATGTAGGTCAGTGGAAACATGCGCAGGCCTGCTAGATCGAGTTCTTTTATCGAACGAGCATCCTTCGTAGGTTTGGTCTTCAATCGACATCCCCTGGCGTATATGCCATCGAAGGCGTTAAGCTCTTTCAAGAGCTTCAAGACCGCCGAGCCGTCTTAGCGCGCCAGGATAAACAACTCGCCTTACTCCGTCAAGTGGCTCGACTGTAATCCGTTTGTATCTTCGACAGCTAGAACTGATGCACATTTGCTGTTCGAGCAGTTCCCTTGCAGATGGGATGGAGATCCGCGCTGAGAAACATGAACTTATCGCAGAGCTGATGACCTTGTTGCATAACTTACCAGCTCTTGTGGGGTCTTATTGTCAGATTTCTGGTTTAGGAGTATGAAGGAAATGGAGTTACTCGTATCCTCATGTCAGTGAAGGGACAAGAGGCTCAGAGAATCAGGAATTTGAGCGATGCCACAACGCTGAATGTCGGAGCCTAACGCTAAACAGCGACATAGTCTGCTGGATAGTTGGGGTCAGACCCTCACTGCCGCCGCAGAGACCTGGGCTGAGACATCCGTAAGGTATAGCCCCAGTTACTGACATCCGGCCCTCGCGGAGAGACAATGATCTCGCTGACGTCGCTCTGAAACCAGTGAAGTTGCATATTGCATTCCAGGGCTTCGGAGAATACGTACGTAATTCAGAAATTTCAAGCCACACTGACTCGTTCCCCTGTATGATATGCTTGTAGCCAAAGCTTTGCGATGTTGCGCCTGCAGCTGGATCTCTTGACCGCTATACAACTGACAGCATGAGGGATTAGATTAGCTTTGAGCTAGTATTTGTAATTCGCCATACCATACCTAAGCGAGTCCTACCGCGAGATGTGCATTGACGTCTTGACTTCTCCGGGAATGAGGCTGGTTGCGATGCGAAGCTATGCTCCACGCGACTCGGTCACGACAAGATCCTTCGAAGATGACAGCAGGAGAGAATAAATGCTATTCGACAATGGATTCTGTCATGGCTGAATAGCATTTCAGACACGAGGATCTGTGAGAGGGCCGAGGTCACAAATATGGTAATCTTACCCCTTGCTGGCCCATTCCCAGTCGAATCGCTTGGGCCAGCAGCCAGCGAGCATCCCCTTGCTTCATCACATGTCCTAAAGTCGTGTTCAGAAGCTTCTTGGTGCTTTTCCTAAAATCGATAGGTTCTACACCGCATTCTTCAACAGCCGAAGAATGTACCACTGCCCCAGGTCTTCCGACGATTAGTGCGCGGGGTGCGTTTATGGCTTCACGGCATTTCTCACCCGAGAATGACACCCTCGTTACTAGCCAGGGACAGAGTAAGACAAGGCTTGCATGAGGAATGATGAGAGTCTCGTCCAAGTCAATCTCGAGGATGGCAGGTGCCAATGACATAATGCGTCGACTCCCTCGAGCATGGTATAAAGAGAGGATGCATCCACGACCAGAACATCTTCCTCCAACACGCACAATCACACTGCCAATCACAGTCACAGACTTAATCAACCAATTACTACCAGCAAAATGCTCTCCCGCACCATCCTCGCCGCCCTCGTCAGCGCCGCCTGCTTCGCGACCGTCAACGCGCAGGACTGCAGCGCTAACAACGAGAAATGCTGCCAGCAGGTCCAGGACCCGGATAACCTTAATGCCGATCAATTGAGCCTGCTCCGACTGTTAAACATAAACGTTAATGCCTTGACCGGCGCCGTCGGTCTGAGTTGTAAGTTCCCTGACTGAACTCTATCTTGCTCTGCTTTGCTAACGGAACCAGGCACCAATGTTGTCGGCGAGAGCTGCAGTGCGAATAGTGCTTGCTGCACTGGCAATACCTACTACGTAAGTGGCCAAAACAAAACTTTCGTCGGACGGGATACTTACTTGAGGTTTAGGGCGGAATCGTTGTTCTTGGCTGCTCCCCGATCCAGCTGTAGGTGGTGTCTGCGGAAGATCCTGGTATCTGGAGAAGGGAGATGCTGGAATGGTGGATTGGTCAGGTCTACTCCGTAGTTTCAGGATCAGTTATGGTTAGTAGTTAGGAGACGAGTAGTAAATCAATGAAAAACCGTGCTCACTTGTTGGGCCAATGAGAGGGTCTTTCGTAGGAACTCCGGGATGATCTATCCAAGTAACCTACCTAAACCCACGATCGATTCATTCTCCGGCTACCCCTGGTCAAAGCTTGGACACAACTAAATCTAGAACGAATCGGCGTGGCCAGAACCGTCGAGCGGAGACAGACTGACAGCTCATCTGATTGGGTTCAAAGAGATGCAATCGTCATAACGAGATATGCCCTACCCAGAGGGGGATAAAATCAGCTGATGCTCCGATACCACCTGGGCAGACTTCATATTTGATCCGCAGAATCATGCTGACAAGACCAACTACTAGTTCTATCGTCTTGTACCGTTCTGTATCGTGCAGTTATGGACAACATGGCAAAAGCGGACGCAGTTCACTCGGTATGTAGCAACAGCCTTAGAGTTTGCGGATTCGCCACACCCCACCGTCACCAGTACTTCCGCACCTAAGTGCGATGAATTGACATTAACAAAGCCTGTTAGTACCTCTGTCCACAGGAAAACACCGTGATCATCCAGCCTGAAGATGATATCACGCATGTCGGGACGGCAAGCTCGGGGACGAAGACTATGAAGCCTGCGCGGGGGGTTGTGTTGGCGGTTGGCACGACCAAGGCGCTGGGGAACGGGGGGAGGCATGCGATGGATGTCCGGCTGGGGGATTTGGTTATCTATACCAAGGTGAGATTTCTTTTGCTCAAACAAGCTTCTGAGAGGTTTCGCAGATGATGCTGATGATGGGTAGGGAAAGGGGAAACAGGTGAGGGTTGATAATGATGAGTATTTGCTTCTTGATCGAGACGAGTGAGTGTCCTCTGCTGTCCTCTGTTAATTCTGATCTAGTCTAATGTGAGCAGGATTCTGGCTGTTGCCGATTGATTGATATGATATGATATGAGTGTATGATCGATCTCTTGATTTGTTTACGATAGCTGTACATTAAATGATACCTATACTCTATCCAAACATTCATGACAGAGCATCAGCTACAAGATAGATATAGAAGAACTGCTAACCAGACAACTTAATAATCCCTTCCACCATCTCGACCAATCCATTCGCCACAACCTCCAAGCTCTCCCTCTCAAACACCTCCCAACATCCCTCCCCCTCAAGCACACCACAATACGCCCCCCGAAACCCCGCCCTCACCGCAGCAGACACATCCCACAAATGCGCCGCCGCAAACCATTTCTCATCATCCCCCCCAATCTTCTCAATCGCAGCCCGATAAGCCCCCAATGCCGGCTTCGCAACCCTCAACCCATCACAGCTCAACACCCTCTCAACAGGCATCTCAACCCCCGCCCTTGTAAAATACCCCCGCACACGCTCCACATCCCCAGTCGTAAGACACCACACCTCAAATCCTGCGTCACGCAACTTCTCAAACGCGTTCACCAGCTCTGGACGAAGCTGCAAAGACGCATAGCCGGCTATACATGCATCTCGCTCCTCATCTGTAAAGACACTGCGTGGATCCGGCACACCAGCCATGAAGAGACTGCGGTAGAAGAGCGCGCGCATGACGTCTTTATAGGGGCGGTAGGACTCGGAAATAGACAAGAAGGTGAATTCGAGTTCCGCGGCGGTCATCCATGTGTAGCCGAAGTGCTTGGGGGTGATATTGTAGGTGGAGAGTTTTGGGCCAATTGTGGCCGCGATGGAGGCGAAGTAGGCGTCGAAGGAGACGCAGGTGCCGACGACGTCGAAGATGATGTGTTTTCCCATTATTCCTGGTAATTGTGATGTCGATTGTAGTTGATTCAGTGCGTTTGTTTCAATGTATTCGGGAGAAGTGATGAGTGAGGGGTGGGTTGTTTATGTGGACTCGATTGATGTGGGGATGCGGAGTAAATAGTGATGATGGTTCATGGACCGGAGCACATCCGGCGGATGAGAGATTCACATGTTCTGGCTCTGGCAATCTGGCTTATCATGTCGATCTGGATATAGTGTACTGATCAGATGCGTTCCGGTCCACATCGGAGCATTATCGGAGATTACTTTGATATCTGTAGCTTATCATGGAATACAATCTCGCAGGATCAGTTTGTAATCCTAACACGTGCATCAGATTGAAGACTATGACCATAAAATATTCAAGCGCCTCCACCAAGTCCTCCTCTTTGGCTCTGGCTCGGGCTCCTCCCGGTACACCTGGATAAATGGCCGGATGGGAATATCCTCCAGCGGAACAATGGCCGTCCTCCCCCACAGCTTATACCCGAAATACAATCCCAGGATGATCGGAATGTTCAAATACGACGAGACAAACGTCTCTGTATCCCAGTGCCCCCGCATGAACGTGCTATACCCTCCAGTAAACAATAAAAGTGTAAACAATACCAGCGCAAACCACGTCAGGTACGGCTGCAGCGGCGCCGCCCACGGTAGCTCTCTGTGCCGGTCGATTCCCTGCTTCCGGCACCCGTACTGGAACCGTAGGTAGATGATGCAGATACACATCCAGTTCACGAGAGTTGAAATGGAGACGATGTCCTGCAGCCAGGTGAAAGCAGTGCTGGCCGAGTCCGACAGCGTCATGTAGCCCAGGCCCATAAAGACGCCGATCAGGGCGACAGCCACATACGGCGCCCCGAACCGGTTGACTCTAGTAAAGAATTTAGGTGCGTGTCCGTGCATGGCCAGCCCGAAGAGGATGCGAGTGCCGCCCAGCATATTGGAATTCCCTGCGGACCAGGCAGACGTCAACACCGCCGCGTTAATAATAGACGGGACGGCCTGGATGCCTGCGCGCCGGGCGGCAATGACAAATGGCGACTGGGATGCATTGCCGGTAGACCGAAGCAGGCTGGGGTCATTGGAGGGGACGACCATGCCGACCATAAAGATAGACAGAATATAAAACAGAAACACACGCGCGAAGATCCGTCGCGCCGCTTTGGGGATGGCCTGCCGCGGACACCGGGTCTCCGCCGCCGCGACGGTGATATTCTCCATCCCCGAGTATGCGTACAGCGCGTTGTTGAGCGTCGTCCAGAACCCCAGGAACTGGCCCCATGAGCCCGGGACGTCCAGGTACTGCACGAACGGGCCGGGATTTCGCCAGTATCTGAATCCGATGCTCTGCCCGTCCGGCCCGCCCCCGCAGGTGATCACCAGAGCCATGATATTGATCCCAATGACGAGCATGATCTTGATCATCGAGAACCCGAACTCGAGCTCCCCGTACACGCGCACAAACAGCAGTGCTGTCGCCAGCATCAGCACCCCAAACACTGTGATCCAGATCGCATTGTTTACCGTCACCCAGAACTCGACTACGACGGCCGCTGCGGAGAGCTCCGCGGGGATCGAGACCAGGTACGAATAGACCTGGTTCCAGCCGTTTGCAAAGGCGAGTGCCGGGTCGAAGAAGAGCATGGCGTAGCGGACCACGCCTCCGTTCAGCGGAACCAGAGCCCCCATCTCGCCGACGGCAAAGACAACGGTTGAGCCGGCCAGGCCGACGATGGTGTACCCTAGTAGGGCTCCAAGAGGCCCTGAGCGGGCAATGGCACGCCCAGAGCCGAGGAAGAGTCCGGTGCCAATGGTCCCGGCCAGCGCAATCATCTGGATGTGTCGCTGGTGGAGGCCTTGTTTGACCAGGCGGATCTCGCCAAGATGATCGGCGGCGGAGTCATTGTCGGGGAGTTGTTTTTCGGTGTCATGGAGGGTGTCTTTTCCAGGCTCAGACATTATTGTTGGTATTGCTCTTTCAGGTGGCATGTTCAATTTGAAAGTAGGTTGAGGACCTTGGGATCAATGTGATCCTGTGGCCTGGCCAGTTGGCGATATTTAACCAATGTCTTATCTCTCTGCTCAAGCTCATCCGGTGATGGTTTAGCTTCGAGATTAGAGTGTGGCAGATAGCTTGCCATGTTCTTCCAATAATGACGATGCATTTGCAATTCCTATCTCAAGGTTTCAACTTCCCCTCTTTTCGTGTAGCCACTGCAACCTTAAGCCCTTGCATCTGGGGATAGTGACACCAAGACCAACCGGAAACGGACCGGATGATGCACGGTCACATGATGATAAACCGGACTTGACCGGAGAATTGCAGATCACATAGTAAAAGATAAGACGAGATAAAGGTTTATCAGCGGGGAAAATAGAGGAGAAGTGGGGCAGGTAAACCTGTGGAACATTGGGGCCTGACCGGCGTATCATCAGCAGATAGGCAACTGGTCAGACCACGTCGTCGCCAGAATAAATATATATGAGACCTCTACAGTTGTCAATCAACCATAGTGATTAAGAATATAGAAAACAAGCAATGTCTACCTTTCCCCCAAACCCACTGGCCTGCTTCTGGCAGAACAACCCCCACGAACTACACGACCATCGCTCCACCGAAGATCTCCCGACGCACAGCGATGTGGTGATCATCGGCGCCGGTTATGCGGGCGTGAGCACTGCCTGGCATTTACTACACAACCACCCCAACATCAACTCAATTACTATCCTGGAGGCAAGAGGGGCCTGTTCTGGCGCCACCGGTCGCAATGGAGGCCATCTGCGCCCGGATCTGTACGGACATATCCCCACGTACATTGACCGTGCTGGACCGGAAGCAGCAGCGGAGATTGTCGAGTTTGAGATTGCGCATGTTCAAGCGATCAAGAATCTGGTCGAGAGCGAGCAGATCGACTGCGATTTTAGACTTACACGGACGATCGATGTATGGCGTAATGAGCAAGCGGCAGAGGGGGCGAGGAAGGTGTTTGAGCGCATGAAGGAGCATGGATTTGCGTATATGGATGATGTTGACTTTCACACAGGAAAGAATGTAGAGGGGGTATGTCTAAATTCCCGAGTTATACCAATACTATCATACTAACCCGATCAGATCTGCGGCGTCAAAGGCGCCCTGGCCTGTGCCTCCTACACCGCAGCCACCATCTGGCCCTACAAGTTCATCATGCACCTTCTCGCCAAACTACTAGCGTCAGGAAAGGTCAATCTGCAAACCCACACCCCCGCGACCGCAGTGACTCCATCCACAGATGGTAAATTCACAATCGACACCCCCCGCGGCACCATGCACGCCAACAAAGTCATCCACACCTCCAACGCCTACGTCTCCTCCCTCCTCCCGCAGTACAAACACAACATCATCCCCTGCAAGGGCATCTGCTGCCGCATCGCCGTTCCAGAAGGGAAAACCGCCCCGCTGCTCACGAACTCCTACGTCGAGCGCACCAAGGACAACGTGCTGTCGTACCTAATCCCCCGCGCAGACGGGAGCATCATCGTCGGCGGCGCGTCGGCGCTCTTCAAACCTCATCGCGAACAGTGGTACAACAATACCGACGACAGCGTGCTCATCGACGCGGCCAAGGACTTCTACGACGGGTACATGCAGCGCACGTTCCGCGGGTGGGAGGAGTCCGGGGCGAGGGTGGACCAGATCTGGGTGGGGGTTATGGGTTACTCATATGACTCGAACCCACATGTCGGGGCGGTGCCGGAGAATGACGGGCAGTTTATCCTGGCGGGGTTGAATGGGCATGGGATGCCGGTTGTTTGGCTGTCGGCGGAGGGATTGGCGAGGATGGTGGGTGAGGGGGTTAGGTTTGAGGAGACGGGCGTGCCGAGGTTGTTTAAGACAACGAAGGAGAGGATTGAGAGGGCGCAGAGGGGAAAGGAAGAGGACGGGGATATTCTTGGGACGGGGTTGTTTCCTGCTACTAAGCAGTAGATGACAGTTAACCAGTTGCCAGTTGGTGCATCATAGATATATTTCCTACTTTAGCTTAGCGTTAGTTGTTTATCAGTGGATCATTACCCCATGTTTATCCCCCATCTGTTATCAACTTATCTTTCCCAAACTTAAGCTTCCCTACCGGAGATAAGCCCACTTCAAGCTGCAGCCACACGCCCACACCAAAATGACAATCTTCACTACATCCTTATTGAGACACAACAAATAAACTATTTACTTCAATACATATCGGGATAGAAAATGAGCGCATACCAGTCACCTTTACCTCCCATCTCCATACCGCAGTCAAGCACCGAAGCACCAGCAGCACCCCAACTCAAACGCCGCAAAGTGACTGACGAGAGAAAGCGCACAGCCAGAGCGTAGGCCTACCTCCAGAATCAACTATGAAGTACCAAACTGACCATACAGCTGCGATCAATGCCGCCGATGGAAAGAAAAATGCGAGGGAGGAATCCCGTGCAGGAAATGCTCGCATCTTGGCCGTCCTTGTCGCGTGCGCGGTATGCCCGTATCGCAGGATATCAGGTACGTCGTCCAAGTCACTAATGATCAGTACTTTGTGCAGGCTGACATTGCTAGCGCTCGCGATGCATTTCTTGAACTGCAGGAGCGGGCCATGTATATGGAGCGGATCCTGAAACACGCGTTCAAGGGGATCGCGCTAGATACGAAGAGTCTCAAGCAGATGGCGTTGTCAATTGATGAGACGGACAAAGAGACGCAGCCGGAGACTGACGAGGCCGAGTTGGCTATGGAAGAGGAGGAGTGCACGATCGACCCCGTGGAGGATACCGTTACTCGTAGGTTCTTTTTTTTCTACGTTTACATGGCGGCGCTGACTCTAGACAGACTTCTCCGGGGAATTCTCCTACTGGAACTTTTCCATGCGCGTCAAGCGCCAGATCGAAGATAGGATGGCCGCTTCCGCTTCCTTGAGCCAGGTATGCCTCTGTCTCTGCCATAGTTCATCATAAATACTAACGTCTCAAGTCTCACC